TTAAGTTTGCTATAAATTGTTACTGGGATGACACTCAGGGAGAAGGAAACCATACACATCGCGTTTCAGGATATACACAAACAACGGGACAAAGTAAAGATTACATGCCACCTTATATGACTGTATTCGCATGGTATAGAGTTCAATGAATGTGCTTGACCCAAAGGTCTGGGCTTACCGAATGAACTAAATATAGAGTTTTGGATGAAAGAATACGGTCGAGCCAAAAGTGGCTCAACCTCAAAACGAGCATTTTATGAGCTTATTAATGGTGTTATGAATGAATTCAGTCCAAAAATAATTAATTTCATTAGTTTTAAAATTATTTTTATTTTTTATTTTGTATGTAAGAACAGAAATGTCAGTCGAAGCAAAAACGTTCACGAACAAATCTAATGGCGAAACATTCACAAAAGGCACTTATAACGATATTGAAGTCTTACGTAGAGACAAGGATGGTTACATTAATGCAACAAATATGTGTCAGCAGTTTAGGAAAGACTTTAGAAGGTTGTTGGAAAATAAGTCCTGGGAAGAGTATTTTAAGGCATTTTGTGAAGAATATACCAACCCGCGGAATTCAGACGGTTGCTTTTTATACAAAATTCATGCAGGAATTCCTGATGAAATCAAACAGGTTAGAGGAACGTATGTAGACCCAAGACTTATAAACTATATAACAATGTGGGCTTCTCCAAAATATTGTATAGCAGTTGGAAAAATTATGGACTCCATAGACAAGAAAATTCATGAGAAATTAGATGAAGAAGAACTCGAAGATACAGTAGAGAATGCTAAACCTTTGTTTGAAGAAGAAGTTGGAAAAATGTGCGAAAAACAATTAGAACGTGAACGTGAGATATATTATGGTTATAGAGATTCTCCATACGAACTAGACCAATGGGAACAAGAAGATTTAAAGAGAGAATTTAGAGAATATGAACTCGCTAAGATAGCATTTGAAGCTGCAGAAAAGAAGTTAAAAGTTTGGGGTCGTTTTGTAAAAAAATATTGTGAGTAAATGAACCATTTATTTTTATCATAAACAACCAAAAATATATTTTATCGTTAATGGTTTTTAGGTGTCACCACGTCACCATGTCACTATGTCACCATGTGTCACCAGGTTATTTAACTTCTCTGAAAAATGAGACAACATGACATTTTGACAACAGTCACTGTGTGACGAGACCTGAAGGTCTTGACATTTTGACAACATCACTGGAAATATATTTTATCGTTAATGGTTTCGTTAATGTTTTCAGGTTCTTCAATAATTAATTATTTTTGAATAACTGAAGGTGTCACCATGTCACCATGTGTCACTCGGTTATTTAACTTCTCTGAAAAATGAGACAACATGACATTTTGACAACAGTCACTGTGTGACGAGACCTGAAGGTCTTGACATTTTGACAACATCACTGGAAATATATTTTATCGTTAATGGTTTCGTTAATGTTTTCAGGTTCTTCAATAATTAATTATTTTTGAATAACTGAAGGTGTCACCATGTCACCATGTGTCACTCGGTTATTTAACTTCTCTGAAAAATGAGACAACATGACATTTTGACAACAGTCACTGTGTGACGAGACCTGAAGGTCTTGACATTTTGACAACATCACTGGAAATATATTTTATCGTTAATGGTTTCGTTAATGTTTTCAGGTTCTTCAATAATTAATTATTTTTGAATAACTGAAGGTGTCACTATGTCACCATGTGTCACTCGGTTATTTAACTTCTCTGAAAATTTGAGACAACATGACATTTTGACAACAGTCACTGTGTGACGAGACCTGAAGGTCTTGACATTTTGACAACAGTCACTGGAAATATGATGCAGTCCAAAAATAAAGTTAGTTTTAAAATTATTTTTATTTTTTTATTCCTATATAAATGACAGCAACAAACAACAACAGCAACTATATCGTTTCTGATGAAAAAGTTATTGATTCATTAGCTGAGGAATTAGTTGTGGCAGAAACTAAAACCCTCAACGAAAGAATTGGTGAAAACAAGATTGATTTACATAACTACCTCAAACATGATGGAGGAAGAGGAAGGAAAACTGGTATGGCTTTATTAGTAAATAAAATTTCAAATTTAACGATTATAGATGTTGATATCAATAAATCATACAATGATGAACTTAAAGAAACAGTTAGAAAAGACATTTTATCAAAACTTTCGGATAAAGATGTTATCGTTAAAACCGCTTCAGGAGGTCTTCACATTTATTGCAACACTAATTTCTTCTATTCAACCTCGAACAGAATGATTAAATGTTATTCTTGCAATGATTATGATATTGATATCATGACTTCTATGGATGATTCAAAGCGTTCTTTAGTAGTTATGGCTGATTCAAGAGTTCGCAAGAATGCAACAGAACCAATCAATACATACTCATTTATTCGTGGAAGTTATGATTCAACATTAACCAGAACAGTGAATGATATATTAAATGATTTGAATATTAAGGTAAGAGTTGAACAGAAGAACGAAGAAATAAAGACTATCATGAATGAAAACAAAGATGTAAACATTGACGATAAACTAGCTCAAAGCATAGTTGATGGTATTAGTGATTTTGAAGTACATAATGACGGTGGAAACATGAATTTAGAAAAAGAAGTTACATTATTCACACTGTTTCAAGCAATTAATTCGTTACCTAATCATTTAATTAATGAAGCATACGACAACGTTTATAACTTCTGCAGTTTAACAGAAAATGCAAAAAGTAATTTTGAAAAAGCACGTAGTAGATATGCACATTTAATGACTTCTCCATTTGTTTTAGTGAAGATTCTGAAACTATATCAAAAGGAATATTATGATGAATACGTTTTACCTTTATTACGTAAGCCAAAAATAACATTTGATATAAAACTTGATGACTCGTTTTTGATAACAGATATTAGACGTAAGGCTGAAAATCATCAGTATAAAAACAGTTCTGAAGTAATTGAGGATTTATCACGTGTAATCCGTTTTGTAGATTGTGGAAACAAATATTTCATTCAAAAGGACTATAATATCCACGACAAAATGAATCAAATATCATTCGTTCTTCAGTCAAACATGAAAGAGTCACTCAAAATGATTAAATTATTTAAAGAAGAAGGTAAAACCATAACAGCATGGGACGTACTATTAAATCAATTGTCTTCATTAACCGTTAAGGGTGTTTGCTTTAAATCTGATTCCCCTGATGTTTTCTCAACGTTTCAAGGTTATAAATACAACATTCTTGAAAAGCCAGATTACTCAAAAATTGAGATGTTTATGAATTTCATTAATGAAGCCATTTGTGATAATAATGATGAAGTGTATAAATACCTTCTCGGGTGGATTGCATCAATGATTCAACATCCTGGAATCAAGAATGAAACAGCAATTATTTTGAAAGGACTTCAGGGAACAGGTAAAAACAGATTCACAGACATTATTTCTGAACTTCTCGCTGGTTATTCATGTAAAAACATTACTGAAATAGGTGAGCTAACGGGTAATTTCAACTCAGTAGTTGAGAATAAAATGTTTCTTGTACTTAATGAACTCAAGAATGTTGGTGAAGACAGACTCGCAAACTTCAACGCTTTGAAATCAATTATAACGGATAATGAGATTAGAATTAATGAAAAGAATCAACCCAGAAGAACAGCACAGAATGTTGCCAATTTTATTTTCGTAACTAATAACGTCTACCCTGTCAAAATTGAAGTTGGAGACAGAAGATACGTAGTTTTAAGGGTTAATGGTAAATTTAAGGGTCAATTTGATTACTTCAAGAATTTAATGGATTCATGCACAAAGGAATTTTATGATAATTTACTAACGTATTTTATGCAATATGACCTTTCATCATTTAATGTACGAATCATACCGATGACTGAAGCCAAACAAGATTTAATAGAATTATCAACAAATCCTTTAGATGTATGGATAAATACACATTATGATGAATTGTGTGCAGGTATGACATGTAAAAATGCTCTATTCTGCAAACCATCAGACATGAAAGACAAAAACTTTCAAATGAGCATTAAGGATAAATGTGATAAGAAACAGAGAAGAATAGATGGTAAACAAACATGGTGTTATGTTTTGAAAGAAGAAATGAAAGGATTATATAAACAGGTTGAACCAAACGATGATGAGGATTCATTTTACTGACGATGAAATACCTGTAAATGAGGCAGTATAAAGTATGATTTGAATTTATTTTTGCATTAATCCTCCTGTGTTGTCAAAATGTCATGTTGTCTCATTTTTTCAGAGAAGTTAAATAACCGAGTGACACATGGTGACATGGTGACACCTTCAGTTATTCAAAAATAATTCATAACTGCCATCCTCCTGTGTTGTCAAAATGTCATGTTGTCTCATTTTTTCAGAGAAGTTAAATAACCGAGTGACACATGGTGACATGGTGACACCTTCAGTTATTCAAAAATAATTCATAACTGCCATCCTCCTGTGTTGTCAAAATGTCATGTTGTCTCAAACTTTAGAACGACATAATTTAAATTTTTATTTTTATCATAAATGAATACCCCACAAGCTCAAAATTTACCACGAATCATAACAAGGGAGGAAATGATAAAAATGATGCGAGAACTTGCTAAAAATAACAAACCACTAAAACTGAGAAAATGTGGTTATGCGGTAATGATGGAAAGAGAGATGTTGTCGAAGAGGAATAAAAATTAAATTTGGATTGAGTTTAAAAATTCATCTTTATTAAATTCATCTCTTCCAATCAATTTATTTATCTATTAAATTCTTTTATTTTTGCTTCACTCAGTTTAAGGATTGAACGGTAAGTTTCTAATTTTTCGATTATTTCTTTATCGTTTTCAACCCCACCGCATTGCGTCTTCTTTTTGTAATAGCATATTTTTGATTTAATTCTGTTTAGTTTCTTTTTATATTCATCGTCTGGACTCTTGACTGCTTCGTTGTCACTCATTTCTTACGAAATAAAAAAATTAAATATTATTTAAATATAATGGAGTAATAAAATAAATCGGAATTTCTATTAATTTATTGTCAACTTCAACTAATGCATTGCCGTTAATATATCTAACAAATTCAGCTATTGTGTCAAATCTTCGTCTTCTTTTTGTCATTAATTTATCAGTTTTTCCATAATCGAGATGAATCAAAACTTTATCCCCTTGTTTAAAATTCATGAGCCCCGAATTAATTTGTTCACGTTTAACATCATTTAACCTTTCCATTTGCTTTCTAATATATTCCCATTCTTTTGAAATATCATTTTTCATTTCCACCGGTTTCATGTTAATAGTTCTATGCCATGTATTATTGTAATAATATACTAACTGCTGTATGATGGAGTCATGATTTCCATCCCAGTATATCTGACCGTTAACCCCTAACGCATCTCTAAGAGTTCTCATTACCACATCAACTATTTTATTATGAAACGTATATGGAGAAGATGAGAAGTAAAAATTAATTTGTGGGAAATAATGAGTCATAGCTGCCTGAAATCCTTTATCACCATCACCCCTTATATTATCCACTCTTTCATGATCTAGTAAGTATTGAATAGCTCTTCTTGTTTCCTGTTCTGTTTTCCCTTTCACCGGAATGCAATATAAATATCTGGTGTTAATGTTAATGGCGAATAAATAAGTAACGTTTCCTTTTGAATATTCCAGATGATCGATTTCGTATGAATATGGATATGGTGCAAATGAAGGGCGACTGAATTTTTTCTTTAACGGTTGAATTTTTGGGTCAATTGGTTTATTTAATATCTTGAAATCCTTTTTAAAATCTTTTTGCTTCTTTAATGTTTGAAATGGATATAATAAAGTGAATGATGAAGGATTAACTGAAGGAGGAGGCGGTTTTGGTGTTGCAGGTACTGTCGTTAGAGGTTTTGGTGTTGTAACTGGTTTAATTTTATCTGCTTTGATTTTGGATGATGAAGTTTTGGATTTGACACCCACTTTCATTAATTCTGGATGTATTCTGTTCATTTGTTTTAAATATGCTGTATATAAAGGTTTGATATACTTTCCCGCTTCGAGTTTATGTTGAAGGATGAATTCCAAAAGTTGATCTTCATTTAAAAGTCGGGCTGAATATGGTTTAACTAATGAATCATAAATTAAAGCTTGTGCTTCATTTATGGTCTGAAGGACCTGGGTGTTTTGTTCCTTTGGCTGTTGAACATTTGCTACTTTCTCTTTTGGTGTTGTTTTCGGCTTTTTCTCTTTTGGTGTTGTTTTCGGCTTTTTCTCTTTTGGCTTTTGTGACTCAGGATTATATAAATTATATAATTCATCAATATCTTCTTCTGTTAATACTTTATTTTTGAAATCTTTCAACTGTTTAAGTTGTGGTTTAGTTTTTCCCTTTTTATATTCATTATTTTTAATTTTGTCTTTAATTTTAGAAATTATTCTATCATGATATTTCAAAACTTTATTTTTATAATAATAATAATAATAACCCATATCATCACCCGTTATATTGTTATCATATTTTTGGAGATATGCTTTTAAATCATAATAATCAAGAAAATTTTGATTAAATACTAAATCATCAATTAAATTTTCCAAATCCGCGTTATCCATCAAATCCGCGCTATCCGTCAAATCCGCGTTATCCATTTATATAAAAATAAAATAAATGTTTTAAGGGTGTCCACCTCTTTGAATCATAGTATCAAAGCCATTATTTACATATTGAATCGCATCATTAACGGTTCCTCCTTCTAAAACAGTATCAAATGGTGGAGTCCAGATTTCCTGATGATGATCATAAAATCCAGCAAAATTAACCGTATTATTAGGTAAAATATGAATCTCAGCGGTATATCTTCTATCTAAATTTGGATGTCTTATATGTATACCATTACTACCCGGATAAAATCTCAAACCTTGATTTTGTTGAACTCATCAAATTATTGAAATTTCTTTCTTCAGGGGTGAATGTTCTTCTCCGTTGATGCTGTGGTGGGATTTGAAAAATTCGTTGTGGTTGATTATTTGGAATCTGAAAGTTAAAACCATTTGGTATAAATCGATTTAGTTCCTTTTGTCTCTTCTGTGGCATTTCATTAAAAATAAAATTTTAAATTGTATTAAATAAATGGCATACAACATCCATTTTCACAACATACAGCCTTAGTGTGTGCTCCTGTTAATGCAGTCTTACCAATTGTTAAGCGAGTCATTGACCCGTTTTTAAGTTGTAAATTAATATTCTGACCATCAAATATCACTTTATCATTTATTATATCCAAATAATTTTTAGGTGTTAATTGTTTATTTTGTCGTAAACTAACACCTTTCATTTTTTGTGCAATCTTTTTAAAATCACCCCCATCAATTGAACCGTTGAATGAAGTATAACACTTAGGACATAAAGCAACCATGTTATCACCTTGTTTCTCAATTGCTAAACCCAATAACTTCTTCTCATGTGCTTTTTCTTCAGCTTTATTCTTTAATTTAGGTTTAAATTTCTCATTAAAACAGAAGAAATCAAAAGGTGCGAATTTGTAAATGTTTTTATCATAAAATTTTTTATCGGTTACAATTGCTTGAAATGCTTGAGTGTTAGGAAGATTTGGGTCGCCAGCGATTGCCCAATAAGATGAATCAGTATCACCTTCAATGAAATGAAAACGATTAACATTCATGCATTTATACATAAAATCATAAATGAAAACCAAATACCAGTATTTTGCGTTATCTAAAGTGAAGAATGCCTCTTGTAAACATGTATCACATCTATAAAATCTATCTTTAAGCATCACTTGATACGTATCCTCTCCTATTTCTCTTATGTTTTTAAACTTATTTGACATACATGCAACGCGTGCCTTCTGTGCATTCATTATTTTAGTCTTTGCGTAATTTTGTGTATTCATTGCATCGTAACCATATGAACCATTAAGTGAAATCTTGCAAAATAAACTTTTTCCTTTATTTCCTTCTAATTCAGCCTTTTGTCTTTCGTTCATAAATTCATTCGCAAATTCATTAAAACAAGTGTTTTTCGTAAATGTTAATATTGATTGAATGTCATCAATGATAAAATGAAATCTGTCTATTAGATACCAAAGATAATAAGAAGAAAATGGTTGATATTGGTTGTGTGTTGATGCTAACTGAGTTAATTTTCTTTGTTTCTGGTCAACTGGTAGATTGTTTGATTTCATGTAATTATACATAAAACCGCCAATTGTTTTTTCATCTGTGATAATATCTAAGTTTCTTATTATCGGTAAAAAGTTTATGTAATCATTAATGTATTTTTCATCAATGTGACCCTTTACTTCAGCCACGAATAAAGTATTTTTCTTCTTAATTATTCCCAGTGCTTTTGCTTTCTTTGTTGCTGTATCACAAATGATAACACCATTCAATCTTCCCGGCATATACATTTTATGGTCAGTATATTGAATGAATAAATCATGAGGATTAGATGAAAATGATGAAGGATATAATGAATTAAAGTCAACACCAACGAAATGAGTCATAATGTGGTGTCCTCATTTGATACAGTTTTAGTTTCTGGATTATATGAAAGTTTATTAATGTGTGTGATTCCTTTAAGATTAACTCTATGTTGAACATTTGATAAACCACCAGTAATTCCATTACGGAGGATGTGATAAGCTTCAACTGAATCTAGAGTCATTGGTAAATTATTTTTTAATGTATAATTTCTTAAATTGATTCTTAAACGTTGAACATCTTCATCTTTATTTGATTTTACGACATTGCAATAACAACACATTAACTGACAATTTTCTTTGGTATGTGGTTTTTCATTATCTATTCTATCTAATGTTGGTTTATTAGCATATGTAAACGCTTTACCACACATTTTGCATTTAGATGAAAGGATTAAATCGTGATAGTATTGATAGTCATCCATTGAAACATTGTTTTTAGTATCCCTTTCTGCTTTTTCATCTTGTTTCTTATATGATTCAATTTTATATTTCCAATACTTTTTTGTTAATTCAAAACTTGATTCCACATTTTCTTCTTCTGGATGTTTCGTTAGGATTAAAGTCTTTATATGCTAAAGCGTAACGAATCATTGATGCATTCGATGATAATGAAAGATTATGAGCATGTCAATTTTATAAACAAATGTTTCTTCAATAATTTTATCAATTGGGTCAATCATAATTTCAACGTCTTTATTGCAATAATGAATAAAATATTCTAATCTATTCTTAAAATTTTTAGCATCATTGAGATATATTTGATAATCTGAATCGGATATTGTTTCTTGAGTTAATGCTGAATAAAATGAATCTTGAGTGAATGGTTCCACTTTATATAATTCATCTTCGTAATTCTCCCATGTGATGAATTGATAAGGGAAAAAGGATTTAACACGTGATTTATTGTTTCCGAAATCTTGAGTGAATTGGTCTAATGTTCCACCCGCTATATAATTTCTGATGTCAATAAATCTTAATTCATATGGACAGTTTGTTTTCTTTACAATGATTTGCTTAAATTGAGAAGAAGAACCCAGCATTGATTTTATTTTCCATTTTGCAGTGTTTAAATCACGAAGAATTAAATTTAAATCAAACTTTCCCGAATTAAAACCTATGATATTCACTTTATTGAATTCCTCATCTAGAAGTTCTTTAAATGCTTCCTTCTGTTTTTCATTTAATGTATGGGACTTCATTAATTCTTCATATTGTTCAATATTTGATTTAGCAACTAATGAACAGGTTGAAAATAAAAACTCAATCCAATCAGAAATAAAAGAATCACTCGAAGTTAAGCAAAAATTCCTCGTATATGTTTTATCACGGTCTACGACCTCGCCGCTTCGGTCTGAAAGACCTTCAGGACTCAAAGAGTCCGTTTGCGGCTTTAATTTAACCGTTGATGATACCATAAATGGTTTTAAGTAAGCGTTCAAAGTTGCACATTCAGAAAGTAGAAGTTCTTCTTTAGTCTCTAATGTTTCGAAGTCAAAAGTAATATAATATCTTGTCGGTTTATAATATTTCTGCAAATTGTGAGCTAATAACCACTGATATATCTTCTGTTTCGTAATATGTGGTGCATATGGTTGCTGGGTCTTTTGCAATTGAACGTCTTGAATTAATCTTCCATTATTTTCTTTACATTTCTCACAATGTTTTAAAAATCTTCTTTGGTTTTTCCTTTCTGGGTCATCACGGATAGAATAAACTTCTTCTTTACAATATGGACAAACTTTATAGCCGGTGAGTGCTTCAACGTCTGTTATTCTGTCAGCGTGAAGTTTTCCACATGGACTCTGTGTTAATAAAATATTTATTGTTTCAAATTCTGGATCTATCATTATTGAATCCACTAATGGAAAGTCTACCTTGTTAATGTCTACGTCTTCTGGTTGAGGATCACAATAATAGAAATCAATATTAACATTTAACATTCTCGCTAATCTCTCACTTTCTGATGAAATGTCAAACCCTTCATATGCATCTATGGCTTCATTTAAATAACTTCTACGAGTTTTAGGATTAACACCATCAGGAATGTTATAGAAGCGTTTAAATAACCTTCTACCTTCGGCTCTAATTTGATTATCATTCATTTTAGCTGTTCCGTTTTTGTTCATTTATGTAAGAATAAAAATTAAAAAAATAAATAAAAATAAAGTTTATTTTTTAAAGTCCAGGGCTAAAGTCCATAAAATGAATTAAGAACACATAAATTTTTATCATCTGCGACGTGACGAATACATTTTAATTTACTCAAGAATGCATACCCTGATACATTAAATCTAATTCCTGTCTTATTTAATTTCACAACTTTGAAAAGGAATGTATGAATAGCTATAAAATGATGAGATGATGTTTTATGGGTTGCTTCCATTTTTTCTGAAATAAATGAATAAATATAATGTTTATAAGTTTTCATATCTTTTATGTTCTTAATAACGAATGGTATAGACTTTTCCACTTCATCTTCCTTCGGTGCTGTTCTTTCATATGAAACATTATTAGTATCTTCAATAATGAAACCACAATCGCATAAAATTTTATATGTACCAATTGTTTCTTTTGATATTTTATCTAACAAATCAAAAACTTTATCAACACCTGTACATTTATTTAAATAATAATTTGTGTAAATATCATGGTCTTCTTTCTTAATCGTATTAGTTGCATATGTCACGTTTTTAAGAGCTTTTTTGAATTTTTCGGAATCTAAAGGTGGTGAAAGTAATATACAGGGGTATTTTTCATTATCAATAAATTGTAACTTATGTTTACGTATAAATTTAGTACCTTCTTCTGAAAGTGTTTCATCTATTTCACCATCTAATAAATTTTGTGTTGATTCTGAGACATAAGTTTTATATCTTTCTTCATGAGATTTTTGAACTTCTGATTCTGAAGCTGGGATATTCATTAAACCCTCTACTTCATTCTCATTATATTTTTCAACTTCTCTTAATTCCTTAATTTTTTCATCTATTTCATCTCTTATTTTTTCCAGTCTTTCAATTTCATCATATTCATCATCTTTAATCCGTTCTTCATAATATTCAGGGAAAACATCAGGTTCTTTAGGTTTTTCTTCTTCAGATGTGGGATATAAGAAATTTATAACATCATCTTTATTCATTTTTCCATCATAATCTAAATCATTTAATAACTCCGCGAATTTTTGACAATTTCTTAAATAATATTTATTAACTTCATAACTCGCCTCCTCTAATATATCCTTTATTTCCTCATTTGTGAATCCCATTTTTTTAACATTGTTAGTTGTGACACTCATTTATCATTAAATAAAAAAATAAATTATTCAAAAAATGTAAGACATGAATTTTTAAAGTTTATTTTTCACTCATGAAAATAATTATTTCTAATTTCTTTTACTCTCTCGTATATACTAGATTTAAAGAATTCAGAACATTTCCCATAATCTCCTAAATGTTTTCTTATCCCTAACGTGTGCCAGTTATTATATGAAACTGAATAAACTTTATCTTTATCTTTACACCTTTCATCACTTCCAATATATTTATATTTCAATTTTGATTTAGCATTTTCATATTCATTAACGTTTAATAATTCACAGTCTTCCTTTTTAAATAAATGTTTTATGTATTCAGGATTTAATACTCTACGTTTATATGCTCCTAACTTAGTTCTAAAGGTTTTTCTACAAAATTTAGGAATTCCATCCTCTTTAATGTCATCAATGATTTCCATTTCATTATTTTCAATTTCTTCTTCCCGTTTATGAGGTCTTTGATTATGACTCCATTGATTCCATGAAATTAAATATTCTTTATCATTATATTTATACCTCATTAGCTTATTTTGGCTTTCATATTCATTTAATAATTCACAATCTTCATTTTTAAATTGAAGTTTAACCCATTCAGGATTTAAACAATGTTTAATTAATCGCGGAATATCTGACATCATCTATATATAGCTTCTTTTATAAAAGATAAAAAAATAAATTATTTTAAAATTAATGTTAATTTTTTAATGATTTATAAATAAATATATTTTAATGCATCGTCTATATATAGATGTAACAAAAAAAAGGTACACAATCCTTCCACATATACTACGTACACAACACTTCCACATATAATACTATGATTTATATTTTAATGTATCGTCTATATATAGATGTAACAAAAAAAGTCACACAACCCGCACTCATATACTACTTGTCTCATCTCCTACTCTTAATTTAAAAAAATTTCAAAATTCATAATAGTAAACATTTCTTATTTTTATTTAAATCTGAAAAAATAAATTTAAACAATTTCTCTACACACGACGGTTTCGGCTGTTTTCAGAATGGTTGACAACTGAATTCATCAGGATAATATCGGTTGGGGTGCCCTTCTTGGCCTCCTGAGTACTCACCAAGATACCCCCAACTCCCGCAAAACACCTCCCATAGGTGAGCATTAACTGATGAAGTTATTGACAACTTTATCTGATTTTTTTCTTTGTTTTTTTGTTAAGATTTCTTAACCAAAGACTCGAAAACAAAACTTCGCTTCAAGTTGCTGTCTTCCCAGTTACTCTGTCGCAATCTTTTGTCTGATTGCGTGCAAAGTTCTGCTCCTTTGAGACTTTGCCCGACAGATGCATCTGGGAGACAGCACCCAAGCAGCTTATCGCTTCAAGTTGCTGTCTTCCCAGTTACTCTGTCGCAATCTTTTGTCTGATTGCGTGCAAAGTTCTGCTCCATGAATTATCAAATATGTGCCATTTCAGGAGAGATAACAAGTTCATACCTCCTGGAATGGCGGATTGTTCAACAATCTTCTTCTGATTGCAGAACTTTCAACCGACAAGAGGTGCATATGCACATCTTTTAGGTTGCAATCTGTGATCCCAGGAGACATAACAAGTTCATACCTCCTGGAATGGCGGATTGTTCAACAATCTTCTTCTGATTGCAGAACTTTCAAACGACCTCACGAAGAAATTCTAATCGATATCCTTTTCTATTGACTTATATTTGTGAATCATGACGTTAAAATCTTACGTTAAAATTCTGTACTTTATAAATCAGTTCAGTTCTGCTTAAAGCATATTAATAAAGTTGTTCTTCAGATTAATGTTAGTAAGCCGGCGCTAGCAAATAATCTTTGCATCTTTATTATGCTTATTAGTATGAAAGATTTAACATATAATTCGCCAAAGTTTAAAGCCTTATGACGAAACTTACCAAAAACATCTTCTTCCAGCAAGATCCGCCTATACTCCCACATTTGTCTCTACAGCTCTCACTTTGTCAGATTGTCAAAAGATTTATATGTCAAAGCTCAAAACTTAATGACGAAACTTACCAAAAACATCTTCTTCCAGCAAGATCCGCCTATACTCCCACATTTGTCTCTACACGTGAATTATCGATCAAGAATGTGATTATCTATTGATTTGAGTATTGAGAAATATATGATAAAAAAAACTCAATCATATATCACACTTTAATATTGTAATTATTCAGGTCAAATACTTGATGTTGAAAAAAAAACGATCAAAAATTATACAAAAATACAAACAATTTTAATAATATATTAATCCTCATGTTCGGGAAGTAGCTTCAGTGCTTCTTCTGCAATTGTAACGATTTCCTCGTTATCTTCGTCACATTTATCTTGAAGCATTTCAAATAGCGCATCCATATTTATGTTTTGAAGTATATTACATCGATTTGGATTTGTTAATATTTCCAAAGCTTGCAGAAATTTGTGAAATAGTACAGAATCGGAGTAATCATCGATATATTCTACAATTTGATCAAATATGAATGGGAAAAATTGAAATTCAGTTATGAAGTCTGTTGCAAAGATGATAGTACTTAATAAAAAATAGTGATAACAGATCTGATACTTAAAAATTATTGATGGATATAAATCAATGATTGGTGGAATGAACTCTCTTCCTATTAAGTATTGAACACCTGTTTCTGTGTAAGAAATAGTCATAACTAGTCTCATAAACAAGCCAATTCTTGTTTGGTAATTTTTTTCAGATGCTGAAGAGTTGAGCATGGTCTGAATGATGTTAAAATTCTGATCAATATCTATAAAGTATGCTATATTCTTGAAAGTAAGGTTAATTAAAATTAATAAAATTCTATCGATCAATTCTGGTCTCATTGGTGAAAAATTAAGTACTTCTAATGCAATAGGCTTTGTAAATATGATTTCTGGTGAATTATCAAATATCGAAATTAATCTATTGAGCATATCTAAAATATAGCACATATTTTTACGATCTGTTGTCGGAAAAAGTTCGTGGACTGCTGGAAATGCCTGATATATTTGTTTTTTTAATACTTGTTCATCACAATTCATTATTATTTCTCTATGCAATTTGAAAACGTCATTGATTTGGCTGGCTGTGTCATTTCTTATCTTTTTAAGTTGTCTGAGTGACTTAAAGATGTGATTATTAACTAAATATGTTGATATATCTGGATATTTGGTAATCAGCTGTTGAAGCAAGAATATACAATATTTAAAGCAATTAGCATCATCAACTAAACTTAAAATTGAAAGTGAATATGGTTGGATTTGTTCTATTGATTCCGGAATTTCTCTAACAGTGAGAGCTGCAATATTTAATCGCCATACATCGCTTTGCTTAGATTCTGTAGTTAGTAAAGTTGACAAAATGAAAGACAAATAATCAATTCTATTGTAAATATGAATTATTAAACTAGAATTCATAGTGAAAAATCTGCAAATATTCTCCAGATATGCATCTGGAATGGATGAATCGAATAATTCCTGAAATTGCTGCATAATATTTTCAATATCTTCAATTATTTGAGGTTCTATATCATATGATTTGATATTATATGACATTCTATTGGATATATCATTCTGAATCTTTTCATGAAGATTGTTTGGGTCAGGATCTTTGTAATCCATTGAAAAAAATGAGAATGTTACCCAATTCTCAATAATATTTAGTTGTTCTATAGCTTTTTAGTTATAGAATCATGAAAAGTTTTGCCATTTTTATCAATGGAAAAGTATCTAAACAAGCAATTTTCTTACAAAGAGCTAGAATCTAACAATGGCAAACAATCTACCCCATATTTTCACTTGCTTAATCCTTTATATCATAAGGTTCATGATCTTTTCAATAGTAATCCAAAAGATTATGAAGAACTTACATGCAGTATGCAAAACATAATAGCTATAGTGAATTATGGTGTATTTGATATTAATGAAGAGTTCGAGACATGCGATATCTTTAATATTATCGAGTTTTTCATTAAAACTATTGACACTAATATATTTAAAGTTTCTTTGGAGTTGTTGGCTGCTCTTTTCCTTAGGAAGCCTGATTATTTTCTGGAAAAGCTCACTGATGACTTGGTCATTAAAATTGTTGAATTCTCTGACAATATTGAACCAAATATTGCAGGTCCATCAACGCAATTCCTTCAGAATCTTATTTCAGGAGATGAGCAAAATTATCTAAGGCTGAAACAATTTATTGATATTAATTCAATATTTTCAAAAATTAAAAGTCCAGAAGTTCCGTCAGCTGTTAAAACTATAACATGTGCCTTAGTTAAATCAATATGTTCCTTCCCACAAGAAGATGAATTTTATAATTTCTTGATTAATGAAATTATTCAATGCATATTTCAAAATTATGGCGATATTGATGTTTTATTTGAATTATTCTCTGCATTTGGCATTATTGATCAAAATTATGAAAATTGTTTCGAAATCTCAAACAAAGCAGGATTCTTTGGTATAAATCCAAGCGAAGTAATGTTTTCTGATGAATGTTTTTCATTATTTTTGAAGTATTATGATATAATAGCAGAAATAGATCTGAAATCAATTAATTATTTAGAATTATTGAAGGTATTTGATTTGGATTTGCCTAATTCGAAAGGAAATACAATATACCTACTAAACAAAATCGTAATTGAGTCAGATGAAATCAAAAAAGATTTAATTTCGCATGGAATGTTAGAAATAGCACTTGATATATGCGAAGCAAAGTCATCTCATGCAAAGATTGCATTTAGATTACTATCTGCATTGCTTTCGGTGTGTAATTCGGAAAATTTACTTCGTTGTCTAAAAACAGATTTTCCAAATAAGATTATTGAATTAGCAATAGATAGTGATGATGCAAATTTCGTTATAGATATGATTTCGCTTCTTGTTCAATTGATTGTTTGCGAAACTAAATCAGGAGGCACTTCTCTTCAAGATATATGTCGGGAATACGAATTAGTAGATCAGATCAAATCAAACTTCGATGAACCATCTGAAAATTTAGAGACTGCAGTGGTGACAATTGAGAGATTATTAGAAGACAAAGAAGATCAGTGAAATCTTACATTACGATAAGCCTCTATCTAAAAGAAATAATAATATATGTTCAAGATTAAAAGAGCGCTAATTCTTGCCATAGATTCTTCAGAAAATGAGTTTTGGCGCCATTTTTGTTTTTGTTGTTTTTGTTCATGATTATAAACTGTTACTATATGACTAATCAAAATTCGTCATTTTTAAACTATTCTATACTTCATTTACCAAAAATTAAAAAAGTGACACTCATCTTCCTATGGAGGTGTAAAGTTAACAATTTTTGGCGGGAAATTTTTTCATAAGCAAAATATAATGCATTCCGTTTCTGATCTTATCCTCAAGAAAGGACCACTCTCTTCTGTTTGGATAGCAGGAACATCTACAGACAAACTTGGCAAGAAGATGGTTCTTGCAACAGACATTGCTACACTCGCCAAACAGATCATGGAGGAAGAAAGAGTTAATCTTGTTCTTCGCCTTAGTGGTATGCTCCTTAAAGGTCTTGTCGTCGTTTATTCTAAGAAGATGCAATACATGCTTACAGATTGTGAGGACGTAATTTCTAAAATTAAGCTTTCTTTCAAGCCAGGCCAAATTGATCTTACTGGAAAGAACTCCAAGGAAGAAACAATTACAATTACTACCGATATCTCTGATTTAACGATTGAACCAGTTGATCTCGCTGAATGGGCTAAAACGGCCAACCCAGAAGAATACTTTGTAGTTCAGCACCCAACCATTTCGTTCCAAACTCCAGAGCCTTCTCAAGCCCAAACAGATGATTCTGCAGCTACTTCTTCTTTCTCATCTCAGATACCAGAAACACCAATCAAATTTAATTTCGATAATGAATCACTCGGAAATAGTACAAGACCAACCGCGCGCCAAACACCAGCACGCAATGTAGAGGTACCAGAGACCACATGGGATGATGTAGATGATATTCCAATTCCAGGAGACGATGAGCCAATGCCAGATATGAGAGCTCAGTCAGAAACTGAAGCTACAACAGAACCCGATAACGAAACCGAAGAAGAAAAGACAAAACGTAAGAAATTAATCATTGATAACCAAACAATGCTCTCAAATAACAGAAGAACAACACGTCGTACACGCAGAACTGTCACAAGTGAAGCTGCTCCACAAGTTATTGCAAACTCTCAACTTGATTCATTATTTGCCGAATCAAGAAAGCTCGGACGCGACCAATCCGACAAAGAAACAAACCGCAATGCTCCTGATGAAGATTTCGAGTCAGATATGGGCCCAGGACTTGGCGGTTTCGATTCTGATGCCGAAGTTCCAGAGGTTGAACAAAATAGATCCGCAAGAGTTCCTCAATCCAGCGAAAATGATATTCTTCCAATGCCATCTGACAATGACATCATTCTTGGTAGCGACCGTAACAAAGGATCAGACGATGAAGACCAGATGAGACCAATCGAAGGAATGCCACGTCCAGTTCTTACTCCACTTGCATCTCCTTATCCTAACTTGAAGTTTGTTGTCGAAGAAACACCGAGAAGAACTGCAGAAGACTCTTTCACAACAGAGACAATTAATACACTGAATAAGTTCAGAGAAGTTCTTAGAGGAAAAGAGGAAGAAAAGACAACATTCAGTGAAACTTTCTCTGGTTCTTCAAGAAGAGCTGCTGCAAGAGCTTTCTACCAGATGCTTGTTCTTAAATCAACTGGTCAGATTGATGTAAAGCAGCAAGAGCCATTCGGAGAAATCGAAATCACTCCAGGAAAGCAATTTTGGACCACTTAAAAAAACATTAACTGTTCATTTTTTAAAAAATTATAATAAATTTATTTTTTGCATAAATGAAAAATACTATTAACACTTCTTATGTCGTTCGATTCTTAATCTTGTAGTATTCTTTAAAATGCTCCAAACAGCGTAATTGAATGGTTTAGATACATCAAATAGTTCTTGAACTTGAGATTCAAAACGAATCTAATTATACGCATAATTTCCATTATATGGTTTCTTTACAGAAATCTTCAAAACATAACAACAATTATCTATTTTTCTGCTCATCAAATATACTAATGAGTTAGAACAAAGTAGCAAACTAATTTTAAAGACTCATTTTATGTTTCATCAAATTTATTCATATATATGATGAGTATTTTAATAATGAAGTTATAATCTTTATTACTATGATGAAAAGTCCCAAAAATAATCTGAATTTAAATTAATACAATGAGATCAAATAATACAATGGGAGTCTTTCTTACCTTTATATTTCTTTTTGATTATTTCAGGGTAACGGAAAACTTCCAGCACTTCTTCGCAATGATTATATATCGCAACATATTCAGCAGTTAATTCTTTATTATTTTTTGCATTAATATCTATATCATTTAAAATGAGAACTTCTGTTACCTTTCCATTATCATTTTTAGCTGCAACATGAAGAGCAGTTTGTCCGTAGTTATCTTTTGCATTTTTATCTATTCCATTCAAAATAAGTATTTCTGGTGTTTTATTATTGCGATATTTAGCAGCATAATGAAGGGCATTTTGTCCATCCTTATCTACTGCGTTTATATCTGCTCCGTGAGTAATTAGAAAATTAGTTGTTTCCAGATTATTATTTGACACTGTATAATGAAGAGCACTTTTTCCATAATCATCTTTAACATTTATATCTGCTCCATGCGGCAGAAGGCATTCCATTGTTTCTAGACTATTTTTCTCTGCTGCGTATAGAAAAGCTGTTTTCCTTTCTCTATCGTATGCATTTATATTTGAAACATGAGATAAAAGATATTCGACAACTGGAACACAATTCTTTTCAGCTGCATAATGAAGAACTGTTTTAAACTTAGTATTTTTTGCATTAGTATCTGCTCCATGAGATACAAGATATTCTACAACTTTAATATTTCCAGTTGAATAATGAAGAATAGAGTCTCCCAATTCATTCTTTGCATTTATATCTGCTCCATTAGTAATAAGAAACTCTAATATTTCAAAGTTTTTATCCGAATAATGAAGAGGTGTCATCTTCATATTATTTTTTGCATTTACATCAGCACCATGTTTAACAAGAACTTCTACAACCTGCTTACTATTACTCATAACTGCTGCATGAAGTGCAGTATTTCCATGATATTCATCTTTTACGTTAATGTCTGTAACATGAGAAATGAAATATTCGCAAAGAGAAGGTAAATTAAAAAATGTTGAATAAATAAAACACTGGTCAATTTCGTTAGTTTGATCTAAATAAGCAAAGAACGCTTCAAGATTATTATACAATCCACAAGTATTTAAATTAACTTATTCTTTGTATTCGTTCTTCAAAAATGAAACGAAATCAATATTGTGAGAAATAATTGCAAAATCCATGCATTTATAATCAGGACTTTGAACTTTCAAACATTGGTTCATTATTTCAGGATTCCCACTTAAAAATGAAAATCGTAAACAGTTTTGCGTGATCATAGAGTGGAATTCTGAGATTAGATACTTGAAACAATTGACAGAACCATGATAACAACATAATTCTAATAAAGAAAATACATCACATGAATCTGGATATAATTTGCTCTTTAGAGTTTGATTTGGATCAAATCCCTCTTTTTCGGTAAATGATATGAAAACCTGTTTGTTGTCGTCCATAATAGCTCTGTAAATTGTGTTTTGTTCGTGGACTTCTAATGAAAGATTTTGAGATTCATATTTTTTTGAGTTTTTCTTCATTTTTTGCTATTTCTCCAATGGCACACTCTCTATAAAATAGGTACTGGATGACTTTATCTGGAAAATTGATCGTTGTTGGATGACATTCGTCATATATCTTTTTCATAAGAATTAAATATGACTTAAGATAATGATTTTGAAACTTCATATAGTTCGAAATACTATTCATAATCTTCTCGGGTGAGAATAATTTGGAATCAATTAGATTTACTTTAATCATTTGATAAATTTTTTCAATTTCTTCTGTATTTCTTGTATTTAACTTATATATTGCATTAAATGTACTTATGATATCGCCAAATGTGCTAATCAGTTCTAAGTAATTGCTTATATGCTCTTTATCTGAACTCATTTCAAAAAAATTATAGGTTTTATGAAAATTTCGGAGAACAAGATGAATGCATAATTTCAAGGAAATTGATTTATTTTTGGAAAATAGATGCAAGCCGACAGTCTTCAATTAGATTTCGGAAGAACATTCTTAGAACTCTAATTTAAAGCAGGTATTAATGATTCTATAGTACTAAAAATAGAATAAACACATTCTTTTCTTATGGAAATTATTCGAAATTTGAAAAATTAAACTCGTTTTACTATGTAAAGTCTTCTCGCCTGTAGCCTACTCCGAGACTTTTATTTTCTATTATATAAAAGTTTGTTCATACTAGATTGCTCGACAATAAAATAGATGTGAACCAGATTTATGTCTGATCCGATTAGAAGTAAGAATGATAAAGAATATATTTAGCTATTATGAAACAAAATACTAATAATTTATTTTCGAGCATATTTCTTTGGCTGCTTCTTTGAAGTAAGCTTCTTTTTAGCTTCATCCTTAACATGAACTCTAGTTGACTGCAAGAACGGAGCAGGTGAGATGCCCTCAAGGGTTCCAAGTAGATTATCTAATTTAGTAATTTCTGTAACAAGATCCTTGGCACGCGGACCAACAATCATTAGACCTGGTTCAAGATTTGCAACATTAACACCTATTTGAAGTTCTTCTATAAGAGCTCTTAATCTCTGATTTTCCTCTTCCAAATCATGAATACGTTTGAATTTGTTTGATGCACGACTTGAGGATCTCCTCTGAGGCTCTTGTTGAGGTGGTTCTTCTTTTGGTTTCTCAAACTTGACATCTGGACATATTCCGCATAATATTTTTGTTTGTGGTACTTTGGACTGCATTTTTTTGACCATTGTTTGTGTCAAGCCATTATTTCCGCGGAGATCTAAAAGTTTGAGAGGAACATCAAGAAGAGCATCTTCAATAATATTAATAAATTGATATGTAAATTCGTTATTCCTGAGATCAAGAGATTGAAGGCAAACATTTTGCGATGGAACACCTAATACATGATCTTTCCAATCTGCTTCTGATTGAACAAAAACATGAAATGCGAGCAGAGAGCGTAAATCACAAGTGCATTCATCTGTAAGCTCACACTTTCTGAATTGAACTTCGACTATTGAACGCTTTCTGAGAGACCGACATAACCTCGAAAATCCTTTATCTCCTAAAGGAATATCGCAAAATCTTAAAACACGTAATGTGTTGCTTGAAAAAATTGCATTAGCGAGTAAATCAATATCAACTTGTGAGAAAGGAATTGTTCTAAATTTCAAAAACTCGAGTATTTGTGATTCTGAAATAGTTGTGCAAAGGGTTTTTACCAATTTCTTCGTGAAGTCTTTTTTCTGTCTGCAAGTTGAATTTAGCAAAGTTAACGGATATACTGGTCGTTTATTTGATCTCGGATCTTCTTCTTGCAATTGTTCATTCTTTCTATTTGTTCGAATGAGTAAGTCGCAATTAAATCCAAGGCCAACAGCTTTCGAGGAAAATTTATCAGGAATTGATTTAAGAAGTTGCTCAAAAACATCTGGTGTAATGCGTGAAAGATCAAACTTGTATATACCGTCCTTTGACTTTGATATTTGTTCTATTTCTTTCATGTTTAACGGCTCTGTTTTCCTCATTTTTTCTCAAATTTGTAAAATTAACGTCTTTTTTTTCATTTAAATTGAAGGAATTTTAAGCCAATGGATAATATCTTGAAACGGCAACCATGTTGTTATTTTATACTTTGATCTCTTCTTCTGATTTTTCTAATGATGCACGTCTTTGAAGCTGTTTCATCTGTATAAGTTCATATTAACCTTCATTTTCTATCATTTTTGTATCAATGTATCATTTCTACCATTATAGAGTCTTATTTATATAATACAATCGAATAATTCTATTTTACTTTAAAATTCTCAATTTCGTATTATTTCTTCTCAATTTAAGTGATATCATAAGAATATTTTCGAATTAGGACTGCTAGCACATATAAATGTGCTTTGAATTTCAGAATACTCTATCGAATGGAGTAATTTGGTTTAATTATGTTCTTTTGATGCATATTTCAAGTATTATTAGTAAAGATGTTGAATTAAAAAATGTAATTAATTGAAATAAACTAACACAAGAAAAAAATACATTTACAATCTAACACGAGAAACATTAGGAGTAAAATCTCCCATCCATCGAGGCAGCTGCGTTCTTCTCAACACACGAGGCGGCCCATAATATAATTTTTCAGGTTTATTTGTTGGATTCGCTTCAATTTGTGGATTTTCGAGGCGAACTTGAGTTTCTACACGAGAATTGTAGTTCAAGGTTGTATCTTGAATGTTTTGTTTGCGAACTGTAATTGGCCTGAGCATTGTCGCTTCTACGCGACGAACTTCTTCTTTATCTGAAGATTTCTTTGGAATTCTTCGTGCAGATGGATTTCTATCTGGAACTAAGTCTTGGTTCATCTTTGAAATGTATGGAACTTGTAATTCTTTCTGTCTTTGAACAGGAGGATAAAAAGGTTGGGATTCATTTTTAATAAGAGTATTTCTTGTCTCTTGCATGAGAAGTTTGAATGAAGAATTTGATGACTTGCTTGAGCTGAGCCTTTCTTTCTGTATTGTCCAGTCGTAAACGCCATCATAAGTAAATCCCATGCGTAAAAATAGAGAACGAAACATTTGCTTATAAAGAGCGTAATTAGGAGTATCTGTAAAGTGCAATTTCTTAATTTCTTTGAAGTAAGTAACAAATTCTTCTGGGAAACCTCGACATAACTCTTCAATTGGAGTTCTTGCTTTAACATCGCATATTTTTTCATACTTTTGACGCTGATCTTTAGCCTTCAATCCCATCCATGGTAATGATCCACGCATCAAATAAATCCAAACGTAGCCTAAAGCCTCCATATCATCACGGCGAGACTGTTCAACACCTCGAAGAGCATTCACAGATGCATATCTTGCTGTTCCTGTTAAGGATTTTCCATCAATCCACGGAATATGTTGATGAGTGAATTGATCGCGATATCTTTTTGATAAACCAAAATCGATAACATAAACTTTGTTGGAATTCTTGCCTGTTCCCATTACGAAATTGTCTGGTTTTATATCACGATGAATATAATTTTTGTTATGAATAAATTCAACAGCCGATATCATTTGATCTGCAAGCATTAAAGTTGTTTTAAGAGAAAATTTGTTTTTGCCATCATTTAAGTGGTCTTCTAATGATTTTTCGAGTAAGTCGATAGCCATGACGTTATAATGTCCTTCGCTTCCATAATAGTACAAGCGAGGTACACTACTGCACCCTTCTAAAACTCCATACAGTTTTGCTTCATATGGTAACTGTGGAGATTGATTCTTTGACGATTCTAATTTCAAAGCTACTTTTGTGTGATTTTGGAGATCATCACAGATGTAGATCTGCCCAAAACTTCCAGCTCCTATTTTTCGGATAAGTTTGAACCTCTGAGCAAAGATCTTATCCATCTGCGAAATTTCTGCTAGGAAAATTTTTTTTCTTCAATGAGAAATTTTTCTTTAAATTTGATGGCGAGATGGTTGACATCAAAAACATCATGTTGCTTTTTCACAATTTTTGAGATATATAAAATTGCTTTTGAAATTATCTAATAATTTAACTATATTTGGAAATAATATTGATTTGTGCACATTATATTTTTAACGTCTTTTCCTAGCAGAAATTTCGCAAATGAAGGATTCAATTTTGAATGACTGCAAATTTTTGTGGATAGAAAATGAAAAAGGATTGACGATTAGACTTCTGTGATTGCAATATTTGATGAATTGCTTATACGGAACCTGTAAGTGATTTGTTTGTGCATTTGTTTCCTTAAAACCCCTTATAAATTTACATTTTTAGTTTTTTTTTACTCATATTATATAAATAAGTATAAATTTATCAAAGGTGTAGCTTTTCTATTGGATCTGGGAATGAAATCTAATGTGAAGGCATATTGGCACGCACAATCAATTGATTTCTCGAAATCTTTAACAATGGTTTGCTTCTTGTATTTATATTCTTTATCTATTAGTTATAGTACTTTTATATTCTGAAATAATTAGCCTGGAGCACCTATTAATCTAATTATTTCGCAATAATTGTTTCTTGCAAATGTGTTTTCTTCTAAAATTATATAAATATACGTCATACTTGTCATAGAACGTATAGTTTTAATAATTATATTATAAGATTTCATTTTCGTTGAGATATTGTTTTCGATAGGCGAATCAATATGTCATCATAATACACACACAAAACAATATGCTATTTCTCTCATCAAGAAACCAAGAATAATTAGTTGTGAACATATTAATCATAAATTAAAAGGGTGCACTAATAGCAAAGAAATATACACCTACGGTTAAGTGCAAAAGGTTTTCGCTGCCTAGACTTAATCTATAAATTGTTTATTTCTTATACCTTTCAGTGATTAGTCAATTAAAATCATTATCGGAAGAAATTTAAAAGAAAATGCAATTCCGAAGGTAAAATTGAGATTACACATGAAGAAATGTCGTGTGTTTTCTATCTAAGCAGATCCAGCAGAAAGTCGGCAGATCGATGATAAAAAAAGGAATTAGAGATTTTCCAAATATAATGCAAATATTACTATATGTGTATCTCAAGGAAAACAAAAAATGATTCAGATCTTCCTTTGAAGAGTCAAATCCTGACGGTTGTTGCGGTTTACAAGAACTTTCGCTCCAAAAAAGCGGTTTAACACAAGTTTTTGAATAAGTGTGTTTGAAGAATTGGAAGCCATTTAACAATGCAAGATATGCTTAGTGGCAGCTCTGCTGAAGATCTCTTTGGTTCAGCATCACAACCAATAAGCAGCCAAGAAAATACAGCCCCTCTTGATTTAATTGTTGACCTTCCAGTTCAGAATTCATCTAATAGCGCAACCCCAAAGAATTCTGCTGATTTATTTGCTGCACCACCACAAACACAAGCAAACGATAACGAATTCGGTGGCGAAAATGACGCCGTTGAAGATATTTACGCATCCGGCCCAGCTGCTGAGCCAGAAAAGGTTTCTGCACTCGTTGAATGGGAACAAAACAGGAACAAAATTATTGCAGACCAAGATGACGAAGAAGAAAAACAGATTAGCGCTATGAGGCAAAAGGCTTCTGAAGACCTTTCAAACTTCCATAAGAAGATTGAAGAGGGTCAGGAAACCCGCGCTCATCATAATGTCGAGGTAGATGCTGAAACAAAGGCTGCCCTCGAGTCGCATCCAGAAAATCAGTGGGAGGGCGTTGTTAGTTATATTGACTTCAACCGTTCAGATTTACATGAAAAGGATGTTTCGAGAATGAAAGGACTTCTTCTTCAGTTGAAGCATTAAAAAGTTTTTATACCTTTCCTTCCCATGGATATAAAGGACGAGTAATAATAATTTTAATATAACTTTTTGTTTTACATTTTACATCAAAAGTTGCTCTTGATTTCATCTGCAATTTTTAATGAAAATATTACTTAAGAAATTTACATAGCAAGTGTAGCGAGTGGTCATTTGGGGTTGAAATACTCTGCTTCGTCATTTGCTTTTGAAATTTATTAGACTTCTCGTATGAAATTTTGAGAATGATGGTAATTACATTCATCAGAATACATCATAATATTGACCTTGACTAATATAGCAAAATATGCATTATCTGAACTTGAAATTTATGGATAAGTGAAATTTCCGAAATTTCACTCATCATTGTACTTTGGATTGTGACCATTGTAGATTTCATATATCAACTGCCATCAAATTCTGTTTAAATCTCACTTAATAATTGATGATTTTGAAAACGATTTCTAACTTCATATCATTTCTCATCTTTATTCGTCTAGTATTTAATCATTTTATCAAGATTAGATGAATTGGCTTCATTGCCTTTTATCTGATATAGTGTAAGCTAACATGAGCTTAACGAAAAAGAGTTATTTACAATAATTCATCTCCTTTCTCAATATTTTCTATAAATTGTTCTCTAAAAAGTGACAAAAAAGGATCTCAACAAAGAACAAAATGTCATAACTTTTTCTCAAAATACGATGAATCTATCTGGTTGCATATCAACAAAGTCCTTGAGAATTAAATCATTATCAGTAAATTGCTCTATAAATGCATTCTGAAGGATGTAAGTTTAGATTTCATCAAAACAATTTTGTTTTATGGTATTTCCGTCAGTAAAATGTTTTTATTCCAAATGAATCATGAAAAAAATAGCGTTTAAATTAATATAAAATCAAACAAGATATTTATAACAAATAAATAATGAAATAATAATGATAATATTAATCTTCTTCCTGGATGAGAAGTTGATATACATTATCAAGTATCTTCACGAAATTATGTCGAATCTTATTCTTCTCAAGCTCTTGAATCACACGATGTGAAGCAGTGATAGTTCCCTGCCTCGAGTACTGCTGTATCGATGACAAATCGCTAACAGCTGTTCCTGAAATTCCAATTGTTCCAAGTTCTTCTTCGTTCATTCCGAAGAAAGCGTCGCCACATGTTACAACTGCTGAAGGAACCATTGACACCTCAGGCATCTCTTGTGAAACAACAGCAATGCAGAAGTCAATGGCAAGTGATATTGCTTGAGAAATGATCTGAAAATTCTGCAAAGTCTTATTTACGCCAAAAATAATCGTCACTTGTCGGGCTGAACTTCTAATGATATCGAAATCGGCCAAGACTCTGATTTTCTTCTCAAGGATGTCCATAATGATTTGATATGTGTCGACTAGGACATCTTCGTCGTTGGAAGGCGAGATATAAATTGCAGCCGACATAATTGCGCAAAACTCAATGGAATAATCGATATTACGCCAATTGGCAAATCTCTTTGGCCCAATTTCACATCGATAAGCGATAATCATGTCCTTTAATTTCTGTAATTTTTGAGCAAGTGCGTTTTCTTCGATTTGTTCGTTGATAATGAACATTCTCCACTCTTCTACAGGTATAACATCTGCCTTTTCTGAGTAATTCATAATGAAATCTTCGACATTTTCGCCAATGAAAGCTTTCTCAGACTTTTTGAAGAAAGCGCACCACGCGTGATTAACTGTTACAATACAACCTTCTGCGTTCGTAAGACATGTTGGACTGAGAAGCGTTTCCAAAATAAATTGAGTAGATGTCTTTCGTTTCCAAGTATTTATGGAATCTACTGCGTTGATTTTGTTTGAGCTTGTCTCTACATATGTCTTCACAAGGTCCTTGATCTCTGCTGTCAATTCATAGAAATTGACAATTTTAATAAAGAAAATATAATAAAGAACTATTACAATAGAAAACAAGAGTTGGGCCACAAGAGCTTCAATGACTGCATAACCGAACGATGCTTTGACTCTTTCATCTGTATTAAATTTATCAATCTTTAATAAGCTCGGAAGAGTGAAGTTTATTAGCAGTTCCCTAAGTAATGCAGTATTGGCATGCGTTGGGAATAGTTCTGTGTCTGAAGAATAGTTAACAATCGTTAATGGTAAAATACTTATTGGAACTTGTATCAAAAGAGGCCTATTACTAGGGGACGTATCATTCCCGAGTAAGAAACTGAGGGATCTTGATACGTAATCAGTTAATATCGATTTATTAGCGTAAATTGAATAATTTGAGTAATTGTAAAGCTCAAAAGCGTTAACGGCGTTGTAAGCATAGAATACACTTCTTGTATCACTAATTGTGCTCTGAACTAATTGACTAAAATCACGTTTCGTGTATTTATAAAAATAATAATCCCAAACATAAGAAATTACAAGGACAATTATGAAAGAAATGAAATATAAAAACAATGCAAATAAGTATTTGACTAATTCCGTGTGATTCTTTGATAAATAAGCAACAACAAGTTTATGATAAGGCGCAGGATCAATGAAAATGCGAGTTGTATATTTGGCATAAAATAAACAACCAATTACGTATAATAATAACAAAGCTGCAGCTCCGAAAGAGATATAATACATTATAACTCTTTTAGAATCAGTAGATTCAGCGTGGCAAGTCAAATAAGCTTCACTAGCAGTATCACTCATGACAGCATTTCCATTTGCAATTTGTTGTGCTAAAATTGCAAATGAATCTACGAAATAAGTTATATAATCATCTGGTAAAGGTCCAGATTGGTTTGCAGAGAAAGCCTCTTCGATTGTTGTGTACATTTTATCAGTAAAAATGTGGAATGGCATGTTAATCTTGTAATTACTTCGAAAAACAGGAGTTTCAATATTAAAATTCGTTTTGCTGACGTAATTATTGAAACAAGTATCAGAATAGAATGGCTCTGTTAATACTAAGTACGTGAAATTCCAAAATAGACTCTGAAACTCTTCTCTCGAGTCAAAAATAAAATTAGCTTCAGATCTATTGATTTCTCCAACAGCAGTAGGAACAACAGTCAATGTCTTCGTGAAAAAGAATGATGCAAACTTCAAAAACGTGCTTTGAACATATGTAAAATTATTATTTTGATCAAAATGTCTCTGAGCTAAAATATAATTGACTGCGAAGAGTATGGTGATGAACAAACTCAATGTTATCAATAGTATCCATATGAAAATGTATCTTCTGTTGTATGGTTCAAATTTATTTTCAGAATTAAACATTTTTGCAAGTTTTTCTTCGTTTTCTGTATTTGTGTCATCTTCTGATTCTGATTTGATGTCTGCTTCATCCATTTTCATGATTTCTACTTGAACATTTTGGAAATTATTCAGAGGAAGTGAAAAAGAAGTGTCACAATAAGCTTCAGGATCATCTTCTAGTCTCGTAAGGTAATGTCTGAGCATTTGAACATGGTCCTTGTCCTTAGAAATGTAATTCTCATACAAAATACATAATTTGAGAACAGAAATGTTGTTTGGAAAGCGATATCTCATTTCAAATGTAAAGCTTGTAATCAAATTTCGCATTTGATTCGTTCCTGATACCAACATAAAGTTATCCCTCACACATGTGGACAAACTCTTGGCATAAAGTTGCCTGATAGATGGGAATGAACATATCTTGTTCGATACATTCTGAATAGCTTCTTGGTATTCGGGTTTGAGCTTCTTAACTGTCCTCAAATCACAAAAAAGATCGTATTCGTAAATTATGAACTTATCTGTAGGTCTTCGTGGGAGTTCTCTGAAATTTGAGTCAAGAAGGGACATATATAATGGTGGGTTCTTGAATAATGTCGCATATCTGATCATCAAAATTTCAAGATCTTTTATATTGAAATACTGTTTTGCCCATTCTAAAAATTGTCCATTGATAGCTGATTTTACGCCATTGGAAAAGCCTGATCTGAATACCATTGTTAAATGCCAAACAGATTTTATCTTTAGACTCTCAAAATCAGTTCCGCATTTAGCTAGTTTTAATGCTTGTCGATCAGATATGATCTTGAAGACGAATCTGAATACAAAATCGAAAATTACAAATGAAAAGAAAATTGCGTAAACAAAAACATCAGGATACTTAACATAGCCTGCTCCATGGAATATCGACATGATTCCTGCTATAATTAATGTGACTCCGTATGAGCAAACATAAGAATTCATTGAATTATGAATGAAATAAGAGCAAAAACCTTTAACTATAAAGAATATGCCAAATCCTAAGTATAAACAAGCCAATGATCTGAAGTGAAGCTTTGGATCTGTAATTTTTATACCAAATGTCACTAAGAAAATCATAATCAAGAAACTATTGAAAAGCGTATTAGGGGAAGATAATTTTGCGTAGTATCCTGATAAAAAGAACATTGAGTTGTAAACTGTTGAATGATTAACCGCATTTATGAATAATAAAAGGATTAACATGACGCAAAGGGCAGCAAATTCGGGCATGAAGTATAAATACTCTCCAAGAATTAACTGAGCAAATAAATTTGCAGCTTGTGAGCATAAAATATAAATTGAACTGCTGAGAATCTCACATGAGACAACATAGATGAAAAATAATGTTAAATTTGGAAGAGTAATGTGTTTCATCGTATAAATGAGTCCGAACAAATAGAAGAAAATAATAAAAATTCCTAAAACAAAGCATATAATGCAAACTAGTAATGATGGTTCTTGTTGTGGTTGCTGAAAGACGAATGAAAGTATCTTTTGATATAGTGTAAGTTGATTTTGATATTTACAATTGGCAAACGCGAGAAATGAAACAATAAACATATGCTGAAATAAACGGAAGTACGCAAACATCCATCCGATTACCATATGTTTCGTGGAAACTCGCACTAGGGATGAAGCTAATCGAAAAATTGCTTCTTCAAGAGATGTTAAATGAGTTGGTTTGACGAAAGGAACTTCTTGGAATTGTTTCGAGAGTATTTCATTATGAAATGCTTGTTCATTTTCCTCTATGTCATCCATTCGCCACGAAATAATTTTTAACTATTGAAAAGTTAGAAGTGAAAGAAATTAGTGTCATCAATGGTATTAAGAGATTTATTATAAAAATATCCAAACGTAATTTTTGAATGATTTATATTTTTTTATTTTTAGAATAAATTTATTATATAAATTATATCTCATAAGTTGACCGCATTATAAAAACTGATTCACATAAATTCAATTTCCTCTCAAAAATTGAAAGATATATTAATTCAAACTTTGTTATTCTATTATATGAATGCAATGTATGGTTACTTCTAAGGGTTTCGTTTTGCGAAAAAAACGTACAATACGCAATTTCGCTAAAAAAACATTTAGCTAGCAATTTCGACCTTTGACTCCACTCAAGACGTCACTTTTTTAATTTTGCGGTATCATATTTTTGGAAAATCTTTATGAATATTATATAAAAAGTCTCTTTAATATCTATATTTCATATTTTTATCGATTTTTAAAGTTTTTGCGAAAAGTATTCAATTATTTTTGCTATTTGGTCGGGTAAATGTCAGATTTGCGACATTTTCTGATATGATATTCAGATTCTACGTTGATAATAATGCTTATAGAACCCTCTTGCTATTGTGTCAAAATTGCGAAACCGATAGCAAAAATATCTCGCAATATCAAAATTGAGATATTGGGTGAATTATGCATTATAGAGATTAAAAATCTGATTTGTGAAAACATCTCATCAGTTTCTAGCTAATTCAAAAATCTTTACTATTTTATTTGATTAAAATGAAAATGGAATAGTTTCATTATGCTTTAAATGACAGCCTTATAATATAATCATAGTTTTCGCTCAATATGCAGCATTTTTTTTCGAAATCTATGGTCAATGTCCTAAATACTGATTGCTTTGCATTCATATCTCTTACATTTTCTATACCCACATCACTATTCATTGCTATTCCTATCTTTTTCATTTTGTTTGTTTCTCATAATTTCTCAAAAACACGATAACTTGATATTTGTAAATATCATACTTTATAACGTAAATAAGAACTTGACCTATTATGAAAAGCAGTAATGAAAAGAAAATCTGAAATTCATAAAAATTACAAGTTTCTGATGACAATTAGCTTAATTAAACCAGGTACAAGATTATATAATTGTATTTTCTATTCCATATAATATCTTATCCAGAAAAAATAACTTGATCAATACCAAATGATTTTTTAACTAGTAAATAAAGTATTTTCTTTACACACACATTGTATATCATAGTTTTTTTTTTGGTTTCGCAAAACATCCAAAAACAAATATGCTATAAAAGTGACAATTTTAGCAAAACGAAACCCTTATTACTTCGAATTAACAATAAAAAAATTCAATCAAGATGAAAATATTTTTCTGAATGAAAATCTTCTCAATATTGGATTGTAAAATAATGATGATTTGAATTGTGTTTTAATAAATTAGAGTATTTGGTACAAATTTCGATTGAATATATAGCATATGGGGCGGAATTAGATATTTATTATGAGATTTGATTTGAGAATTGGAAATGACGTAAATTAAATGATTATTATTAGTCTACTTAGCTCGATATAGTTGTTGATGATATGTTTTAGACGTAATTACAATCATAGTGGCATAGATCCAAAGAGAAAATCGAATAGGAGATCTCATTCGTGATAATATTCCATTTCTGTTTTCATTGATAGAATGAGCCTTGTATTGTAATAAACAGAAATTCATCAAAAGTGACAGCTCTCAATATGAGTTTATGTGATATTATTTTTCAGAAGATTTTGTGTTCTTCTTCAAAATTTTATTTTTTTATTAAAAAGAATCTTTACAAAATATACATTTACTTTAATTAATATTTAAAAACGTGCTCTATCAAAAGTTCCAAAAATTCAATATTTTAGCTTTTCTGAAGTGTCACTTTTGATGAATTTCTGTTTACAACAGTATATCGTTTATTTTTGAGTTTTATTGTTCGAAAACTTTGAATGAATTCAAAAATCAAATAATAGGCAAATACTTCGCTCTCTGAGAATTACTCCATATAAATGATGTATAAGTATTTCCATTTTGATTATACATCATCCAAATATTAATGAAGGCATCAGAATCTAGCAAAAAATACATTTCTTAACGAGGAAATTATTTATTTTAGTATAAACATTGTATAGAGTTGCTGCCCACAGTTTAAATTTTAATGAAAAACCGCAGGGCCCGATATTGAGAAGTTTACAACGGTTTGATTCTCCTTTTGGTCCTATGCCTCGTCCAGTTCTTCACCAGGAACACTTCAAGATTCCAGAGAACATCAAGTGCACAGTCAAGTCCGGTGTTGTCACAATCGAACACCAAGATCCAAAGGACAAGAAGACAACAAAGCTCGTCAAGGATCTCTCCCACCTCAAGCTCGACTTCGAATATGATGAGAAGGATCACCAGATCGTTGCCCGCTGCTGGTTCGGCAACCGCAAGCTCCTTGCCCGTATCGGCACACTCTTCGGCATCGTCAAGAACATGATCACCGGTGTTACACTCGGCTGGCGTTATAAGATGCACTTCGTTTACTCCCACTTCCCAATCAAGCACACATGCTCTGAGGATGGCCGTACATTCGACTTCAACGGCTTCATGGGTCACAAGGAGCACAAGATTGTTACAGCTCCAGAAGGCGTCAGAATCTGGTCCAACGAATCTGTTGCTAAGGATGAAATCAACATCGAAGGTGCCAACCTCGAAGATGTCTCCCTCGTCTGCGGCCAGATCCACCAGCTCACAAAGATCAAAGATAAGGATCTTCGTAAGTTCCTCGATGGTATCTACGTCCAGCACATCGAGCACCTCAAGGAGGAGTAAATAAAGAGTTAATATCTTTTATTTATACTTCAAATACTTATCTTTTTTGCCTCAACTGCATCGCCTTATAATTATTTAATAGTTTGAGGCGTGTCTTTTTAGAATTTTTAAAACTAAATCTAATATCTACTATGTAAGTATGGTTTTATGGCATATTCTTTATAAACCTGCATCCATAGCAAATATTTATGTATTCATGGCCTCTTCAAATAATAATTTACGTTGATAAAAATTGATTGGTATTATGCAAAAATCCATATTCTGACTTAAATAATGCGTTAACGAGTAAAGATAGAAATACTATTATTCAAAGAATACTATGCTCAATAAAAATATATCTCATAAATCATGAAGAATATATAATCAAGATAGTAGCTTATGCTAGGATTTGGGCAACTATATGTATTAGTACGGATATTATACTTTCAATAAGCGAGATAAGTAAGAAATTGGAAGCCCAATTTTAATAACTGTCACTTTTTTATTAAAAAAAATGAGTATTGAACAAGAAATTCAAGAGGCCATGGCAAATCTAGATCAAGAAATTTCTGAAAAGAAAGTGATGTTATATGGTGAAGATCCTCTTAAACTTGAAGTTCTTCGAAAAGGAATCGATAAAATTCACAAACCAAACTTAGGTTACAAAGAAATATCAGATTTTGTTTCACTTTGTCTTTATTACGAAGATTTATATCATAGAAGACCAGATGTGATCTCTAAAACACTTGTAAAATCTGCAGCTCAAGAATTGTTACCTAAAGTTGATGTTTTTGAAGACTACGTTGATGAATTAGCTAAATTCAATCAAGGTGCAGATGATTATTCGCAAGAACTCAATCGCAAAATACAAATTCTTGATGAGCAAATTAACGAACTTCAAAACCAATTGGGTTTATAAATTGTTTGTATTATTGACTGTATCTAAATATATTACTGTTTACAAAGTTTAAAATTGTTATATAAAATCATATATCAACAACATTAAAAAAATTATTCTATTGGTTGAATTTAGGGTGTTTACTAGCACTAAAATATATATTTCGTTTCTGATTAAATGAAAATTAAACGAGATTGAAAATTGTTGAAATATATGGAATGTACTCTTTATAGAAGTATATAAATTGCATTATATATACCTTTGGTACTTACAATGAATAAACATCTATATTTGGCTTTATAAAACATGAGAAAAAACGAAAATTATTGAAAAAATTTACAGAATATATAAAATATATATAAAAATGATGATTAGTTTGATCAAAACATAATAACGAAAACGATTTTAATCTAATAAATGACAAGCGACACAAGTGAATAAGATTTGAAGTGGACACATTGGATAAGTAACAGTAGTCTTATACATATTTGAAGTAGTGGAACCAAGGGAAGCAACAATTCTTCTTGGAGAAGAATCATGATAAACAATGAAATTATGTTGATCAGGATTTTTGAAAATTGTGTCGAAAGAAAGATCAAAAGTACTTCCTTGGTTTTGAGGCACTCTTGTTTTCATAACAATAGCCTCTTTAGCATGCTGAAGAACACGAGCAACTAATCCTGATGTCTCTGCGCCTTCGATTTGAACATATCTCTGACCTTCTGCATGTTTTTTGAGAGCTGGAATGTATAATTCGAAAAGAATTGGTCCACCATCTTTGGCATATGATCTGTTAAGTTTCATTGCGCATAATTCTTGGTATGGTTTATATTCTGTTGTATAACAGAAAAATGTATCTTCATCCTGTTGTTTAATTTCGGCAACTTTATCTCCACCAAGCATAATATTCACTCCTGTCTGTCGTTTAATTGCCTTTATTTGTAATTCTTTATTTGTTGGATCAACAAGTCCAAATTCGTTTTCGTTTCTGTAAAAGATAAATTGTGTAATTTCTTGATTCTTAAGAGGTATTGTCCAGTAATCAAGAAGAGATTTAGGTTCAATTGTTTCTTTAAATTCAATTCCATTGTCAATAGGTTTTTGTGGTGATTGTTTAACAGGAGAACTTGCTGCTGGTTGTGTTGGCTCTGGTGGTTCTTTATTAATAGGGCTATCAAACCTTTGAGCTTCAATTCTACGTCTTGGCTGAGGAGATAGATTCTGTTTTTCAGCTTGTGGTGATGGTTTTGTTTCTTGAACGTCATTTACTGCAGGAGAATTAGGTGCTTGAACTGGATTTTGTGTTTCTAATTTATCTTGAATTACCTTTGAGACTTGGAGAGTATTTGATTCGAGTAAACGTGATTTCTGTCTTGTCTCACTTGGAATTGGTGCCACAGATGGTTCTACTTGACTTAATTTTGTATCGGTGAGTTTTGTTTTTGGAATTCTACAGTGAAAGTACTGTACTTCGGAAGTATTCATGGTTGGATCTGTGAGAATAAACGTCTGTTGAAAGACGACCTTTAGATCATCGAGAAAGGGCTCAGATGTCACAGTCATCGTATCTGTACGTTAGATAAAAAAAATTTATTTGGAAAATTTAGTATCAAAATTTTTAAATACTATTCTTGGTTGCTACTTGATGAAAAAAAAAGAGTTTGTAAATAGACGATAACTTTCGTTCTCTGGGCCCATATGTAATTGTCACTTTTTAAATAACTCATAACTCATCAATATGGTTGTTATGGTATAATTTATCAGCTTTCACAACAATATAGTCATATTCCTGATGTAATACGTCTTGAATCTCCAGATATTTCATATGATTCTCGTAATGATATAAATTCTGTTTTAATTTGGAATGAGCCAAAAGCTTATCATACAAATATACATAAAACCCCGGTGCAAAGAAATTTAACTATTACGTTTTTGAAGAATTCTTATCGGATTAAATCAATAAGAATTAAAACTTTTAAAGATTTTAGATTTCCATTACAATACTTATTTTGGGGAAGAAACACATATGGAAATTATCTAATTCATCATGAAACGTCCATTATTTGTGAAATCAACTCAATTGGAGATTGTGCTAAAGATACTGAACATTTCTTTGTAATTAAAAGAGAAAATCGATTTCCAATGAATGCAGTGATTATTGGGAATTATGGAATAGATTCATACAAAACATATTGTAATACATTAGGAGCCATTGAATTCTATGCTGATACTGATTCTTTCATCAAAAGTCGAACTGAATTTATTGAATTTAATTTTATCTTTTTAATGGTATTTCAATACTGATTATATTAATAAAGCTATTTTCTATAGATGTTAATACCTTTTTAAGATATTGTAAGGTGTTGTTTAGATAATGATAACTCCTAAGCCATTGAGGAAAAACTTCTCTTTGTTATGCAGCAAAAAAAATATTCTGTAAAAAAAGAAATGAATATATCTTAATTGTAGAGAGCATGTGTCGAATTTTTATACAAAAGAAGTTCATTATATTAAATAGATGATCTTCATACACAGTTTGTTTGAAGAATACTTAATATATTGAGATGAATGAATCATTAATTTGATTTAAAATAAATAAAGAGTCTCTTTAAATTAGATTAGTATATATAAAGTCTATAAATGCCATGATTAGCTGTTCTTTCAATTATTGTAGGAATCTACTTGAAATTATTTATCAAAACATCTTGTTTAACATTGAAAAGATATATATATAATGTGTCATTACTGAGCAACTGATGTTTGTATTACAAAACAATTCAATTTAGAAAGATATCAGTTCAAATTTAAAAAATTTAAAATTTGATTAAAAGAGTTAATATTTTCAATCAATTATATAGTTTACATATATAAGATCATTATTGTTTGTATATTTCTACGTTGATTGATTGATTATCCCATTCAACGCTTCCAGAAGTCTGATCCCAGACGATATTATTATTTCTATCGAATGTAAGAGCGAAGTTTCCGTTTCCTTTATGTTCTCCTTTGGCCTGAACAGAGAATCTGTAATATCCAACTCCATTTTTGTTTTCAAATGTAATTTGGCCATCGAAAGTAGTCTTTCCATCATCTGAGTACTCTTTGTATTCAGCGTGTTTGTAAGTTGAATTAAGATTGAATGTAATTTGGCCGGATTTCTCTCCTGCGACTGTTCCTGCGAAATCTGATGAATTTACCTTGAAGTATTCACTTGGATCAATTGCGTACGGTATTTGATCTGGAGTTGCTGTTGTAGGAACCTTCTTTAATGGCAAATAATGAGATAATGTGACTTTTCTTATTCTTCTTTGGTTCTTTGTTGAATTCTCCTTTGATATCTCGAGGAATATAGCCTTTGTAGATGAGTAATGCCATGAAATAGGTGAAGCAAAGTTCCAATCATCATCTTCGTGCAAATTAATTCCCATGTACGAAGGATCTGTTTCGGACTTCTTCAAATCGATTAATACTGGTCCGATGTTGCCCTTTATACTAGATCTAACCCTTGTTACAGCATAAGTATATGCGTAAATATTCATTCCAGAAGTAACCATGAAACTGTGAGGTACAGGCATGAGTCCTAGGATGGCCATGTTCGTGTGGGGAGAGAATCTTGTACTCATTGTGATTCCAAGTTTCTCATCTGGGCTCATTATGGTTGTTTCATCGTAATTTGGCTTGTTCGTAATGGAATATGTGTTGTTTGAAGCGAGATTTTGATAAACGGAACGTGCAAGGCCATGATCGCCGGCTCCTGCAAGAGTTAGAGCAGATCCACCATTTACGAACTGTTTTATCTCTCCTCCGCGAACAGTTGGGAGAATTACGTTGCCTGTAGATGGATCTCTGTCGATAAACTTAAGAGTGGAGATGATTTTGGCGTTAATTAACTTATATCCTTCTTCTTCTTTGTTTAAATCGGCAATGAAGTTGACAGAGCCTAATTTGGTATCAAGCATTGTCCATACAAGCTTCTTCATGTCTTGAGAAACAACTGGCTCTGACCAAACAAGCCAAAGTGTTGAAGAATTTGTAAATTCGGGTGGATAAATGATTTTTGTAAGCTTTGCTTTGTCATGGCAGTTCTGGAGCTCTTCCTCGCACTCAAGGATGTAATCTCCAAGAAGAATTCTCTTGTTATCAGCAAATGGAATGTCTCTGACGCCATTTGATCTGTAAATTGGTTTATATGTGCCGTGATATACATCATGGAAGTTTCTGCCGTTGTCGTCCATGACGGCAGCATGGTATTCTGTCTGATTTACGTCAGTATAATAGTGTAAGAAAATTTTGCCGTTTGGTAAGTAGTGAGCACCATCTGGATGGATTCCATTTGGAACATTGACGGTTTTGACGAATGCTTTAAACTCACCTGTCTTTCCAATGAAAACAATCAGAATTACAACGACAACTATTGAGATAACTAAGCTGATTGCCAAGACAAGGAATAACAACTTATGGTTTGACTCTTGTTTTTGTTCTTTGTTTGGCTGGGTAAGTAAATCATTCATCATTTTGAAATATTTTTTTTCTTACATTCAATTTTGCCGATGATCGTGATCCAAATTTTCTGACAATCGATCGGGAATATGCATCGCCCCAATTTTCTCTTGAAAGCAAGTAGAGTAAACCATACTTGTTGTATTTTATATTTCTTTCAAAGAATAAAACCAATCTTCTTTTGAAATTCTCTCAATCAAATATATATTTAAGCGAATTAAAGTTTAATTGAAATAATTGAGGTAGAGTTTATTCAATAAAGCTATGTTAACACAAAAAATTCAATTTGATATTTTATTGGATCAAAATGAATGGCATTAAAAGTGAAAAATACAGATGTGTGTATTGAAATTGAAATGATGGGCATTGGAATATCTGCAAGTTAGTAATTCTAATGAATCCGTCTCCAAGATGACCAGTTTCAGTTCCACCTGTCGGATTTGGCATCTCATGCATTCCATCTATCATTACAGTCCTATAGAATTGGTGGCCACTGTAATGGATTGAAGGATCTTCAGCTTGTGAAAATTCAATTTCTTTATCTGAAAAATTTTTCAAGACAGCAATGCACCCTTTGTGACCACTTATGAAAGAGCTCCCTCCACCACTGCCGTATTGTGTAGGCATATCAGAGTTTCCTCCTCCAAAGTAGCCCCCACCGCCGCCAGCATTTCCATCTATTCCGTTGCTATAAATCCTGGTTGAATTCCCTGCCCCAAAACCAAACTTGCCATGTAAACCTTTTCCTTGGCCACCTGAAGTTTGATTGGCACCAAGTCCATGTCTGTACTGAGAATCATAACCTGATAATCCACCTGCAGCTCCTCCGTAATCAACTAATTTTCCATCTGAATCAGCTGATCCTGCTCCAGCAGCAACAATAATTCGACTCTTTAATCCTTCAAATTCTCCGAAATCTCCTGGATTAAGTCTTACATAAGACGATCCTCCGCCTGAGAATTGTCCCGGACCTCCTCCGCCGTAAGCAGGCAAGGTTGCATAAGTGTAAAATTATGAGCCAACGTGTAAGTATAATGTAATGTCATTATAAAACGCTATTTCTCCTTTAACATAGCCTCCTTTTGCCTCATAATTCCCCGATCCACCCCATAATTCAAAAATGTAAACGCCTGGTTTAAGGAACACTTCATAAGGTGATGATTTATTAGGTAAATTTCCTTTGTATGGATATAATTTTGTTGAATTCTTTAGAACTCGATTTGGAAGGGAATTAAGGGAGGTCTGAATACAATTTGAAAACTCTTTGAATATTTGAATGTAATTGAAAAATTATGTTGTAAACAGAAATTCATCAAAAGTGACACATCAGAAAAGCTAAAATATTGAATTTTTGGAACTTTTGATAGAGCACGTTTTTAAATATTAATTAAAGTAAATGTATATTTTGTAAAGATTCTTTTTAATAAAAAAATAAAATTTTGAAGAAGAACACAAAATCTTCTGAAAAATAATATCACATAAACTCATATTATTTTCTAATATATAACTATTTTATATAAAAATCAAATTCAATGATCTTAAAAGCGAAGGATAAACCTCAAAATTTACGAATATAATGAGTGGGAATATAATGCTTATCTATCATAAAACCATATGAAATATCAATTTTTGCTTTACGCCTAATTTTTGACGACAATTAGCAAAAAATGTTAAATGTTAACACTCAGTCCATTTGAATATGAAAAATAAAATTGACTTTGATTAAATGTTTTTATTTATCATGCAATTCTTCTTGCGACCAAAGATTTGAATAAAAGTTCAAAAAATAAGATAGCTTAAAAAATAATATACGGTAGTGTTTACTAATAGATGAATAGTATATAAATTCTATTAAAATGGATTTGATCCAAAAAAATATAAAACCAAAAATAATTGTTATAATTTAAATGAAGAAGTAATTTAAAACGATTTTATTTATGATCAAATTTTATATATTTTTTTGAATCAAATCCATTTTAATAGAATTTATATACTATTCATCTATTAGTAAACACTACCGTATATTATTTTTTAAGCTATCTTATTTTTTGAAATTTGATTCAAATCTTTGGTCGCAAGAAGAATTGCATGATAAATAAAACATTTAATCAAAGTCAATTTTATTTTTCATATTCAAATGGACTGAGTGTTAACATTTAACATTTTTTGCTAATTGTCGTCAAAAATTAGGCGTAAAGCAAAAATTGATATTTCATATGGTTTTATGATAGATAAGCATTATATTCCCACTCATTATATTCGTAAATTTTGAGGTTTATCATTCGCTTTTAAGATCATTGAATTTGATTTTTATATAAAATAGTTATATATTAGAAAATAATATGAGTTTATGTGATATTATTTTTCAGAAGATTTCATTCTATATGCCTATGAAAAGTACTCTCAAAACTAACTTTTTCCTAATTATAATTAAATCTAGAATATTGTATTATGCTTAGTATTATTTCATTTTTCTCATTCAATTTAGAATTTACAAATGTCAAAAAATTGAGAGCTGTCACTTTTGATGAATTTCTGTTTATTACAATTATAGTTCAGTAATTGAATATTTTATTGATAAATAAAAAAATTACTTAAATTCAATTGAAGGCGAAAACGGTTAACACAAAAATCTGATCACGATTAAATGTCGTTTTATTTAAACCTTTGTGTTTCCCATTCAAATATTTTATCAGAATTTTTCAATTTTGTAATTTCGATTTTGATTTTTGATCAAATTAATGGCATATCTGTTTTTCTGAACACTTTTTGCAGAGTTAATTAATACTGATGACGCAGATATGGTATATTTATATAATACATTCATTTGAAGAAAATTTATTTTCGAAAAAATTGTTATCTGACTGAGCTGAATTAAAAATGTATAAACAAACAATTTTAATATATAAAAAACATACAAATACAAATAAAAAATACAAACAAAAAAGAAAATTAAGGGATATTCAAACCTCCCTCGCGAAGAGATGCCATTATACTCTTGACATCGATTTTTGCATTCGACTCAGTGCAGTAAGGATTCAAAATAGCGATCGCATTGTCGTTAATAAGAGTAGAATGCGTAATTTGTTTCTTTGCAAGAATTGCGAGCAAATGTATGTAAGATTTGAGTGATTGGCAACCTGATTTGACTAACTCCAGTAATTTGGAAGTCAAATTGCAGAATAAAACTTTATTATTTTCGCTGTATTGGTACAACGTCTCGAAAACAGGAATGAACTTGTCAATTACTGCCTGTTGATCCTCAAGAAGTGGAAAAACCTTACATATATCTGCTAATATTCCTGATTCTGCGAATTCTTTTGCCAAATTCTCGTTCAAATTAAGTTTTGTCATTGCCCAGACGGCAGAAAGCAAAGTTTCCGTATCCCCGTGATGGCAGACGTGATGTATGAACGGTACGGTTAATTTGTGAAGTGAAAACCGTTCTGCGTAATCGGAATGACCGATTAAAAGAATGAACAACTTTAAAAACAAGGGAGCTTTGATAGGTTGAGAAGACATCCACTTCTCAATTGTTCCTGCCATGGTCAGAGTTTTTCCTGTCTTTTCGTTGCTGGCTACATTGCAAAGCAGAAGGAAAGCTCGTTCATCTGAGTAATCTATAACAGCTTGGATAAGAGAATTCGCTACATCTGTCAATGCTTCGTTCTTCGTTTCATATCGGCGAAGGAATTCTATTGACGCCGATCGTAATAAAGCATTATTACTCGTAACATGCGAACAAACTACGTCTAACTTGAAACCGCGTGGTATACCGTTAGTAGTAAAGAGCGCTGTATACCCTGCAACCGCATTTTTCGGTATTTTCGATGAAGTATACAAAGCTATTACTCCATTTGGAATTTTCATGGGATCTAGCCTTGCAAGTGATAGTAATATGTGATTACCACCTGGTTTTGATGCATATCCTTCTACAATTATTTGAAATTCTTTGCTAATCATGATTAAAATTTCATTTGGCGTTGATGGTGAGAAAATGAGCTTTGCAAGTAACGCGCCTGCCTTATCTGCTGCTTGTGTTGTTAAAAGAGTGAACAAAGCGTTCACCATTTGCTCATCAACAGTTGATGGAATTAATGTAATGATATATAAGAATAAATCAACAGTAAAAGGTGTTAAATATTGTGGGAGGTTCTGTACTCGTGTGACTCCTTGTAAAACTTCCAGTCTTTGGGCTAATTTCAGGATTAATGACTGCAATGGAGCAGAAATTTGTAAATTTGGCTGCATGGCAAGCTGCAAAAGTGGTGTCCATAGGGGGATGCCAACGATAGCCGAGGAACTTGAATTTGTGTCAAAAAAGTTAATTGCTTTTAATTGCTGGCTAACAGGGGATTGCGGACCTAGAGACACGGTGTAGGACATTGCTGTCTGCTTGAGCTGTGGTAAAGGAATGGCTGGATGTATAGAAAATTGAGCTGAACGATTAATTTCTGATCTGACTTGAAGAAACTCATCCTTTTTAAGATCAAAGCTTGCGCTGCCTATATGGCGTCTGTAGTTTGCTAAGCATTGGCGTGAAAAGTTATGTGTTGATAAGAAATCCTCAAATTCGTATTTATCTGTTCCAGGAATAGCAACATCGCCTTTATTGAACTGGTAAATTATCTCCTGGAATGTAGGCCTTTCATGTGGATCTGCCGCCCAGCATCTCTTTATAAGAGTTTTTAAGTTTGGTTCCCAATCATCAGGAATAGGAGGTCTCTGACGATTAACGACAACAACGCATAGAATCTGTGCCCAAGCGAGACCCTCAAACGGATACTCTTTTGTAATTATCTCCCAAAGTAAAATTCAATATGAATAAACATCGACTTTTTCGTCATATTTTTCGTTTTGGAGGAATTCTGGAGCCATATAACTAGGGGTTCCTCCCTGACCTGTCATTGTCAATGACAAATCTGTATTCTTACTCGATCCAAAGTCGCAAATTATTGGATACTTTCTATCGTCAATCAAAACGTTTTGGGATTTGAGGTCTCTATGGATTGTTTTATTTGCGTGAAGATATGACATTCCTACCGCAATTCCAAAAGCGATTATGTTGAATTCTGTAGGTGTTAGCTGTAGTGCATTTTCTTTCCCGTGCAAATTGTTGAACAATGAGTTGTTTGGAATGAACTTTGTAACTATACAATATGGCGGAACTGTAGTGAATCCAATAAATGGGAGTAAAAACGTGTTTTTCAATGTAGAGAGTGCTAACACTTCGCGATTATATAGTTCATGCATGTTTCCGTCAAGTATGTCAGTATGAAGTTTCTTAATTGCAACTTTTTTCTGTGTAGGAAGATAGATTCCCTCCCAAACTTCGCCGTATGCACCATTGCCGATAACTTTCACAAATTGAAGGTTATCATAGTAAAGAATGTAATGGTGGGCTTCAGGAGGAAAGGAATCGTTTTGCATATAGTGAAAAAAATTGTTTACAAAAAATTCGATCTATTCAAATTTTGAAATGACATTGAATTTATTATCATTTCTTGAAACTGTTTTTTGAGGAAAAATAAGAATTAAAGAGATGAACAACGTTTGAAAAATTCCGCCGAGAACTCGAGGAATAATACCGAGAAACCAAAAATTTCCATCGAAGTTTGCAACATTAATTGCTAAGGATGAAATATTATAATGTACTTAAAGTAGCCTTTATCAATTAGCTGATTACATCCTCCAATTCTTTGGTTTGTCGGATCAAAAAAAAATGATTTTTCACAAGCAACACATTATTTGTATTAACATGCATATTGCCTGCTTACATTCCAAAATTCTCAAAGAATATAACATTTCTAGAAAAATTCTTGATTGGCGAATCATAGATGGTTCATATATCCTATATATTCAAATTTTATGTGTTTCGTGTAGCATAATTTCATCACTCAGGTAGCCATAATTTTTGAAAGATGGAATCAAGAATTTCACAAGAAAGGACAAAAGAAGTAATGGATGGAGAATTGTACAGACTCGAAATTCACTCCATCACAGGTACTCTCAACGAAGAAAATTTTGACGAAGTTTCAAAAAATATCATAAAAATATTAGAAGTTAAGCCAAAAGCAAGAATTCCGACATATTGCTCCGGGGTTTGTTACGCATTACTCAAAGACAAGTCTAAAATTGATTTGTATCTACGCAGCGTTGAACAAATCATTAATTCTTTCCCAGGAGAGACAAGGGTTATCCTCAGACGCTTCAGAGGTGCTGCTGCAACTTCCAGAATATTGGTCATTCTTTATTCAAAGATCATCCAGTTGAAATCAATAAAATTTGATTTGATCCAAATCAGCATTGGCAATTTCTTCAGAGCTTGCCTATCAAAATTCCAAACATACCAGAGTATCCTCATTGCAATGACCCTCTATTTCAACTCAAAAGAGCTTATTGACTTACATTTTCCACAAATTTCTACATGGATCAAGACAATCATTCCTACTTTCTTGTCTTACTTCCAAAACCCACAAGCCGACTTCTTTTTGAAGCAATTTAAAGCATTTGTCTTTGACGAACAAATTATCGAATACGAATGGGACAATATCTTCAAAAACGATGATGATTCAAAAATTACTGAAGAAATGATCCAAAAATCGCCAATTTACTTCCTTTCCGTATTTTCATACGATAAATTACTTTATCCGCCAACTCTGATATCAGGAGCTGCCTTCAACAATGCTAACAAGTGTGTTGAGAAGATGCTTAAGCTCGGCTGCAACCCTGATGAGTTGGATATTCAAAATAACGACATGTTTTACTACGCGGGAACAGTTGGTAACGTCAAAGCGTTAGACTTGGCCGGCCGAACACCCGATAGACTGAAAAACTTTGTTAAAGGAGCAATTCAATTCGGATTCAACGATCTCGTCATAGAAATGGGATATTTCGGTCCTTTCGATGACGGAGAAACCATTTTACACCTCTGCGCTTTATACAATAACTACCAACTCATGGATTACGTCGTCAACAACAATATTTGTTCTGTAAACGAGGTTTCGGACATTGGAGACTTCCCACAACACAATGCAGCTCGTAAGGGATCAATTGAAGCTCTCATTAGACTATCTTATTGCAAAGATTTCGATATCAACGCGAAAAACATGTCAGAAGTGCTTCTATCTGATCTTGCTGCGAAATATTTGAACAAAGACTTGGCCAAAATACTAGAAAACATCTTTGAAACTAGTTCTAACATAACTTCTCCTTATTACGTCAATTTCTTTGTTGCATCACTAAAAATCCAGGAAGAGGGAGAAGAAGATTTCTCAGATGATGATGCTTATTTACTTGGCTGATTCTTTTATCTCATTATTTAAATTGTTTTTTTATTTATTATAAAAAATTCATTTTTCTATATCATTATTCGATTTGATCTCTATAAAACCTACTTTCATTGTTCCAAAATCATTTTCTTTATTGAATATGATTTTGAAATTAAAATAAAAATCTCTCAAATACATATGGCGCATTCAATATCGAAAATTTGAGTTAGACTAGTGTCTGAAGCTGTTTCAGAAGAAATCAATATTGTGAATACGAAAATCTCAAATTGATATCGATTTTGATTTAATTTTATTCTATATATATGTATTGACTATATATGTTAGTTCATATATATACATATTTCAATGAGTATTTTCTTATTTAGCTCTTGAAATATCAATATACAAGTGGTTAAGGTTCAACTACAGTGAAAGACTCCTCAAACTTGAAAATCTATACAACCATAGCTGTACTAAATAATTTTAAAAAAAAACATACAATGTTTTACCTATATTTAATATATATTACAATCTCATTTTCCTAAGGTGATTTTGAGAAGTTAGTATCACCAACATTCTACCTTATGTGCCTCATACTTACACCCAGAGTTTCAAGCAAAAACGTATGTTAGATTTTTGTTTGAATTTATTATGGTATTGTTGGTTCAATTCATATGATTACTATATAATAAAAGCTTGGTTAGTGAATTAATGTGATGAATTATGTATAAAAAGCATGAAATTAAGTTAGATATGAATAAAACAATTTATAATTAAAATTACAAAATAAAATACTATAAGTAGTTATGTAAAAGCAGTTATTATATATACTTGATGCTTTTCAATTAAAAATAAAATTAAATTTGCCAAGTTTCTGAGCAAATTGTCTTGTTATTGTTATGAAAGCATTAGGATCTTCACCACTCCAGTTATCATTGTCCAATTTGTGCCCTGCAGTACTTAATGCGGGTTCAATATTTGTTCCATCGAACCAACCATTGAATGAGTCAACAAATACGTGACTGTTGTATTTAAGAGCTGTTTCCCATCTTTCTTCGTAATATTTTCCTCCATTTCTTGAGATATCTGAATTTCCTGGAGAAACAACAGGAATAAACGTCATTGCTCTTGGTTTAGTAATATCTTTGATGGTTGGCCAATGTGAAGTGTTCGTGGCCCATGAATCTTTTTCATCGCCATATAATGGACAAATAGCATCATATCCTGACTCTGTTGCCTCATTAATATCTTCCATTGTTGATACATGAGCAACAAAGTAAGAATCGAAGTATGTACGACGACTTGTTGTTAAGTAATACATTGATTTTTCTAATTTACTTGCTTTTTCGATAAATATGACTGGTCTTCTATTTGTTCTAAGAATAGAAGAACGTCCTGAGTATAATGAGTTGTATCTCTTGATATCTTGCCTTATTGTAACCCATGTTCGATTTTTATACTCTGGAATCATAATTGCAACTTTAATATCGTGTGATTCTGCTACACTAACTATTTTGCTTAATGCCTTATCTGTTATTCTCTTCTTATTTGTCCTTGGATCGATTCTATTTGAACTAAACCATGGAACAACGATCGCTTGTATGCCAGCACTGTGTAAATACTGCATGTGACGCTTAAGTAACGTTTTGTTTTTGCATGAATAGTAACCTTCCATTGGATAAGTTTTTGGAATTGGTTCTCGAAGTGTAATTGATAAATCATTAGACCAATAGGTCCATGCCTTATCTTGTTTATCGTTTTCGAAGCTTGCGTAATACAAAGCCCAAGTAGTATTTGAAAATCCTTCTCCAACGCCTTGATAATGCTTAAAAAGACGTCGTGGATCCATGTATTTAGTGTATGCATAACAAAAAATTACTGAAATTGATGCAACTGCAATTGCAGATAGCATTTCTCCCATAGCTTGTTTTCGTTGCATTTTTGATTGTCACTTTTTATTAAATTTCAGAATTCATACTTCGATTTTGAGCTCAAATACATGATAAATGAGTACAATTGAATTGCATTTTGACTCAGCTCTCTAATGCCAATTTAATACAGGAGTATTACAATTATTGTGCTTCATTTCAGTTATCATTATCAGATTATATTGATTTTTTTTAGAGATTCTTTTGAAATTATTGCTTTTTCTTCTTGATTTTCATGGTAGCTTGTCATTTACTTATACTTGCAGCTTTATTTTTGACTGGAAATATCAATAATCTCTCCTTGAAATTATAATACTGGCAATTATTAAGCAAATTAAGAAATTTTGAATAAAGTGATATCTATTCTCTGGAATAGATATATCAAAAACCACAAAATTGAAAGATATTTTATATTATCAAAGTAACCCAGGTATCTTATGTGTTATGCAAGATATGCGGAAATTAAGTAAGAAATTATATTCGCAGTAATGAAAATACCATCAAAATGGTGAAAAAAGTAGTATATGTAGACGGGTTTAGTGACTTTTCTTGTAAACGTAAGAATTCATACAATATCGAGCGATTTTGTATCATTTTTTTTAACATATGAAGTAAAAAATGTATGATTCTTACGGTTTTTATTCTTACGTTTTTGAATAAATCAAGATTTAAAAAATTTTCAAAATTGTAAGACATTTACACTCAGCCCAAACATAATGAAATAAAAAATAAAAATATATTTATTTATAAATCATTAAAATAATTTATTTATCTTTTATAAAAGAAGCTATATATAGATGATGTCAGATATTCCGCGATTAATTAAACATTGTTTAAAAATGAAGATTGTGAATTATTAAATGAATATGAAAGCCAAAATAAGCTAATGATTATTTGAATTTATGAAATCAATTATTTGATTCATTCTTTCTTCAATCTCTTCTATTCTTTTTGTTAAATCATCCATTTTCATTAATGAGGTGATTCTTGATTGAGGAATAGATTTCAAACTAACCACCCCCTTTATTTTTGAAATTTTGAATCCATCAACTTTAAACATTTTATTCAATTTACATGTTGTCAATTCTTCAAATAGTCATTAAATTCTTCAACAGATGAAAAAATTTTATTTCAGTAATTGGTTTAACAACGTTTATTTTTTGTTGAACATTTTCACTTTCATTTATTTTTAAAATCTGTTTCATTTATCATTAAATAAAAATTAGAATATAAGTGATGAAATATATTTTTTTAATTAATATTAAATCAGAAATGGCGGCAGGATTCTTTAAAAAATTATGGGATGGAATTAAGAAAGCTGCGGGTTGGGTTCATAAAAAGATTATTAAACCCATTGCAAACTTTTTGGCACCAGTAGCGAAAACGGCAGGAACTATCATAGGTGGGGTATTAGGTACTAAAGCGGGTAATCCGGCGATGGGAGCACAAGCAGGTAACGCAATTGGTGGAATAGCTGAAGGAATACTTAATAAAATAGGAGGTAGATAGTGGAAAAATAAATAAATATTATTTTTATCTTAGTATCGGTTGTAGTCTTTGATAAACTTTTTCTCCTTTATTTAAAACTTCTCTTATTGGGGCATTGGTGTTATTGATTCAGCAACGTCACTAATTGCTTCTTTATTCTTAAATATCCAATTTGCTCCCTTCTTCAATGTTTCCCAAACTTTACTCGCTCCTCTTTTTACTTTATCCCACAGTTTCTTAAATATACCTGCAGCCATAGTTGATTATTTCATTAAAATTAAAAATTCGTTTTCATCTTTTAATTTTGATTTTTTATTTATTAATAAATGACGACTAACTATTTGGTGCCAAACACTAAACCGATTAATGGAAATGTGTTTCATTCATTCGAAAAGATAAATGAAATATTCGCAAAGAATGATGGTAGAAGATATTATAGAGAACTTGAAAGTTCATGCTATGACTCTGATGCTCCATATTTTGATGATAAACAAACTCATTTAAGAATTACAAATCCGGCTCATGATGTGAACCAATTAGGTGACACATATATTAAACGCAAAGTTAAAGCAACTCTAGTTTCAAATAAAGCTTTCACATGTGATGCCGCTTTTAAATGCATGCGTTTATTCGTTGGTTACAAATCATCAAATCAAAGCTTTAAACAATTAGAAGTAGAAACCGAAAGAGGTGATGCCGGTTATCTTCAGATGGATTGCGCCCGTGAATCTTTCGCATTTGCAACATATAAACCAAAATCAGAAAGGAAAGTTAAAAAGTTTGTTCATTCGTTATATAATAATGTTCAAAAATATGATAACTCAGTATGTGGTAAATATATTGACCCTTCAGAAGTTTTCAAGAAAGCAAATGAAGAAGTTGATGTCACTTTTGATATGATTATTCCGGTAAATGATTTGTTAGCATTTCAGGCGTTCGATGATTATCCTAAATCATTTGGTGATATCATTCTTAAATATTATGTTTTCAGGGATACTTTAGTATTTTGTCAGGTTGACCCGTTAAGAGTTGCTGATTTACAAAATTACGTTTATGAAAAGATAACTGATGAAAATTATGAAAAGATTATGAATCATGTTTATAAATATGATCGCAAATTCCAACAAATCGGACTTCCTACCAAATTAATTACAAGCTTAGCCGCTACATCTGCTGAGGCAACAGTTGATGACGTTATTATTTCATGCACAAAGATGGAAGTTTTAGAGGATAAATGCATTACACCAGGATACGGTTTAATTGAAGAATCAGTTAAAGCAATACCACGTTTATTTAGTAAGGAAGATCCATTCATGATTCCAGCTCAACATATTGACGTTCGTTCACTAAATGGAGGTTGCATCACTCCTGAAGGTATTAGCTCAGATTTCTCATACGCCCTTCATAATGTTACAGATGTTGTGTTAACATTTCCGAAGAATGCAATGCAAAGAACGGTTTTAGAAAATCCAATGCTTCGAGGTCTTCAGGTCACTATAGATTCCAGAAACTTCCCCGATCAAGCGATGACCACAGTGGGTGACATATTCTTTACACGTATGCTTCAAGCTTCTGATTTAGATGGAGTGAATGAATGCACAAGAATACGAGGACTCATTAACTAGACCACTGAATGCAGATGATGGCACGCCATTAGCTAGAACATGGAAAGACCAAACTTTATTCTTATGCACTATTCCAGTTCAACGTGATGGAGCGGGTATATTCTTTGATGGATTAGAAACTTTCAACTCACAAGTTACAGTACAAGTGAAAGCTTATCCAATCATTCAGGGTGAAAATGACACTTACTGTTCAAAGGTGACAAATCCTCCTCAGGTTTGGTTTACTAGGACTACATATTGGACATGGACACCGGATGAAGGTTTGAAATATCATCCATCAGGTACACCACCACAGTATAGAAGTTCATATGATGAAATATTGATGAATAGAAATGTTTAAAATTATAAATTTATTTTTGATTAAATGGATTTAAATTCATCCACCCTTATGAAGAATTAGCAGGAGTATATAATACATACGTAGATGATATGATTAATGAAGCATTGAGTGATAATAGAAATGCTCTATCTAAGGAAAAATTAATGAAAATTCCATATTCTGAATGTTACTTAAATTCAATCACTGCAGCAATTGGTAAACAAAATAAAGGTAAAACATTAACATATTAAAACAAATTATCATTATTGCTAACACTTCCCCTATTCACATGTGTTAATTTATATCAACCGTTCAGGTTCACCTTCAGATGATACATTTGAATCTTTAAAGCATTTAATCAAAATTCCAATTATTTATTTATCGCAAGAAGAAGCAGAAGATTATTTAAAAAACTTTTTAATGTATAAAGAATTATATAATACAATCAAGAAGCAAGGATTAGAGGATAAAATTATTGATAAACAACGGGATGAATTATTTGAAACACTTTCTATTTCAAATTTTGATAGAGAATTTTTGCATTCACTCATTTTTCTAGATGATGCAGTGAAATCAAAACTAATAACAAATGAGAAATCATATTTTAATCAGTTATTAACTCAATGTCGACACATTCAGTGTTCATTCTTTATGGCTGTTCAATATTTCAAAGCATTAAGCACAAACATTAAATCAAATCTATCAACACTTTTCATTTTCAGTGGGTTTAGTCGTCAACAGTTGAACGTTATGCTTTATCAAGTGAATTTACCAATGAGCATTAATGAACTTTACACACAATATCAGCAATTAGGTGAACATGGAAAAATAATAGTTGATTTAAATAAAGGAAGTGTTAAATTTGATTAACTTTTTATAATTAATTTTTATTTTTTATTTATAATTAAACATGACAGAAATGGCAAATCTTCTACAGGTTCCATTAAAACAAGGAACAAACAAAAAGGGTGCATATAATAGAACTATGAAAGTTCCTGATGGAATGAAAGAATTAGTTCATATTGTTGCTGGTCTTCAAAAAGTTAAACAAATGAGAAACGTTTTAACATTACCAGAAGCTCAAGCATATGCCAAACGTCAAGGTCCAAATTGGGAAGCACACGAAGCAGACATTACGGGTCCAAATGGAAAACCTGATGGTATAAATGAAGTTTTCGTTACTGATGGTCAAGGTAATATTAAAGTCATAAATGGTTACAAATTAACTATAACTGATTATCCTAAACGTAAAGCATATAATGAACGTTATCCTATGCAATTTGATGAAAATGGAAAAAGCTGTTAAACAATACATTGGAGAAGGTGAAAATGGTCCAATTAATTCATACCGTTATAATCCATATTCTTATTTCAATGAAGAATTAAATGCTATTGAAGAGGGACCGATGGATTACCACGATATTCTAACCAGTTTGATGGTCAATATGCAAATATTAGACCTGAAATTTCAGCTAAGAAATTCTTTAAAGTTGCTTTATTCGATCCAGTTTTCGCAAATGTTAAAGATGAACTTAAACATCAATTCCAACCAATTATAGTAGCAAGAATTGCATCAGGTGCTTTATCTCAAGCATTCAAAGATTTAATTAAGAAACCATTATATCAGCAACGAGGTTTAACTTATGATTTTTAAGGAATTAGATAAAAGAAAATTTGAGAAATCAGATGATTATAAGAATGCAATTAATGAATATATTAGGTCTATTAATTACAATGAACCAGCTAAAAATCAACTTCAAGAACAAATACAGGGAATAATAGATTCAAAACTTCCAGCAAAATAAAAGTTTAAATATATTTTTTTTATTCGAATATAAATGAGAAGACGTTTCACTAGTCAAAAGAACACTAACGCAAAAGCAGAGATTACGGTTGGTTATAACGTAAATGATGATAAATCACGAATTATTCAAAATGTTAAAGTTAATGTTAGCCCTGAATTAACAAGGTCAGCAACTCAACCAAATTTATTAACTCGTGACTTACCGAAAAAGGAGGAGGGCAAAATAAAGAAGATGGAGACCCAATCATTTTATCTGAACCGGTAAAGAACCTGTTGAAATTCCCACTTATCCAACATACCCCCACCTCTTTCATCAAACATCGAGAACCATATAAAATAGACATTAATTCTGAATTAATGAAAATTTACCGTGATATAATAATTAATAATTATGATTCAATAATAAATTTAATTGACCAATCCGGTTTAATTATTTTACCTTATGAATCATTAATTCACATTATCGCCATTCTTTGTGATGTTCAAGATTCAGACGTTAAGATTCAATTTTTCATAGATGATGATGTTTCATGCTGCGGAACAGTTGCAAAAATAAATCCTATAAAGGATATTAGCAAATTAAGATATCAAAGAACGGAACAACAACTGAACTTCATTTAACATATAATGATATTTATAATAAAATAGTTGATGAATATAAAATATCACTTGAAAAATTCTTTGTTAAGGCTATTTAATATTCAAGCATTAACATTATCGAATAATAATCCTTTGAATCATAATCAATAATAATTGACCTTTCACCAGTTTCTATCGTTTGTTTTTTTCTTTTTGTTCCCACTATCCGGATCGGTCATTGTAATTGTTTTTTTATAGTATCAGCTTTATCTTTAACTTCAATCTTTTTTCCATCGGGATATTTAAACCAAAATTCCAAAATTCGATATTGTCAATCTGTTCATATTTTTAATCTATCAATTACATTTTTAATACCATCTGAAAATCTTATGAATGGTCATTATATGGTTTGATTGAACTAAATTTGAATGAAGTGAAATATAACCTGTTGATGAATATGACACTGACTCATATTTTCTGAAAACACTAAAATTTATAACATGAATGAATTTCTTATTCGTTGAATTTATGAATTCTTGAGGTAATCTTATTCTAGTTTTATTTTCACTGGAAAATAACGCTTTACCATATTTTTTAATCGTAAAAAATGTCAATTATCAATATTATTTCGAATAATAATGTGAATTAAATTTAACAGTTAGCGGAATTTATAATGTTACTCTCGTTTCTGTGAGTGGTAAATTTAAATCCCATTCTTTTAGACCCTTCAGATTATATATCATTTATTAAAGATGACCTTGAAAAAACGTATGATATGTATATAAATAATGTGATAGCGAAATGGGATATTAACATGATTTTAAGTTATTTAAATGAATCATTTATCGTATGGTATGAAGAAAATTTTAAATCAAAACCCGATAAACTTTTTGAACTTGATGAAATAAATAACCTTATTAAATTTCCGCTGAAAATTAAATTTTGTACTCCTCATTCGTTCATTGTTGGGGATATTAAATTTTGAAAAAGATGTTGGGGATGTTTTGTATTCTGACACTGGTTCCAATTTCATTTTAATCAAATGTGATAAAGTTAATACCCCAATGAGATTTTCACATCAAACATTAGACCCTAACTCTTACCCATCAATACAAAACATTTTATCCATCAACTTAAACACATTTTCTTTATCATATCCGTTTCAATTATCCGGGAATTCATTTATTCTTCATTCAAAAGATTTATCAAATATTAAATTTAGAATAACTGACCTATTTGATTGTGATTTAGAATTTATGAATGAAATATTATGGCAATTTCAAATAGAGAAAATAGCTGATGAGATAACGGATTAAATATTTATTTTTAAATCATAATAAATGATTAAACAACAGCAACTTAAGGCGCAAAGCGCCCAGGTCCTTCAGACCATTACATACGCCATATATGCATATAATTCAAAGACGGCAGAACAAACGCAAAGGTTGAAATATGGAGATTTGGAGATAGTATTGAAAAATGACCATTTCGAATTCGTTTGCAAAGGTGGTGCAGTGATATCAAATATAAAAGAAATTTTATTTATGAATTCAAAAATTAAAGGAATAACGGATGATATAACATCAATTCCACCAGAAGAACAGAGATATTACGCATTAAATGCATTTCCTAAAGTTTTGAAGATTGGAAGATTTAATTTAAATGAGGAATTCATAGAAGGTTTCCTAAACGACATAATGAAGAAGGTGGATAAGGAATATGTGGATAGTGAATTAAATAAGAAGGCAAATTTGGTTTATGTTGATGAAAAAGATAATGAAATTAAAGAAAAGGTTGAATGGTATCATGAATGGACATCGGAGACTTTTAAAGTTAAAGCTGATACAGGATGGGTTTCAGGATGTTTAGACCTTAAAGCAGATAAAACTTATGTTGATGAAAAAGATAATGAAATTAAAGAAAAGGTTGAATGGTATCATGAATGGACATCGGAGACTTTTAAAGTTAAAGCTGATACAGGATGGGTTTCAGGATGTTTAGACCTTAAAGCAGATAAAACTTATGTTGATGAAAATTATGCAAAGAAGTCGGAAGTAAATGATGTGATTACAAGCATGAAAAATGAAATACTTCAAACATTATATCCTGTTGGTTCTATTTATACGTCAATGAATTCAACAAATCCCGCAACAGTTCTGGGTTTTGGTACGTGGAAGCAGATTGTAGACAAATTCTTATACTGTGCTAGATATTCAAAGCAAACAGGAGGTTCGAAGAAAATTAAAGAAGCAAACCTTCCACCGCACACTCATACAGGAACTACAAACTTTTCTGGCGACCATAGCCACTTATTAAGAGACCACCCATTATACAACTCAGAATATAGAGATGGCAATGATGTTTTATCTCCATCTTATAACAATGCAGCAAAAAAGATTTTTCGACCAACTGAACCAGGAGGAAATCATTCACACACTTTCACAACAAATCCAACAGGCTTGGGTAAAGATTACATGCCACCATTTGTGACTGTATTCGCATGGTACCGCGTTCAATGAATGAACTAAATATATTTTATGTCTGTAATTAATTAGGTAATGAAGTACCGAATGAACTGCAGAAATATATTTTATCGTTAATGTTTACGTTAATGGTTTCAGGTTATTCAATAATTAATTATTTTTGAAGAACTGAGGGTGTCACTACGTCACCATGTGTCACTCGGTTAATTAACTTCTCTGAAAAAATGAGACAACATGACATTTTGACAACAGTCCTGGAAATATATTTTATCGTTAATGTTTACGTTAATGGTTTCAGGTTATTCAATAATTAATTATTTTTGAAGAACTGAGGGTGTCACTACGTCACCATGTGTCACTCGGTTAATTAACTTCTCTGAAAAAATGAGACAACATGACATTTTGACAACAGTCCTGGAAATATATTTTATCGTTAATGTTTACGTTAATGGTTTCAGGTTATTCAATAATTAATTATTTTTGAAGAACTGAGGGTGTCACTACGTCACCATGTGTCACTCGGTTAATTAACTTCTCTGAAAAAATGAGACAACATGACATTTTGACAACAGTCCTGGAAATATGATGCAGTCCAAAAATAAAGTTAGTTTTAAAATTATTTTTTATTTTTTATTCCTATATAAATGACGGCAACAAACAACAACAGCAACTATATCGTTTCTGATGAAAAAGTTATTGATTCATTAGCTGAGGAATTAGTTGTGGCAGAAACTAAAACCCTCAACGAAAGAATTGGTGAAAACAAGATTGATTTACATAACTACCTCAAACATGATGGAGGAAGAGGAAGGAAAACTGGTATGGCTTTATTAGTAAATAAAATTTCAAATTTAACGATTATAGATGTTGATATCAATAAATCGTACAATGATGAACTTAAAGAAACAGTTAGAAAAGATATTTTATCAAAACTTTCGGATAAAGATGTTATCGTTAAAACTGCTTCAGGAGGTCTTCACATTTATTGCAACACTAATTTCTTCTATGCAGTTTCGAACAGAATGATTAAATGTTATTCCTGCAATGATTATGATATTGATATCATGACTTTTATGGATGATTCAAAGCGTTCTTTAGTAGTTATGGCTGATTCAAGAGTTCGCAAGAATGCAACAGAACCAATCAATACATACTCATTCATTCGTGGAAGTTATGATTCAACATTAACCAGAACAGTGAATGATATATTAAATGATTTGAATATTAAGGTAAGAGTTGAACAGAAGAACGAAGAAATAAAGACCATCGTCAATGAAAGCAAAGATGTAAACATTGACGATAAACTTGCCCAGAGCATAGTTGATGGCATCAGTGATTTTGAAGTACATAATGACGGTGGAAACATGAATTTAGAAAAAGAAGTTACATTATTCACACTGTTTCAAGCAATTAATTCGTTACCTAATCATTTAATTAATGAAGCATACGATAACGTTTATAACTTCTGCAGCTTAACTGAAAATGCAAAAAGTAATTTTGAAAAAGCACGTAGTAGATATGCACATTTAATGACTTCTCCATTTGTTTTAGTGAAGATTCTAAAACTATATCAAAAGGAATATTATGATGAATACGTTTTACCTTTATTACGTAAGTCAAAAATAAAATTTGATATAAAACTTGATGACTCGTTTTTGATAACAGATATTAGACGCAAGGCTGAAAATCATCAGTATAAAAACAGTTCTGAAGTAATTGAGGATTTATCACGTGTAATCCGTTTTGTAGATTGTGGAAACAAATACTTCATTCAGAAAGATTACAACATACACGACAAAATGAATCAAATATCATTCGTTCTTCAATCAAACATGAAAGAGTCACTTAAAATGATTAAATTATTTAAAGAAGAAGGTAAAACAATAACAGCATGGGACGTACTATTAAATCAATTGTCTTCATTAACCGTTAAGGGTGTTTGCTTTAAATCTGATTCTCCAGATGTTTTCTCAACGTTTCAAGGTTATAAATACAACGTTCTCGAAAAACCAGATTACTCAAAAATTGAGATGTTTATGAATTTCATTAAAGAAGCCATTTGTGATAATAACGATGAAGTGTATAAATATCTACTCGGCTGGATTGCATCAATGATTCAACATCCTGGAATCAAGAATGAAACAGCAATTATTTTGAAAGGACTTCAGGGAACAGGTAAAAACAGATTCACGGACATTATTTCTGAACTTCTCGCTGGTTATTCATGTAAAAACATTACTGAAATAAGTGAGCTAACGGGTAATTTCAATTCAGTAGTTGAGAATAAAATGTTTCTTGTACTTAATGAACTCAAGAATGTAGGTGAAGATAGACTCGCAAACTTCAACGCTTTGAAATCAATTATTACGGATAATGAGATTAGAATTAATGAAAAGAATCAACCCAGAAGAACTGCTCAGAATGTTGCCAATTTCATTTTCGTAACTAACAACGTCTACCCTGTCAAAATTGAAGTTGGAGACAGAAGATACGTTGTTTTAAGAGTTAATGGTAAATTTAAGGGTCAATTTGATTACTTCAAGAATTTAATGGATTCACGCACTAAGGAATTTTATGATAACCTTTTAACATTTTTCATCAATTACGATCTTTCATCATTTAATGTACGAATCATACCGATGACTGAAGCCAAACAAGATTTAATTGAATTATCAACAAATCCTTTAGATGTATGGATAAATACACATTATGATGAATTGTGTGCAGGTATGACGTGTAAAAATGTTCTATTCTGCAAACCACCAGACATGAAAGACAAGAATTTCCAAATGAGCATTAAGGATAAATGTGATAAGAAACAGAGAAGAATAGATGGTAAACAAACATGGTGTTATGTTTTGAAAGAAGAAATGAAAGGATTATATAAACAGGTTGAACCAAACGATAATGAGGATTCATTTACTGACGATGAAATACCTGTAAATGAAGCTTTATAAAGTATGATTTGAATTTATTTTTGCATTAATCCTGCTGTGATGTCAAAATGTCATGTTGTCTCATTTTTTCAGAGAAGTTAATTAACCGAGTGACACATGGTGACGTAGTGACACCTTCAGTTATTCAAAAATGCTTCATAAGTGCCTTCCTCCTTAATCCTGCTGTGATGTCAAAATGTCATGTTGTCTCATTTTTTCAGAGAAGTTAATTAACCGAGTGACACCTTCAGTTATTCAAAAATGCTTCATAAGTGCCTTCCTCCTTAATCCTGCTGTGATGTCAAAATGTCATGTTGTCTCATTTTTTCAGAGAAGTTAATTAACCGAGTGACACATGGTGACGTAGTGACACCTTCAGTTATTCAAAAATGCTTCATAAGTGCCTTCCTCCTTAATCCTGCTGTGATGTCAAAATGTCATGTTGTCTCATTTTTTCAGAGAAGTTAATTAACCGAGTGACACCTTCAGCTATTCAAAAATGCTTCATAAGTGCCTTCCTCCTTAATCCTGCTGTGATGTCAAAATGTCATGTTGTCTCATTTTTTCAGAGAAGTTAATTAACCGAGTGACACATGGTGACGTAGTGACACCTTCAGTTATTCAAAAATGCTTCATAAGTGCCTTCCTCCTTAATCCTGCTGTGATGTCAAAATGTCATGTTGTCTCATTTTTTCAGAGAAGTTAATTAACCGAGTGACACATGGTGACGTAGTGACACCTTCAGTTATTCAAAAATGCTTCATAAGTGCCTTCCTCCTTAATCCTGCTGTGATGTCAAAATGTCATGTTGTCTCATTTTTTCAGAGAAGTTAATTAACCGAGTGACACATGGTGACGTAGTGACACCTTCAGTTATTCAAAAATAATTAATTATTGAATAACCTGAAACCATTAACGATAAAATAACTGATAACAAAATTTTATTTTTATATAAATGGATACCCCACAAGCTCAAAATTTACCACGAATCATAACAAGGGAGGAAATGATAAAAATGATGCAAGAACCTAGAAGGGTTCGGGAAGAGGAATAAAAATTAAATTTGGATTGAGTTTAAAAATTCATCTTTATTAAATTCATCTCTTCCAATCAATTTATTTATTCTATTAAATTCTTTTATTTTTGCTTCACTCAGTTTAAGGATTGAACGGTAAGTTTCTAATTTTTCGATTATTTCTTTCCTCTCTTTATCGTTTTCAGCCCCACCGCATTGCGGCTTCTTTTTGCAATAGCATATTTTTGATTTAATTCTGTTTAGTTTCTTTTTATATTCATTGTCTGGACTCTTGGCTGCTTTGTTGTCACTCATTTCTTACGAAATAAAAAAAATTAAATATTATTTAAATATAATGGAGTAATAAAATAAATCGGAATTTCTATTAATTTATTGTCAACTTCAACTAATGCATTGCCGTTAATATATCTAACAAATTCAGCTATTGTGTCAAATCTTCGTCTTCTTTTTGTCATTGATTTATCAGTTTTTCCATAATCGAGATGAATCAAAACTTTATCCCCTTGTTTAAAATTCATGAGCCCCGAATTAATTTGTTCACGTTTAACATCATTTAACCCTTCCATTTGCTTTCTAATATATTCCCATTCTTTTGAAATATCATTTTTCATTTCCACTGGTTTCATGTTTATAGTTCTATGCCATGTATTATTGTAATAATATACTAACTGTTGTATGATGGAGTCATGATTTCCATCCCAGTATATCTGACCGTTAACCCCTAACGCATCTCTAAGAGTTCTCATTACCGCATCAACTATTTTATTATGAAACGTATATGGAGAGGATGAAAAGAAAAAATTAATTTGTGGGAAATAATGAGCCATAGCTGCCTGAAATCCTTTATCACCATCACCCCTGATATTATCTACTCTTTCATGATCTAGTAAGTATTGTATAGCTCTTCTTGTTTCCTGTTCTGTTTTCCCTTTCACTGGAATGCAATATAAATATCTAGTGTTAATGTTAATGGCAAATAAATAAGTAACGTTTCCTTTTGAATATTCCAGATGATCGATTTCGTATGAATATGGATATGGAGCAAATGAAGGGCGACTAAATTTTTCCTTTAACGGTTGAATTTTCGGGTCAATTGGTTTATTTAATATCTTGAAATCCTTTTTAAAATCTTTTTGCTTCTTTAATGTTTGAAATGGATATAATAAAGTGAATGATGAAGGATTAACTGAAGGAGGAGGAGGTACTGTCGTTGGAGGTTTTGGTGTTGCAAGTGGTTTAATTTTATCTGCTTTGATTTTGGATTTCATTCCCCCCTTCATTAATTCTGGATGTATTCTATTCATTTGTTTTAAATATGCTGTATATAAAGGTTTGATATACTTTCCCGCTTCGAGTTTATGTTGAAGGATGAATTCCAAAAGTTGATCTTCATTTAAAAGTCGGGCTGAATATGGTTTAACTAATGAATCATAAATTAAAGCTTGTGCTTCATTTATGGTCTGAAGGACCTGGGCGTTTTGTGGCTCATGATTATATAATTTATATAATTCATCAATATCTTCTTCTGTTAATACTTTATTTTTGAAATCTTTCAATTGTTTAAGTTGTGATTTAGTTTTTTCCTTTGTATATTCATTATTTTTAATTTTGTCTTTAATTTTAGAAATTATTTTATCATGATATTTCAAAATTTCATTTTTATAATATGGATAATAATAATCCATATCATCACCCGTTATATTGTTATTATGTTTTTGGAGATATGATTTTAATTCATAATAATTAAGAAAATTTTGATTAAGTACTAAATCATCAATTAAATTTTTTAAATCTGTGTTATCCATTTATATAAAAATATAGGGTGTCCAAAGGTGCGTTTAGCACAGCGCTCTATATGAGACTATTAAAGGAGATATATGCTGATTATAAATATATAATAAAAAATATGAATATATGTATATGATGAGTAAGTTGTATTTTGGCGCCATGCCGGGATATAAAATGAATTTTGAGACAAGAGGCGGTTTCGCGGGAAATTTTGGCGGGATTTTTTTCATTTTTTTAATGAATCATAAAGAAAACATCCTCGCTCTTGCAAAAAAATGCAAAGACTGTAAAAAATCTACGAGACATTGGTAAAATGCTTCGGTATGGATGCTCCTAGCTATTCCACTGTAACGTATCATGTTAGGATGTATCACTTCATGAACAAAAAGGCGCCCATCATAAAAATTGACAAAAAATCGCCGGATCAAAGAAAAATCAAAGCAATTCTTCAAGCGCTAGATGAATACCCAAGAGCATCACTCAGAAGGATAGAGGAGATGACAAAGATACCACTTACAACAGTCAGTTATTATCTGCACAATTATTTGAACTACAAACTAGCGTATACACGTTGGGTTCCGCACAACCTTAATTCAGTTCAAAAAAAATCTAGAGTCCAATCTTCGAAAGAGCTCCTCTCTCTCTATTGCGTGCGTATCAATCCAAGAAGTTTCGCTTTTTAGTAACAGGGGACGAGTCTTGGTTTCAATATGCAACAGAAGCCAAAATCATGTGGATCCCGAAGGATGAAAATCCGCAAACATTCCCGAAGAAAAAAATTGACACACCAATGATGATGTTGTCGGTTTTTTGGGGCGTGAATGGCATCATCGCAATTGATATTCTTCAAAAACCTAATACGATGAATGCTCAGTATCTAATTGACAATGTTCTTACTCAAATTATCAATTCTGATGAGTTTGAGAAATCCAAACAACAAAAACAAAAGTTTGCAATTCATTTTGATAATTCAAGAGTTCACAAAAGTCATAAGGTAATGAATTACTTGTTGGAAAACAATGTCAAAGTTGTTCCAAACCCAATTTATTCACCTGATATTGCACCCTCTGACTTTTATTTATTCGGCACGCTAAAAAAGAGAGCTGAAGGACGCGAATTCGCGAGTCCAGATGATCTTGAAAATTTTGTAAGAGAGCAATTTGAGCAATTTTCTCATGATGATTTAAAGCGTGTCTTTGAAGCCTGGATCGATCGCTGCGAACGCGTGATTGAATCCAATGGTGATTATATTTAAATAAACTTTATATATATGTAACTTGTTTATTTCTATTCGCAGTATTCAGGTTTGTGCTAAACACACCTTTGGACACCCTATAAAATAAATGTTTAAGGGTGCCCACCTCTTTGAATCATAGTATCAAAACCATCATTAACGGTTCCTTTTGTCTCTTCTGTGGCATTTTATTAAAAATAAAATTTTAAATTGTATTAAATAAATGGTATACAACATCCATTTTCACAACATACAGCCTTAGTGTGTGCTCCTGTTAATGCAGTCTTACCGATTGTTAAGCGAGTCATTGACCCGTTTTTAAGTTGTAAATTAATATTCTGACCATCAAATATCACTTTATCATTTATTATATCCAAATAATTTTTAGGTGTTAATTGTTTATTTTGTCGTAAACTAACACCTTTCATTTTTTGTGCAATCTTTTTAAAATCACTTCCATCAATTGAACCGTTGAATGATGTATAACATTTAGGGCATAAAGCAACCATGTTATCACCTTGTTTCTCAATTGCTAAACCCAATAACTTCTTCTCATGTGCTTTTTCTTCAGCTTTATTCTTTAATTTGGGTTTAAATTTCTCATCAAAACAGAAGAAATCAAATGGTGCGAATTTGAAAATGTTTTTATCATAAAATTGTTTATCGGTAACAATTGCTTGAAATGCTTGAGTGTTAGGAAGATTTGGGTCGCCAGCGATTGCCCAATAAGATGAATCAGTATCACCTTCAATGAAATGAAAACGATTAACATTCATGCATTTATACATAAAATCATAAATGAAAACCAAATACCAGTATTTAGCATTATCTAAAGTGAAGAATGCCTCTTGTAAACATGTATCACATCTATAAAATCTATCTTTAAGCATCACTTGATATGTATCTTCACCTATTTCTCTTATGTTTTTAAACTTATTTGCCATACATGCAACGCGTACCTTCTGTGCATTCATTATTTTAGTCTTTGTGTAATTTTGTGTATTCATTGCATCGTAACCATATGATCCATTAAGTGAAATCTTGCAAAATAAACTTTTTCCTTTATTTCCTTCTAATTCAGCCTTTTGTCTTTCGTTCATAAATTTGTTCGCAAATTCATTAAAACAAGTGTTTTTAGTAAATGTTAAAATTGATTGAATGTCATCAATGATAAAATGAAATCTGTCTATTAGATACCAAAGATAATAAGAAGAAAATGGTTGATATTGGTTGTATGTTGATGCTAACTGAGTTAATTTCCTCTGTTTCTGGTCAACTGGTAGATTGTTTGATTTCATGTAATTATACATAAAACTGCCAATTGTTTTTTCATCTGTGATAATATCTAAGTTTCTTATTATCGGTAAAAAGTTTATGTAATCATTAATGTATTTTTCATCAATGTGACCCTTTACTTCAGCCACGAATAAAGTATTTTTCTTCTTAATTATTCCCAGTGCTTTTGCTTTCTTTGTTGCTGTATCACAAATGATAACACCATTCAATCTTCCCGGCATATACATTTTATGGTCAGTATATTGAATGAAATCATGAGGATTAGATGAAAATGATGAAGGATATAATGAATTAAAATCAACACCAACGAAATGAGTCATGATGTTTGAAGTGTCCTCATTTGATACAGTTTTAGTTTCTGGATTATATGCAAGTTTATTAATGTGCGTGATTCCTTTAAGATTTACTCTATGTTGAACATTTGATAGACCACCAGTAATTCCATTACGGAGAATGTGATAAGCTTCAACTGAATCTAAAGTCATTGGTAAATTATTTTTTAATGCATAATTTCTTAAATTGATTCTTAAACGTTGAACATCTTCATCTTTATTTGATTTTACGACATTGCAATAACAACACATTAACTGACAATTTTCTTTGGTATGTGGTTTTTCATTATCGATTCTATCCAATGTTGGTTTATTTGCATATGTAAACGCTTTACCACACATTTTGCATTTAGATGAAAGGATTAAATCGTGATAGTATTGAAAATCATCCATTGAAACATTATTTTTAGTATCCTTTCTGCTTTTTCATCTTGTTTCTTATATGATTCAATTTTATATTTCCAATACTTTTTCGTTAATTCAAAACTTGATTCTATCTCTTCCTCAGGATATTTTTCATTAGGATTAAAGTCTTTATATGCTAAAGCGTAACGAATCATTGAAGCATTCGATGATAAAGAAAGATTATGAAGCATATCAATTTTATAAACAAATGTTTCTTCAATAATTTTATCGATTGGGTCAATCATAATTTCAACATCTTTATTGCAATAATGAATAAAATATTCTAATCTATTCTTAAAATTTTTAGCATCATTGAGATATATTTGATAATCACTATCTGATATAGTTTCTTGGTTAATGCTGAATAAAATGAATCTTTCGTGAATGGTTCCTCTTTATATAATTCTTCTTCGTAATTTTCCCATGTGATGAATTGATAAGGGAAAAAGGATTTAACACGTGATTTATTGTTTCCGAAATCTTGAGTGAATTGGTCTAATGTCCCACCCGCTATATAATTTCTGATGTCAATAAATCTCAATTCATATGGAACGTTTGTTTTCTTTACAATGATTTGCTTAAATTGTGAAGATGAACCCAGTATTGATTTTATTTTCCATTTTGCAGTGTTTAAATCACGAAGAATTAAATTTAAATCAAACTTTCCCGAATTAAAACCTATGATATTCACTTTATTGAATTCCTCATCTAGAAGTTCTTTAAATGCTTCCTTCTGTTTTTCATTTAATGTATGGGACAAAGTCCCCGCCGTTTGCGGCTTCATTAATTCATTGTATTGACTCATATTTGATTCAACAACTAATGAACAGGTTGAAAATAAAAACTCAATCCAATCAGAAATAAAAGAATCACTCGAAGTTAAGCAAAAATTCCTCGTATATGTTTTATCGTTTAATTTAACCGTTGATGATACCATGAATGGTTTTAAGTAAGCATTCAAAGTTGCACACTCAGAAAGTTGTAATTCTTCTTTAGTCTCTAATGTTTCAAAGTCAAAAGTAATATAATATCTTGTCGGTTTATAATATTTCTGCAAATTGTGAGCTAATAACCACTGATATATCTTCTGTTTCGTAATATGTGGTGCATATGGTTGCTGTGTCTTTTGCAACTGAACGTCTTGAATTAATCTTCCATTATTTTCTTTACATTTCTCACAATGCTTTAAAAATCTTCTTTGGTTTTTCCTTTCTGGATCATCACGGATAGAATAAACTTCTTCTTTACAATATGGACAAACTTTATAGCCGGTGAGTGCTTCAACGTCTGTTATTCTGTCAGCGTGAAGTTTTCCACATGGACTCTGTGTTAATAAAATATTTACTGTTTCAAATTCTGGATCTATCATTATTGATTCCACTAATGGAAAGTCTACCTTATTTATGTCCACGTCTTCTGGTTGAGGATCACAATAATAGAAATCAATATTAACATTTAACATTCTCGCTAATCTCTCACTCTCTGATGAAATGTCAAACCCTTCATATGCATCTATTGCTTCATTTAAATAGCTTCTACGAGTTTTAGGATTAGCACCATCAGGAATGTTATAGAAGCGTTTAAATAACCTTCTACCTTCTGCTCTAATTTGATTATCATTCATTTTAGCTGTTCCGTTTTTGTTCATTTATGTAAGAATAAAAAATTAAAAAATAAATAAAAATAAAGTTTATTTTTTAAAGCCCATAAAATGAATTAAGAACACATAAATTTTTATCATCTGCGACGTGACGAATACATTTTAATTTACTCAAGAATGCGTACCCTGATACATTAAATCTAATTCCTGTCTTATTTAATTTCACAACTTTGAAAAGGAATGTATGAATAGCTATAAAATGATGAGAAGATGTTTTATGGGTTGCTTCCATTTTTTCTGAAATAAATGAATAAATATAATGCTTATACGTTTTCATATCTTTTATATTCTTAATAACGAATGGTATAGACCTTTCAACTTCGTCTTCCTTTGGTGCTGTTCTTTCATATGAAACATTATTGGTATCTTCAATAATGAAACCACAATCACACAAAATTTTATAGGTTCCAATGGTTTCTTTTGATATTTTATCTAATAAATCAAAAACTTTATCAACACCCGTGCATTTATTTAAATAATAATTTGTGTAAATATCATGGTCTTCTTTCTTAATCGTATTAGTTGCATATGTCACGTTTTTAAGAGCTTTTTTGAATTTTTCGGAATCTAAAGGTGGTGAAAGTAGGATACAGGGGTATTCTTCATTATCAATAAATTGTAACTTATGTTTACGAATAAATTTAGTACCTTCTTCTGAAAGTGTTTCGTCTATTTCACCATCTAATAAATTTTGTGTTGATTCTGAGACATAATTTTTATATCTTTCTTCATGAGATTTCTGTACTTCTGATTCTGAAGCTGGGATATTCATTAAACCCTCTACTTCATTTTCATTATATTTTTCAACTTCTCTTAATTCCTTAATTTTTTCATCTATTTCATCTCTTATTTTTTCCAGTCTTTCAATTTCATCGTATTCATCATCTTTAATCCGTTCTTCATAATATTCAGGGAAAACATCAGGTTCTTTAGGTTTTTCTTTTTTAGATGTGGGATATAAGAAATTTATAACATCATCTTTATTCATTTTTCCATCATAATCAAATTCATTTAAAAACTCCGCGAATTTTTTACAATTTCTTAAATAATATTTATTAACTTCATAACCCACCTCCTCTAATATATCCTTTATTTCCTCATTTGTGAATCCTAATTTTTTAACGTTGTTAGTTTTGACGCTCATTTCATACAAAATAAAAAAATAAATTATTCAAAAATGTAAGACATGAATTTCTAATTTCTTTGATTATGACTCCATTGATTCCATTCAGGATTTAAACAATGTTTAATTAATCGCAGAATATCTGACATCATCTATATATAGCTTCTTTTATAAAAGATAAATAAATTATTTTAATGATTTATTTATGTTTGGGCTGAGTGTAAATGTCTTACAATTTTGAAAATTTTTTAAATCTTGATTTATTCAAAAACGTAAGAATAAAAACCGTAAGAATCATACATTTTTTACTTCATATGTTAAAAAAATGATACAAAATCGCTCGATATTGTATGAATTCTTACGTTTACAAGAAAAGTCACTAAACCCGTCTACATATACTACTGAAAAATTACTCAAATTTGTCGAATGAAACCTCTTTTTTTAAGTTCCATTTTGTAACTAATCCTTTGTACTTGGAAAATCTTGAATAAAATTTTATAAGTAAAATCGAAACGATTATTTTCCATTTCAATGATTGATCCTTTCATTGTAGCACAGCAAGATGTAATATCTGATATGGAAAAGATCAATACATTGCTTTCTACGCGCAATGATATGATTCATGACTCCAGAGGTATCAATGTTGATATTTTTAATAATCTTGGAGTTCAATCTCAAAATTTAATTCAAAACGTTAAAGAAAATCTTTCGGATTTAGATGGGGCATTCCAACAAATCCTTAAAAATCCTAGTAGATTCGATATTTCAGAATCAGAATTAACAAATAGAAAAAATTTCTTAGCATCATACAATCAAAAGCTTGCACAGTTCGAAAATCAACTTAATGAACAAAATTCACATCAATTTCCTCAGTATATGTCTAATATTCAAGGCTATCCTTCGTATGATAGTGAAAAGAATCCAAAAGGAGACCAACAGTCTCAATTGTATCAAGAACATTCAGAACAAATTGACGCAATAGCTGATAATGTTACTGCTGGACTTCTTTTGGGTAGAACTATCAATGCCGAACTTGCTGACCAAGAACAACTCATTAGCGCACTTGACGATGATGTTACAAATGCTAGTGAAGCAATGCAAAAGGTTACAAAAGAAATTAAAGCTTTAATTGAAGCAGAAGGTAAAACGCCCACCTGCTTGGTATGTATTTTATCTGTTATTTTCATTGTACTTCTCTTCTTTGTTATTTAAATAATATTTGCTTGTCTGTTTTATTAAATTATACATTTTTATTAATGAAACTTTAAATTTGAATTTCGTTTATAGGTATATATATCATATATCTAAAATAAAGTAGATTTATGTATTTGAATTTTTCCAAAAATTTTTTGAAATTCAAAAAATTGCTAAATTGTTCTAGAAAATCATTTTCATAATTCAAAATTAAAAAAAAATTTGGAATTTTTCGGATAAAACTTTATATTCCAAAGTGTATATTTACATTCACTGAAAGAGTTTTCATTATAGAAAATTTTATTGTAGATTTATATTGAATCAAAAAACGAATTTGGACTTTAAAATCATCCTCATTAAACTACAAAACTATAATAAAAATCATTACTTACACTGATGATCTTTAAAAAGAGTATTCCCGATTGAATTTCATTAGATATCTTATAAATTCTAGTATTCATATGAAAATACCCTATATTGTCCAGTTAAATTCGCTATTCTTTCAGATCAAGGCAAATCGAAATAGTAAACCGAACGATAATAAAAATAAATTTGAAGAATGAAAAATATAACATCAACTCCATTTCATAAAATCATTTTCATTGGCGACTCATCAGTCGGCAAGACATCCATTATTAACCAATACATATATAATTCTTGCACCCCTCAGTATAACTCAACGATTGGAATAGATTACCTATCAAAGATAGTCAATGAAGCAGATAAACCAATACAACTTCAAATATGGGATACTGCAGGACAAGAGAAGTTCCATTCTCTTATTCCTGCTTACATTCGCTCTTCTACAATTGCAGTTCTTGTTTATGATATCACTTGCAAACAAAGCTTTGACAATATTCAAACCTGGTATCAAATGGTTATCAACAATGCAGAACCTGCTTTTATTATTGTCGGAAACAAGAGCGATCTCGATTCCGAAAGGGCGAATTCCATTGAAGAAGGTAAAAAGTTTGCAAACCAGATTAATGCTAAGTTCATAGAAACATCAGCCATTACATCTGAAAACATTAGTCAATTATTCGACATAATCATTCAGATTCCAATTCCAGTCGAAGAAGTTGCTCAGGAAGAGAAGCAAGTAATGATTACAATCCCATCTGATAAGATGGATACAAAGGCTCCACAGAATAATGGCTGTGGATGCTAATTTCTCATTTCGAACTATATTTCGATTATTATGTATTTTATTTCAGATATTTTAAACTATTTTATGTCTATATAAAATTAAATACAGTAAAAATTAAGTAATTACTCATAGGTTTACAATATACAAGTAAATTATTAATTTGATAATCTCCTTGGAGCAGGGAAGAGTTTGAATTCAAGAATTGAATTAATTTTCTCTCTCATATTTGACTCAGGAGGTACACTGCTTGAAATAATATCAAGAAGGCGTTCTTCGTCATGATTTCCTCCTAAATACTTATATATAATGTCTGTTTTCCACTTGTTATCATCAATGATATCAAGATAATTTTTCTTGTCCATGACTTTCGATAGTTCTCTGCTAAAATCATGGAGAGAATCCATGTCAACAAAGTTCTGAAATGAACTTAATGTTCTTCATGAACTCGTAATACTATCATTTGTATTTGGATCGAAATTCTGAAGAATGTCAATTTCATCAATAATTTTTCGAATGGATAACTGAAGATATTGAAGTGCAGAAATTCTATCCATGCAATCAGCTACTTGATATGCTTCGGCGTAGATATTATCTCTTTGAAGAATGTAATATCTGCCCATAATTAAATTTCTTGATCTCCTTTCTTGATCTTTGATACTGCTTATACGAGCATTAATTTCATCATTTGTAAGATTGAGAAGAGTTGAGAGATGCTCAATCCTTTTTGAACTCATGAAATATTGAACAATAAAAAGTGACAAATTTAAATATTCAATTTTTTGAAACACCTTTGAAATCAAGGATAAATTATTTTAATTTCATAATCATTTCAAATTAAGCATATATTGAGTTGGAATTAATTTTAAAAGTTGCAAAAATCTTCAATGAACGAACGCAAAACCGATAAAAAACTTCAATACTTTACATTGTTGTTTTTTTGACAACAGTGGCGGTTATTTCAATCATCCGAACGTAAATCAAGATTTTACTTCACTTAACGCATTTAAATTAGACCTGAAGAAAGTAACACTAATTATCAGTTTAATATAATGGCAAACTAAAGTTTCTTGATTTCTCAATGACACACAATGAGCTTTCATGCAATTTATCTTCAACCAATCGAATATTTGAATTGAAATATGGTAGAAGACTTAATCATAAGTTTAAGGATACATTTTTTATGTCAGAATTCGATTAAAAACACTTATGTTGAAGTAAACCCATTGATTAGTTTATCACTTAATACACAAATCGAATAAAAAGCTAATTTAACATCTGTATATATTAACATAGCTGTTTTATTAAAATTGTTCATTAATAATTGTCATAATGCCTTTATGATTTCAATCTAAGTGTTTTTTCATACAGGGATCTGAAATGTAATATATATTTGGCTCTATTTGACTATCACTTTGAATTTGAATTCATTTTTGAGAACGGTTATATTAACTTATTTAAAAAACTTACGTACAATCTATAAGCTCTTGATAAGGGTTTCGTTTTGCGAAAAAAACGTACAATACGCAATTTCGCTAAAAAACATTTAGCTAGCAATTTCGACCTTTGACTCCACTCAAGACGTCACTTTTTTAATTTTGCGGTATCATATTTTTGGAAAATCTTTATGAATATTATATAAAAAGTCTCTTTAATATCTATATTTCATATTTTTATCGATTTTTAAAGTTTTCGCGAAAAGTATTCAATTATTTTTGCTATTTGGTCGGGTAAATGTCAGATTTGCGACATTTTCTGATATGATATTCAGATTCTACGTTGATAATAATGCTTATAGTGTTGTAAACAGAAATTCATCAAAAGTGACACATCAGAAAAGCTAAAATATTGAATTTTTGGAACTTTTGATAGAGCACGTTTTTAAATATTAATTAAAGTAAATGTATATTTTGTAAAGATTCTTTTTAATAAAAAAAATAAAATTTTGAAGAAGAACACAAAATCTTCTGAAAAATAATATCACATAAACTCATATTATTTTCTAATATATAACTATTTTATATAAAAATCAAATTCAATGATCTTAAAAGCGAAGGATAAACCTCAAAATTTACGAATATAATGAGTGGGAATATAATGCTTATCTATCATAAAACCATATGAAATATCAATTTTTGCTTTACGCCTAATTTTTGACGACAATTAGCAAAAAATGTTAAATGTTAACACTCAGTCCATTTGAATATGAAAAATAAAATTGACTTTGATTAAATGTTTTTATTTATCATGCAATTCTTCTTGCAACCAAAGATTTGAATAAAAGTTCAAAAAATAAGATAGCTTAAAAAATAATATACGGTAGTGTTTACTAATAGATGAATAGTATATAAATTCTATTAAAATGGATTTGATCCAAAAAATATAAAACCAAAAATAATTGTTATAATTTAAATGAAGAAGTAATTTAAAACGATTTTATTTATGATCAAATTTTATATATTTTTTTGGATCAAATCCATTTTAATAGAATTTATATACTATTCATCTATTAGTAAACACTACCGTATATTATTTTTTAAGCTATCTTATTTTTTGAACTTTTTATTCAAATCTTTGGTTGCAAGAAGAATTGCATGATAAATAAAAACATTTAATCAAAGTCAATTTTATTTTTCATATTCAAATGGACTGAGTGTTAACATTTAACATTTTTTGCTAATTGTCGTCAAAAATTAGGCGTAAAGCAAAAATTGATATTTCATATGGTTTTATGATAGATAAGCATTATATTCCCACTCATTATATTCGTAAATTTTTGAGGTTTATCCTTCGCTTTTAAGATCATTGAATTTGATTTTTATATAAAATAGTTATATATTAGAAAATAATATGAGTTATGTGATATTATTTTTCAGAAGATTTCATTCTATATGCCTATGAAAAGTACTCTCAAAACCAACTTTTTCCTAATTATAATTAAATCTGGAATATTGTATTATGCTTAGTATTATTTCATTTTTCTCATTCAATTTAGAATTTACAAATGTCAAAAAATTGAGAGCTGTCACTTTTGATGAATTTCTGTTTATTACAATAGAGATTAAAAATCTGATTTGTGAAAACATCTCATCAGTTTCTAGCTAATTCAAAAATCTTTACTATCTTATTCGATTAAAATGAAAAGGGAATAGTTTTATTATGCTTTAAATGACAGCCTTATAATATAATCATAGTTTTCGCTCAATATGCAGCATTTTTTTTTCGAAATCTATGGTCAATGTCCTAAATACTGATTGCTTTGCATTCATATCTCTTACATTTTCTATACCCACATCACTATTCATTGCTATTCCTATCTTTTTCATTTTTGTTTGTTTCTCATAATTTCTCAAAAAACACGATAACTTGATATTTGTAAATATCATACTTTATAACGTAAATAAGAACTTGACCTATTATGAAAAGCAGTAATGAAAAGAAAATCTGAAATTCATAGTAGTAGGGTATGATGGGTTATGTGACTTTTTTTGTAAACGTAAGAATTCATACAATATTGAACGATTTTGTATCATTATTTTTAACATTAATTTTAAAATAATTTATTTTTTTTATTCTTACATAAATGACCCAACAAGTAAAACCAGATAAAATAGATTATCGAATTTTAGAGGATGGTGTTCCTGTTTATATTCAAAGATTTAAAGGGAAGCAATATTATAGAATTCTTAATCCTGAATACATAAAACATTTATTTAAAAAGGAAGACTGTGAATTATTAAACGTTAATGAATATGAAACCAATAAATCAAAATTGAAATATAAATATATTGGAAGTGATGAAAGATGCACGTCTCTCTTTCCATCATTACTGCATAACCGCATTTTCTCAATTTTAGTGGTTTGTTATTTTTAGCAAGTTCTTGCATCATTTTTATCATTTCCTCCCTTGTTATGATTCGTGGTAAATTTTGAGCTTGTGGGGTATCCATTTATGATAAAAATAAAAATTTAAATTATGCCGTTCTAAAGTTTGAGACAACATGACATTTTGACAACAACACAGGAGGAAGGCAGTTATGACTTATTTTTGAAGAACTGAAGGTGCTACCATGTTACCATGTGCTACCAGGTCATTTAACTTTTCTGAAAAAATGAGACAACATGACATTTTGACAACAACACAGGAAATGATTTGTCATGACTTCATCGGAATGAGTGTAAATGACCCAAAAATAAAGTTAGTTTTAAAATTATTTTTTTATTTTGTATGTAAGAACAGAAATGTCAGTCGAAGCAAAAACATTCACTAACAAATCTAATGGCGAAACATTCACAAAAGGCAATTATAACGGTATTGAAGTCTTACGTAGAGACAAGGATGGTTACATTAATGCAACAAAGATGGCAAGAGAAGCAGGAAAGTTAAACCATTTAAACAGATTTCTCAATAGTGCTAAAATACAGGAAATTCTTGAGTTTTGGATGAATGAATACGGTGGAGCCAAAAGTGGCTCGACCTCAAAACAAGCATTTTATGAGCTTACTAAGGGTGTTATAAATGAATTCAAAGGTATTTACATACATCCTGACCTCGTTCATTTTGTTGCTGAATGGTGCTCTGTAAAGTATGCATTTTATGTCAAAGATATTATGGACTCCATAGACAAGAAAGTTCATGAGAAATTAGATGAAGAAGAACTTGAAGATACAGTAGAGAATGCTAAACCTTTGTTTGAAGAAGAAGTTGGAAAAATGTGCGAAAAACAATTAGAACATGAACGTGAGTTATGTTATGGTTATAGAGATTCTCCATACGAACTAGACCAATGGGAACAAGAAAATTTAAAGAGAGAATTTAGAGAATATGAACTCGCTAAGATAGCATTAGAAGCTGCAGAAAAGAAGTTAAAAGCTTGGGGTTGTTTTGTACAAAAATATTGTGAGTAAATGAACCATTTATTTTTATTGAATTCACCAAAAATCATTTTTAGGGTAGATGGTTAGATCTAACCTCATTTCTAACCTCATGACATTTTGACAACAACACAGGAGGAAGGTAGTTATGACTTATTTTTGAAGAACTGAAGGTGCTACCATGTTACCATGTGCTACCAGGTCATTTAACTTTTCTGAAAAAGTGTGACAACATGACATTTTGACAACAACACAGGAGGAAGGCAGTTATGAATTATTTTTGAAGAACTGAAGGTGCTACCATGTTACCATGTGCTACCAGGTCATTTAACTTTTCTGAAAAAATGAGACAACATGACATTTTGACAACAACACAGGAGGAAGGTAGTTATGACTTATTTTTGAAGAACTGAAGGTGCTACCATGTTACCATGTGCTACCAGGTCATTTAACTTTTCTGAAAAAGTGTGACAACATGACATTTTGACAACAACACAGGAGGAAGGCAGTTATGAATTATTTTTGAAGAACTGAAGGTGCTACCATGTTACCATGTGCTACCAGGTCATTTAACTTTTCTGAAAAAGTGTGACAACATGACATTTTGACAACAGTCCTGGAAATATGATGCAGTCCAAAAATAAAGTTAGTTTTAAAATTATTTTTATTTTTTTATTTCTATATAAATGACGGCAACAAACAACAACAGCAACTATATCGTTTCTGATGAAAAAGTTATTGATTCATTAGTTGAGGAATTAGTTGTGGCAGAAACTAAAACCCTCAACGAAAGAATTGGTGAAAACATGATTGATTTACATAACTACCTCAAACATGATGGAGGAAGAGGAAGGAAAACTGGTACAGCTTTATTAGTAAATAAAATTTCAAATTTAACGATTATAGATGTTGATATCAATAAATCATACAATGATGAACTTAAAGAAACAGTTAGAAAAGACATTTTATCAAAACTTTCGGATAAAGATGTTATCGTTAAAACTGCATCAGGAGGTCTTCGCATTTATTGCAACACTAATTTCTTCTATTCAACCTCGAACAGAATGATTAAATGTTATTCCTGCAATGATTATGATATTGATATCATGACTTCTATTGATGATTCAAAGCGTTCTTTAGTGGTTATGGCTGATTCAAGAGTTCGCAAGAATGCAACAGAACCAATCAATACATACTCATTCATTCGTGGAAGTTATGATTCAACATTAACTAGAACAGTGAATGATATATTAAATGATTTGAATATTAAGGTAAGAGTTGAACAGAAGAATGAAGAAATAAAGACTATCATGAATGAAAACAAAGATGTAAACATTGACGATAAACTTGCTCAGAGCATAGTTGATGGCATCTGTGATTTTGAAGTACATAATGATGGTGGAAACATGAATTTAGAAAAAGAAATAACATTATTCACACTGTTTCAAGCTATTAATTCGTTACCTAATCATTTAATTAATGAAGCATACGATAACGTTTATAACTTCTGCAATTTAACAGAAAATGCAAAAAGTAATTTTGAAAAAGCACGTAGTAGATATGCATATTTAATGACTTCTCCATTTGTTTTGGTGAAGATTCTAAAACTATATCAAAAGGAATATTATGATGAATACGTTTTACCTTTATTACGTAAGCCAAAAATAACATTTGATATAAAACTTGATGACTCGTTTTTGATAACAGATATTAGACGCAAGGCTGAAAAACATCAGTATAAAAACAGTTCTGAAGTAATTGAGGATTTATCACGTGTAATCCGTTTTGTAGATTGTGGAAACAAATATTTCATTCAAAAGGACTATAATATCCACGACAAAATGAATCAAATATCATTCGTTCTTCAATCAAACATGAAAGAGTCACTCAAAATGATTAAATTATTTAAAGAAGAAGGTAAAACAATAACAGCATGGGACGTACTACTAAATCAATTATCCTCATTAACCGTTAAGGGTGTTTGCTTTAAATCTGATTCCCCAGATGTTTTCTCAACGTTTCAGGGTTATAAATACAACATTCTCGAAAAACCAGATTACTCAAAAATTGAGATGTTTATGAATTTCATTAAAGAAGCCATTTGTGATAATAACGATGAAGTGTATAAATACCTTCTCGGCTGGATTGCATCAATGATTCAACATCCTGGAATCAAGAATGAAACAGCAATTATTTTGAAAGGACTTCAGGGAACAGGTAAAAACAGATTCACAGACATTATTTCTGAACTTCTCGCCGGTTATTCATGTAAAAACATTACTGAAATAAGTGAGCTAACGGGTAATTTCAACTCAGTAGTTGAGAATAAAATGTTTCTTGTACTTAATGAACTCAAGAATGTTGGTGAAGATAGACTCGCAAACTTCAACGCTTTGAAATCAATTATTACGGATAATGAGATTAGAATTAATGAAAAGAATCAACCCAGAAGAACTGCTCAGAACGTTGCAAACTTCATTTTCGTAACTAACAACGTCTACCCTGTCAAAATTGAAGTTGGAGACAGAAGATATGTAGTTTTAAGGGTTAATGGTAAATTCAAGGGTCAATTTGATTACTTCAAGAATTTAATGGATTCATGCACAAAGGAATTTTATGATAATTTACTGACGTATTTTATGCAATATGACCTTTCATCATTTAATGTACGAATCATACCGATGACTGAAGCCAAACAAGATTTAATTGAATTATCATCAAATCCTTTAGATGTATGGATAAATACACATTATGATGAATTGTGTGCAGGTATGACGTGTGAAAATGCTCTATTCTGCAAACCATCAGACATGAAAGACAAAAACTTTCAAATGAGTATTAAGGATAAATGTGATAGGAAACATAGAAGAATAGACGGTAAACAAACATGGTGTTATGTTTTGAAAGAAGAAATGAAAGGATTATATAAACAGGTTGAACCAAACGATAATGAGGATTCATTTACTGACGATGAAATACCTGTAAATGAAGCTTTATAAAGTATGATTTGAATTTATTTTTGCATTAATCCTCCTGTGTTGTTGTCAAAATGTCATGTTGTCACACTTTTTCAGAAAAGTTAAATGACCTGGTAGCACATGGTAACATGGTAGCACCTTCAGTTCTTCAAAAATAAGTCATAACTGCCTTCCTCCTGTGTTGTTGTCAAAATGTCATGTTGTCACACTTTTTCAGAGAAGTTAAATGACCTGGTAGCACATGGTAACATGGTAGCACCTTCAGTTCTTCAAAAATAAGTCATTATTGAATAACCTGTAAACATTAACGTAAACATTTATTTCTGCAGTTCATTCATTACTTCATTACCTAATTAATTACAAACATAAAATATATTTAGTTCATTCAATGAACGTGGTAAGCCTGCAAAGTAGGCTCAAGCACATTCAATAAATGGGTACCATGCGAATACAGTCATAAATGGTGGCATATAATCTTTACCCAAGCCTGTTGGATTTGTTGTGAAAGTATGTGAATGATTTCCTCCTGGTTCAGTTGGTCGAAAAGTCTTTTTTGCTGAATGGTTATAATCTGGAGATAAAACGTCATTGCCAGCATAATATTCTGAGTTGTATAATGGATGGTCTCTTAATGAGTGACTATGGTCGCCAGAAAAGTTTGTAGTTCCTGTATGAGTGTGCGGGGTAAGTTTGCTTCTTTAATTTTCTTCGAACCTCCTGTTTGCTTTGAAGAGTTCGCACAATAGAGGAATTTATCTACAATCTGTTCCCACGCACCAAAACCTAAAACTTTTGAAGGATTTGTTGAGTTCATTGACGTATAAATAGAACCAATGGGGTAAATCATCTCAAGAATTGTATTTAATCCATTATGAATATTGAATTTATTATATAATATTGAATTTGGGTGAGTATTTAAAACTGGTCTTGTTATCAATATTAACGTATTATTTTTGAAAATTGCTTTTCTAACATCTTGAAATTTTGTGATTTCAGACCAGTTTCTTCCATCACTACTGATATTTACTAAATCACCACATCCTAAAGCAATGAAATACCCATCAATATAAAATAAATTTGTAAATCTATAATTTCGAGTAAGTTTTGGAGTGAATGAATAAACCAATTCCCAATTTGATAAATCCTGTGATAAATAAATATGTCTGTTATAACTTACAGGATATGAATAGACCATTTCACCTGAAACGAGAACATAAACATTTGATCCATAACATAAAGCTTCAATGTCTCCATCAGCTTGAAAAATTTGTTCAAATTGACCTTGTGATATTGAAGATGATCTATAAATTTTATCATTTTGTAGGATAAAATACATGTTGTTAATGTAATACCACTTACTTGTATAATCAATTTTCAAATCTGATGACATCATACTAAACATATAATAATTTATCCCATCCTCACTAATGAAAATTTGATTGACTTCATAAATTAGTACCCATTTATTATTAACACATCTAATAGGATTATTTGGATATTTAAATTTAGCATCTTGATTTAAATTACATTTGAACCATTGGATACAATCGAATGAATAACAAGGGCAAAAATCATCTTCAACCGTTATCATTCCCATAAATTTACCGTTATTATATTCAACATATAAAATTATTGGATTAATGATTGGCTTTCGTGTATCAGGATTCAAAACAGATGGAGTAAATGATTCATAGTTTTTAAAATCATTTGTTTTAAAATAATAAAGCACCCCAGCTGTATAAAATAAATACATGGTCACTCCATCGAAGCATAACCATTCAAAAGAATCTATATCAAAGGTTTTATCTGATGATTTCATAAAATTTAAAAATGGTGGAGTAAAATAGACCTCTGATTGTTTTATTTCTTCATTAACATAAGTTTTATCTGCTTTCTTCTCTAACTCATCGTTAACATATTCCTTATCTGCTTTCTTCTCTAACTCATCGTTAACATATTCCTTATCCGCTTTAAGGTCTAAACATCCTGAAACCCATCCTGTATCGGCTTTAGTTTTTAAAATCTTTGATGTCCATTCATGATACCATTCAACCATTTCTTTAATTTCATTATCTTTTTCGTTAACATATTCCTTATCTGCTTTCTTCATTAATTCACTAGCCATAAGTCCCTTATCTACCTTTTCTCTAACTCACTGTTGACATATTCCTTATCTGCTTCTTCTAACTCACTGTTGACATATTCCTTATCTGCTTTCTTCATTATGTCATTTAGGAAACCTTTTATGAATTCCTCATTTAAATTAAATCTTCCAATCTTCAAAACTTTAGGAAATGCATTTAATGCGTAATATCTGTTCTTCTGGTGGAATTGATGTTATATCATCCGTTATACCTTTAATTTTTGAATTCATAAATAAAATTTCTTTTATATTTGATATCACTGCACCACCCTTGCAAACGAATTCGAAATGGTCATTTTTCAATACTATCTCCAAATCTCCATATTTCAACCTTTGCGTTTGTTCTGCCGTCTTTGAATTATATGCATATATGGCGTATGTAATGGTCTGAAGGTGCCTTAAGTTGCTGTGGTTGCTGTTGTTTAATCATTTATTATGATTTAAAAATAAATATTTAATCTGTTATCTCATCACCTATTTTTTCTATTTGAAATTGCCATAATATTTCATTCATGAATTCTAAATCACAATCAAATAGGTCAGTTATTCTAAATTTAATATTTGATAAATCTTTTGAATGAAGAATAAATGAATTCCCGGATAATTGAAACGGATATGATAAAAAAAATGTTTAAGTTGATGGATAAAATGTTTTGTATTGATGGGTAAGAGTTAGGGTCTAATGTTTGATGTGAAAATCTCATTGGGGTATTAACTTTATCACATTTGATTAAAATGAAATTGGAACCAGTGTCAGAATACAAAACATCCCCAACATCTTTTTCAAAATTTAATATCCCCAACAATGAACGAAGATGAGGAGTACAAAATTTAATTTTCAGCGGAATTTAATAAGGTTATTTATTTCATCAAGTTCAAAAAGTTTATCAGGTTTTGATTTAAAATTTTCTTCATACCATACGATAAATGATTCATTTAAATAACTTAAAATCATGTTAATATCCCATTTCGTTATCACATTATTTATATACATATCATACGTTTTTTCATGGTCATCTTTAATAAATGATATATAATCTGAAGGGTCTAAAAGAATGGGATTAAATTTACCACTCACAGAAACGAGAGTAACATTATAAATTCCGCTAACTGTTAAATTTAATTCACAGCTATTATTCGAAATAATATTGATAATTGACATTTTTATTACGATTAAAAATATGGTAAAGCGTTATTTTCCAGTGATAAATAAAACTAGAATAAGATTACCTCAAGAATTCATAAATTCAACGAATAAGAAATTCATTCATGTTATAAATTTTAGTGTTTTCAGAAAATATGAGTCAATGTCATATTCATCATCGGGTTATATTTCACTTCATTCAAATTTAGTTCAATCAAACCCATATAATGACCATTTCATAAGATTTTCAGATGGTATTAAAAATGTAATTGATAGATTAAAATATGAACAGATTGACAATATCGAATTTTTGGAATTTTGGTTTAAATATCCCGATGGAAAAAAGATTGAAGTTAAAGATAAAGCTGATACTATAACAAAAACAATTACAATGACCGATCCAGATAGTGGGGAACAAAAAGAAATAAAACAAACGATAGAAACTGGTGAAAGGTCAATTATTATTGATTATGATTCAAAGGATTATTATTCGATAATGTTAATGCTTGAATATTAAATAGCCTTAACAAAGAATTTTTCAAGTGATATTTTATATTCATCAACTATTTTATTATAAATATCATTATATGTTAAATGAAGTTCAGTTGTTGTTCCGTTCTTTGATATCTTAATTGTGCTAATATCCTTTATAGGATTTATTTTTGCAACTGTTCCGCAGCATGAAACCTCATCATCTATGAAAAATTGAATCTTAACGTCTGAATCTTGAACATCACAAAGAATGGCGATAATGTGAATTAATGATTCATAAGGTAAAATAATTAAACCAGATTGGTCAATTAAATTTATTATTGAATCATAATTATTAATTATTATATCACGGTAAATTTTCATTAATTCAGAATTAATGTCTATTTTATATGGCGCATTGCGACTGGAATCGTAGATTCCTGGGTTCTCGATGTTTGATGAAAGAGGTGGGGGTATGTTGGATAAGTGGGAATTTCAACAGGTTCTTTACCGGGTTCAGATAAAATGATTGGGTCTCCATCTTCTTTATTTTGCTCCTCCTCCTTCGGTAAGTCACGAGTTAATAAATTGGTTGAGTTGCTGACCTTGTTAATTCAGGGCTAACATTAACTTTAACATTTTGAATAATTCGTGATTTATCATCATTTACGTTATAACCAACCGTAATCTCTGCTTTTGCGTTAGTGTTCTTTTGACTTGTGAAACGTCTTCTCATTTATAATTGAATAAAAAAAAGAAAAATATATTTAAAGTTTTATTTAGTTGTTACGGTAATATCCCAAGGTTCATCATTGTTTGCTTATACTTTCTTTGTAACTGCACCAATTATGTTATTGATATTGCTTTGAGTTTCTTCCAGTCTTATTTTATCATTTACAATATCTTTAATCATTTCATTACATGCATTCTTAAAACCATCTGATTTTTCTAATTTACGTCTATCACTTTCTTTAATTAAATCAAAGTTATAACCTTGTTGAGAATAAAGTGGTTTCTTTATCAATTCCTTGAACGCTTCTGAAAGTGAAGATGAAGAAATTCTTGCCACTTGAATTGGTTTAAATTCTGCTTTCATTGCTTCTTTCTGTTCATTGAACACTGGATCGAATAAAGCAACTTTAAAGAATTTCTTAGCTGGAATTTCAGGTCTAATATTTGCATATTGACCATCAAACTGATTAACATATCGTGGTAATCCATCCGGTCCCTCTTCAATAGCATTTAATTCTTCATTGAAATAAGAATATGGATTATAACGGTATGAATTAATTGGACCATTTTCACCTTCTCCAATGTATTGTTTAACAGCTTTTCCATTTTCATCAAATTGCATAGGATAACGTTCATTATATGCTTTACGTTTAGGATAATCAGATACAGTTAATTTATAACCATTTATGACTTTAATATTACCTTGACCATCAGTAACGAAAACTTCATTTATACCATCAGGTTTTCCATTTGGTCCGTAATGTCTGCTTCATGTGCTTCCCAATTTGGTCCATGACGTTTGGCATATGCTTGAGCTTCTGGTAATGTTAAAACGTTTCTCATTTGTTTAACATCTTTTTGAAGACCGGCAACAATATGAACTAATTCTTTCATTCCATCTGGAACTTTCATAGTTCTATTATATGCACCCTTTTTGTTTGTCCCTTGTTTTAATGGAACCTGTAGAAGATTTGCTATTTCTGTCATGTTTAATTATAAATAAAAAATAAAAATTAATTATAAAAAGTTAATCAAATTTAACACCTCCTTTATTTAAATCAACTATTATTTTTCCATGTTCACCTAATTGCTGATATTGTGTGTAAAGTTCATTAATGCTCATTGGTAAATTCACTTGATAAAGCATAACGTTCAACTGTTGACGACTAAACCCACTGAAAATGAAAAGGGTTGATAGATTTGATTTAATGTTTGTGCTTAATGCTTTGAAGTATTGAACAGCCATGAAGAATGAACACTGAATGTGTCGACATTGAGTTAATAACTGATTAAAATATGATTTCTCATTTGTTATTAGTTTTGATTTCACTGCATCATCTAGAAAAATGAGTGAATGCAAAAATTCTCTATCAAAATTTGAAATAGAAAGTGTTTCAAATAATTCATCCCGTTGTTTATCAATAATTTTATCCTCTAATCCTTGCTTCTTGATTGTATTATATAATTCTTTATACATTAAAAAGTTTTTTAAATAATCTTCTGCTTCTTCTTGTGATAAATAAATAATTGGAATTTTGATTAAATGCTTTAAAGATTCAAATGTATCATCTGAAGGTGAACCTGAACGGTTGATATAAATTAACACATGTGAATGGGGGAAGTGTTAGCAATAATGATAATTTGTTTTAATATCGTTAATGTTTTACCTTTATTTTGTTTACCAATTGCTGCAGTGATTGAATTTAAGTAACATTCAGAATATGGAATTTTCATTAATTTTTCCTTAGATAGAGCATTTCTATTATCACTCAATGCTTCATTAATCATATCATCTACGTATGTATTATATACTCCTGCTAATTCTTCAGAATTTAAATCCATTTAATCAAAAATAAATTTATAATTTTAAACATTTCTATTCATCAATATTTCATCATATGAACTTCTATACTGTGGTGGTGTACCTGTTGGATGATATTTCAAACCTTCGTCCGGTGTCCATGTCCAATATGTAGTCCTAGTAAACCAAACCTGAGGAGGATTTGTCACCTTTGAACAGTAAGTGTCATTTTCACCCTGAATGATTGGATAAGCTTTCACTTGTACTGTAACTTGTGATTGAAAGTTTCTAATCCATCAAAGAATATACCCGCTCCATCACGTTGAACTGGAATAGTGCATAAGAATGAAGTTTGGTCTTTCCATGTTCTAGCTAATGGCGTGCCATATCATCATTCAGTGGTCTAGTTAATGAGTCCTCGTATTCTTCCGTGCATTCATTCACTCCATCTAAATCAGAAGCTTGAAGCATACGTGTAAAGAATATGTCACCCACTGTGGTCATCGCTTGATCGGGGAAGTTTCTGGAATCTATAGTGACCTGAAGACCTCGAAGCATTGGATTTTCTAAAACGTTCTTTGCATTGCATTCTTCGGAAATGTTAACACAACATCTGTAACATTATGAAGAGCGTATGAGAAATCTGAGCTGATACCTTCAGGAGTGATGCAACCTCCATTTAGTGAACGAACGTCAATATGTTGAGCTGGAATCATGAATGGATCTTCCTTACTGAATAAACGTGGTATTGCTTTAACTGATTCTTCAATTAAACCGTATCCTGGTGTAATGCATTTATCCTCTAAAACTTCCATCTTTGTGCATGAAATAATAACGTATCAACTGTTGCGTCAGCAGATGTAGCGGCTAAGCTTGTAATTAATTTGGCAGGAAGTCCGATTTGTTGGAATTTGCGATCATATTTATAAACATGATTCATAATCTTTTCATAATTTTCATCAGTTATCTTTTCATAAACGTAATTTTGTAAATCAGCAACTCTTAACGGGTCAACCTGACAAAATACTAAAGTATCCCTGAAAACATAATATTTAAGAATGATTTCACCAAATGATTTAGGATAATCATCGAACGCCTGAAATGCTAACAAATCATTTACCGGAATAATCATATCAAAAGTGATATCAACTTCTTCATTTGCTTTCTTGAAAACTTCTGAAGGGTCAATATATTTACCACATACTGAGTTATCATATTTTTGAACATTATTATATAACGAATGAACAAACTTTTTAACTTTCCTTTCTGATTTTGGTTTATATGTTGCAAATGCGAAAGATTCACGGGCGCAATCCATCTGAAGATAACCGGCATCACCTCTTTCGGTTTCTACTTCTAATTGTTTAAAGCTTTGATTTGATGATTTGTAACCAACGAATAAACGCATGCATTTAAAAGCGGCATCACATGTGAAAGCTTTATTTGAAACTAGAGTTGCTTTAACTTTGCGTTTAATATATGTGTCACCTAATTGGTTCACATCATGAGCCGGATTTGTAATTCTTAAATGAGTTTGTTTATCATCAAAATATGGAGCATCAGAGTCATAGCATGAACTTTCAAGTTCTCTATAATATCTTCTACCGTCATTCTTTGCGAATATTTCATTTATCTTTTCGAATGAATGAAACACATTTCCATTAATCGGTTTAGTGTTTGGCACCAAATAGTTAGTCGTCATTTATTAATAAATAAAAAATCAAAATTAAAAGATGAAAATGAATTTTTAATTTTAATGAAATAATCAACTATGGCTGCAGGTATATTTAAGAAACTGTGGGATAAAGTAAAAAGAGGAGCGCATAAAGTTTGGGAAACAATGAAGAAAGGAGCAAATTGGATATTTAAGAATAAAGAAGCAATTAGTGACATTGCTGAATCAATAACGCCAAAAGCTGCCCCAATAAGAGAAATTTTAAATAAAGGAGAAAAAGTTTATCAAAGACTACAACCGATACTAAGATAAAAATAATATTTATTTTTTCCACTATACCTCCTATTTTATTAAGTATTCCTTCAGCAATTCCACCAATTGCGTTACCTGCTTGTGCTCCCATCGCCGGATTACCTGCTTTAGTACCTAATACCCCACCTATGATAGTTCCTGCCGTTTTCGCTACTGGTGCCAAAAAGTTTGCAACAGGTTTAATAATTTTTATAAACCCAACCGCAGCTTTCTTAATTCCATCCCATAATTTTTTTAAGAATCCTGCCGCCATTTCTGATTTAATATTAATTAAAAAATATATTTCATCACTTATATTCTAATTTTTATTTAATGATAAATGAAACCAATTTTAAAAATAAATGAAACAAAGGAGGAAGAAATAAATGAAAGTGAAAATGTTCAACAAAAAATAAACGTTGTTAAACCAATTACTGAAATAAAAATTTTTTCATCTGTTGAAGAATTTAATGACTATTATGCTAATAATAAAAATTATTTGAAGAATTGACAACATGTAAATTGAATAAAATGTTTAAAGTTGATGGATTCAAAATTTCAAAAATAAAAGGAGTGGTTAGTTTGAAATCTATTCCTCAATCAAGAATCACCTCATTAATGAAAATAGATGATTTAACAAAAAGAATAGAAATTATTGAAGAGCGAATGAATCAAATAATTGATTTCATAAATTCAAATAATCATTAGTTTCAATTTATTTTTAAAGTTTATTTTTATTCATGAAAATAATTATTTCTAATTTCTTTTACTCTCTCGTACATACTAGATTTGAAGAATTCAGAACATTTCCCATAATCTCCTAAATGTTTTCTTATCTTATTGGTTTTCCATTCATTATATGAAACTGTATAAACTTTATCTTTATCTTTGCATCTTTCATCACTTCCAATATATTTATATTTCAATTTTGATTTATTGGTTTCATATTCATTAACGTTTAATAATTCACAGTCTTCCTTTTTAAATAAATGTTTTATGTATTCAGGATTAAGAATTCTATAATATTGCTTCCCTTTAAATCTTTGAATATAAACAGGAACACCATCCTCTAAAATTCGATAATCTATTTTATCTGGTTTTACTTGTTGGGTCATTTATGTAAGAATAAAAAAAATAAATTATTTTAAAATTAATGTTAAAAATAATGATACAAAATCGTTCAATATTGTATGAATTCTTACGTTTACAAAAAAAGTCACATAACCCATCATACCCTACTACTATTCATAAAAATTACAAGTTTCTGATGACAATTAGCTTAATTAAACCAGGTACAAGATTATATAATTGTATTTTCTATCCAATTATCCATATAATATCTTATCCAGAAAAAATAACTTGATCAATACCAAATGATTTTTTAACTAGTAAATAAAGTATTTTCTTTACACACACATTGTATATCATAGTTTTTTTTTGGTTTCGCAAAACATCCAAAAACAAATATGCTATAAAAGTGACAATTTTAGCAAAACGAAACCCTTACTCTTGAATTTTATTATTTTTTATTCAATTTGTTTTCTAACCTTTTTTTCTTTTACAAAAATCGTAACTCCAGAAAATTAATCCAGATAACACAGAAAAAGACAGAGAAATATCATTACAATCAACAGAAGGAGGTGATGCAAACAAAGACGACAAGAAAAGAGCCCCTCCTCCGCGCGCAGAACCTTCTAAGATGATTGGTAGTGATGGGGGTACCCAAAAATACACGTTTTCTAGTTCAATGTCACTTGAACAAATCAAAGATCAGCTAGCTCGGATTTTTGGTAAAGTTTATCAGCAACAACAGCTAACTGATGATATTATTTCAGATAATCTTTCAGTACGCAAGCTTGTAATTATAGTTCGCCTACTGAAGTTATCTGATAAACCAGCAAGCTCTCTCAGGAAGCCAATTTTATGCAGTTTGCTACTTGAATTTTTAAATTCCGACCAAATGAAGATCAAATACCAGAAGGCAAACGAAGATCGAGAAAAGAGAGCAAAGCAACGAGCCGAAAGGAGGGTGGAAAAGGCCGCACAAAAGGCACAAACTCAAAATGAACAACCAACTTTACAGGCTGAACCACAAACAAAGTTGGAATATCTTAGATCGTCAAGGAAGGCTGCAGCGGCCGCAGCCGAAGAAAAACGAGAACTTTCTAAGAGTGAGTCTCATGGTTCGATGACAGACTTAGATAAAATTAATAAACAGTCAGGAAAGATGTCGTCATCATCTTCGCTTATACAAGCGCCACAATTTGCTCAACCTGCTTCAGGAATGAGGTTTGATTTGCAATTTACAACATTAAAAGATTCATCGAAAGCGCTACAGTGCCTTCAAAAGATGAATGCTTTTGTTTGGGAGTTATCCGATAGGATAACTGAGCTCGAAAGAGCTATTTCAATTTTAGTTTTACGAATATCAGAGGCAGAGAAGACATTGTTGTGATTTATTTAATTACATATTGTATAAAATATATTAAACTTGTATATAATATATATTTATTTTTTCTTCAAAATATATTTTTAAATTTGGACTGATAAGTAAAGGAAACTATTGTGATAGAATATTCTAGTTCCCGAGTTTATTAGCCATGAGCTATGGACAATGAGAAAATTGGAAAAATATCAAAATTTTATTTGGAATTTTGTAAATTTTTTTAAAGTTTACATCACAGAACTTATTGCAAATATTATTGTTAATTGTATTTTATAGGAGAGATTGTAAGACAAGGCAATAAATGTAAAATATATATTTAATAAAGAATTACGGAGTTTTTTATAATCATGTAGTATAATTTTTAATGTACTCCAGCGTACTCACGTCCGCGGTTGCAGTAATCGCGGAAAGTCTTCCAGAATTCGTCCTTATTTTGGATAAATACTCTGTTAGCCTTAACATTTAATGGAGACTGTGGATTTGGATCTCCCAACATGCAGATAACTGAAATAACAATTGTTTCGATTGTATGAACTGGAAGCCACTTTTCATTGAGCTGTTCTTGTTCATTTGTTGGGTCATCCTTCTGCTCGTGAAGAATGGAGATGCAAACTTTGCCATCTTCGCCAATATTCGGGTGGAACATTGGACATAAGAACTTCATCATCGGTGGTCTCATTGGAAAGTCTTCTGGGAAGATGAGTTCAGCTGGGAGAATGCAGTCTGAAAAACGTGTGCCTGACTGGCCGATGATTGTAACTCTCCAATGGAAAACATTATTATCTACGAGGCCGCAAGAGAAATATAATGATGGTTCCTTCTGGTAGTCGCGATACATCTTCTGTAAAACGTTTGTAGCCATACGCTTTGTACGTGCATCAACCTTAGGTCTTTCTGACATCTTTAAAAATTAATGACTAAAAATTTTTTTTGTGAAAAGTTTGCGACAATCAAAAGTTTGCTTAGTCAAAAAAATTTTCACTTCTTGAAGCCAATTTCAATCTCCAAATCGTAGAAACAAATGTAAGATTTTTGAAGTTTGAATAAGAGTAGGGGTAATTTTAGCTAAAAATGACACGCCTGTAAAAAGTGACACGCCCATGAAGGGTGTGATTACCGCTCGGTAATTTCGACAGTTTAGAATTTAAAATTTTTTATGGAACTGTTGCGAGTTTCATAAAGAATTTAAGGAATATAAGCAAAGATTTGAATCAAAATCTTAGACCTAAGCCGCTCGATTCGCTCGCGGCTTCCGCGAATTACAGATCAGCAAAGATTTGAATCAAAATCTTCGAACTAAGCCGATCGCTTCGCTCGCGGCTTTCTTTATTATTTTAAATTTGCATATTTCCATCAAAAGTTCATAAGGTAAAAAATTTCGTTTATTTTTACTAAAAAAAAGGTTTTTGATAATAAATTTATTTTATTTCGAAAAAGTAGCAATAATCGTAAAAGGGTATTGATAGGCTTGCTAAAGTAACTAATTTTAGCTGTCAAATACTTTTGTATTTTGAAGTAAATTAGTATAAATTTTTTTTACTTTTATTTCGAAAAAGTAGCAATAATCGTAAAAGGGTATTGATAGGCTTGCTAAAGTAACTAATTTTAGCTGTCAAATACTTTTGTATTTTGAAGTAAATTAGTATAAATTTGATATTATTTTAACTCCCTTTGAAAACCTCAATTTTCCATACAGAGGGAACGGAAATAGCATCCAATATTCCCTGAGAATGGTTGCGCATTCTCAGTTCCCTCTATATTTCGAACGAAGCTCTCATCGGTCTTTTTTTTAATACTAAACGTTTTTTTTCCCTGTCACTTTTAGCTAAAATTTGGGTTTGCCGTTTGAATAATTTCCATCTTTTTTCCATCAAGCATTTCATACTTTTTTTGTAAAAGCTGATACAACACATTTCTCAGTATTTCCTTTTGTTGAACTTTTTATTGGCTTTTAAGAATATCTTTTAAATTTTTCCGAATCTAATAATTTTTCTATTGAATTAACACAGGAAACCATTTCTCATATCTAGATTCGAGCAGCTCCAGTATTCAGAGAACTGCCCAATGAAAAGGAGTTTTTCCATCATATCTTTTCCATTAATGAATGTACCATTACAAATATTAAGTTTGGTAATATTTTAATTATATCAGAAATAAGATGGAGTGAATTTCATGATATTGTGCTACAAAATGATCTTGAGAGATGTATTTATGTTGTTGTACAATGAAAATAACATGAACCATTTATATTTGGATAAGAAAGAATATTCATCTTGGAATTGTCTTAAAATAGACATTTTCATCAAAAGATTTCAGAAATTGTACAGAGATATACTGCATCTGGAAGATTTGATCAATTTTAAATGACTTGTTACATTCAAGATAAAGAATTTCTTTACATAATAAACAAAAAAACATAATATTTTTTAAATTATTGATGATTCAACAGAAATTTCATGGTTATTTTGAAGTTTAAGCTTAACACTACCTCTTTCAGATTCATATTCATATCCCCAGTTCGGGCGCTGCAATTCTTTGAAATACAAAGTAGATTTTCCTTGACAAAATGCATCTAAGTATTTCATTGATTCATACAAAGGAAATACATTTATCCATTGTGAAACAAGTTGATGGTGAGCGTGATATCCAGGCGGCATCGTGTAAACTTGAGGAACAATCTTAAATGAAGCTTGATCTATGGCAAAAATGCTGTCAACGTGGAAAGAGTACTTATCATTGACGAAACCTTTCAGTTTTTCAACAACAAAACGATGAGAACCTTGAAGATCTCCCCAATTTTTCAGCATCCAAGTAGAAAAGCTCCACGCATCATTCCAATCGCCTCCAAGAATATCTATTTTCTCTAGTGGTTGGAATTTTCCGTAATTCGAGACGATATAATCGTCTTCTGAAGTATCATTGTAGTCAACACGCGTGGAAAGCAGTAATTGTGATGAAACAAGGAACTTCCTAGATACAGCATCAAAGAAATAAGGTGAAGGAAGGAAATCTCCGCTTCCTGTGAAAATATATTCTCCTTTTGAGATTCTGTAGCCGAAATTCCTCAGGAAATAGTCTGGAACCGAGGTAATATTCATAATAGGAATCATTTTAATGTACTGATCATATTGGAGTGTATAAATTTTTACAATTTTCCTCATTATTGGTCCAAATTTCACTTGTGATTCAAAGGAGTCTGATCCAGGGTTAGTTTTGACATATATGTATATGATTTCAAGTGACAAATCACGATATAATGGCAAAACTTTTTCGTATAATTTCGTAATTTTGTTAACTCTATCGAGAATATTCTTATGGTCTGTGACGATGATTGCGAGAGATGCATATGGAACATCGGGATGCTTGTTAAGCTGCTTTATATAATAAAAATCTCGTTTAATAAACTCATGAACTTTTTCTGCTTTTCCTGAAGCCATTTCAATGATTTCCTTGGCCGAAAATTGTGGAAATCTGTATCGTACCACACCGGATTCTCGATAATTCCCTTGATAATATGTATTAAACAAATAATCTGCGACTTGTGATGCAGAACAATACATCGAGTCATCACCTTCATCTGTATTATCTTTCTTACCCTCTAAAATATTGAGAACTTTCTTGTAAACTGGTGGAGGATTTCGATGATAATAATATGGACCGAAAACTTTAGGAATTATTAATTGATCAACTGTAGAATTGTCAACTGGTTTAGATACTAAATGAATCAATCGTGTTAAGCCTTGCTTTGCACATTTTGTAAGTACGGAATAATTATTTGGACGTGTGAAGTCAAAAATGTAGTTAATTCTGAATAAATCTAGAAAGTATGATGTGTACTCGCTTTCAACATCAAATTGGCCTCGTGATGCAATTTCTCGATACTTTATATTATGATCTTTAAGCATTTCAATAAAAATTCTGGCAGCTGGGACAGAAGAACCAACAACTAAAGTATAAAGTGTAGTATCTCCTGGCTCAACGTTAAAATCACATGACAAATAACTTGTATGTTGAAGTCTATCATAGCAAACCCTCTTTTTTGGTATTTTGGCATCTATGTCGATCTGATCTAAGCATTTTTCATGGTCATTTACGATTACACTTTCTGTTTTTCCATAAATTTTTGTGAAATTTTGCTGATTTAGAGCCTTATTCTTATATAATAGATATGAGATTGACAAAGAAAGTACAAAAATCCTCGCAATAATGAATAGATTCGTGTACTTTTTTTGCGAAGGAATCAACATCAGAAAAACAAAACAAAAATGATTACTCACTCAGCGAAAACTCAATTATTTCGTCATAATCTATATTTAATTCAAATACATCTCTCTCAAACTCATAATTTTGGATTATAAATAAAAAAAGATTTCAGATAATTACATAAGAATGAAAACACTAGCCATTATCATTCTGAATTGATTCAAACATGACTGGCAAATGATATCAGTCTTTAATGTTTTAATCAACATCTTTCCACATTCACTCAACTCAGGAACTTTTAATATATATTGTGGAACACTATCGACAAGCTGGTTACTGGAGTCAAAATTGATATTTCCATTTGAATCTGTTAATTTATCTTGTGGACAATTGATATAACTATTGAATATAGCCATTTTTGAGTCAATCGCATTCAACACCGACAAATTTGATTCAGGAATATCGACATAATAATTATTTATATTACATTGTGGTGTGTGATGAGCCGTAATATGGCCAAAACTATTATCTACAAAAGTCAAACTTAAATTAGTAAAAACAATATAAGAAGAGTTAGTGCTTGTGCAGTAATGAAAATTAATTCCAATTCTGGATCCAATATTATTACAAATTTTGATATTTTTAGATACAGAATTAGCGGTGCGGCTAATAAGAAACGACATTTCTTGCACTCCAAAATTATTTGAATAATTTGATTCCGAAAGCTCAACATAATTGGATATAAACCTACAATTAGAACTTCCACCAGAATTATAGCAAGCGGTAATTAAATTTGCATATAAATCCTTTGTCGCACTAAAAATAGCAAAATATCCGTAGTTAGAACCACCATCATTACTACATTGAGAACCACAAATATTATTTAAGTATAAATTATTAATTTTATCGGTATAAATAGCACCGCCAGTTCTAGCATAGCAATGTAGAAATATAGATTTGGATATATCAGTTTTCTCTATGATCTCATTTATGTAAATAGCACCGCCACTGCCAACTTTATTTGAAAGATACATATAAACAGAGAATTTTACATTGACTGTCTTCAAATTTTATGATTTTGACATGGAAATTTTTTTTGCCTTTCTCCATCAAAATTCATCTTTGGCTTATGCATAATTCTTTTCAAATTCCGAATTTGGGTAAAAAACAAATTGATATGTCAGGCCGAAGAGATGTTGATCAAATCAGAAAAGATTATTCTTCTACACAGAGGATAATCCTATAGTTTTCGACTTTGCTATTGTTATTGTCTCATTCCATATCTATGAACTTAATAAAAATTCCTAAATCTTTTCCAAAATCTGTGAGATCATTATTTTTCGCAGGTTTAACATATTATTTATTTTTTCTAATGAATTTAAAAGATACTTAAAAGGTAATATGCTAATGTATCCTTGAAAAAATTAAAGTAGTATATGTGTGCGGGTTTTGTGACTTTTTTTGTTACATCTATATATAGACGATGCATTAAAATATATTTATTTATAAACACATTTAAAAAATTAACATTAATTTTAAAATAATTTATTTTTTTATCTTTTATAAAAGAAGCTATATATAGATGATGTCAGATATTCCGCGATTAATTAAACATTGTTTAAATCCTGAATGGGTTAAACTTCAATTTAAAAATGAAGATTGTGAATTATTAAATGAATATGAAAGCCAAAATAAGCTAATGAGGTATAAATATAATGATAAAGAATATTTAATTTCATGGAATCAATGGAGTCATAATCAAAGACCTCATAAACGGGAAGAAGAAATTGAAAATAATGAAATGGAAATCATTGATGACATTAAAGAGGATGGAATTCCTAAATTTTGTAGAAAAACCTTTAGAACTAAGTTAGGAGCATATAAACGTAGAGTATTAAATCCTGAATACATAAAACATTTATTTAAAAAGGAAGACTGTGAATTATTAAACGTTAATGAATATGAAAATGCTAAATCAAAATTGAAATATAAATATATTGGAAGTGATGAAAGGTGTAAAGATAAAGATAAAGTTTATTCAGTTTCATATAATAACTGGCACACGTTAGGGATAAGAAAACATTTAGGAGATTATGGGAAATGTTCTGAATTCTTTAAATCTAGTATGTACGAGAGAGTAAAAGAAATTAGAAATAATTATTTTCATGAATGAAAAATAAACTTTAAAAATTCATGTCTTACATTTTTGAATAATTTTTTTTTTAATTCGTAAGAAAATGAGTGGATCAAGATTCGTAACCGTCAATCAATTAATGGATGTTCTTTCACCAATTCTTGAAAATGTTAAACAAGTAGATGTTTATTTCGATGATTATGTAGAAAGTATATATTATAAAGGTAAGTTTAATATTAAACCTATTGCTTTTGCATTTGATAATAAATTAATTGAAAATGCAAAAATTTGGGAATTAATTCCAGATATTGAATTTATAACAAATATTAATGATAAATGGTTTAAACGAATTCCAACCACAAAAGTTCTTTGTAAATTAATGATCAAAACTGAGGAAAAAGAATTTAACGGGTTTAAATATCATCCAAATAAAGTTTCAGAACTAGAAAATGAAAAACTTCAGAAAAAATTAAACGATAGACTTTCAAATGATCGTATTGAAAAAATAAATAAACTAGCAGAAGTTGCATTTAATAATGAAATATTTGATGAATATAACCTTGAACTCAGTGATGGGCTTTAAGGACCCGGGCTCAACGAGTCATGATTTATGAAATCAATTATTTGATTCATTCGCTCTTCAATAATTTCTATTCTTTTTGTTAAATCATCTATTTTCATTAATGAGGTGATTCTTGATTGAGGAATAGATTTCAAACTAACCACTCCTTTTATTTTTGAAATTTTGAATCCATCAACTTTAAACATTTTATTCAATTTACATGTTGTCAATTCTTCAAATAATTTTTTATTGTTAGCATAATAGTCATTAAATTCTTCAACAGATGAAAAAATTTTTATTTCAGTAATTGGTTTAACAACGTTTATTTTTTGTTGAACATTTTCACTTTCATTTATTTCTTCCTCCTTTGTTTCATTTATTTTTAAAATCGGTTTCATTTATCATTAAATAAAAATTAAAAAATAATTGATGAAATATATTTTTTAATTAATATTAAATCAGAAATGGCGGCAGGATTCTTTAAAAAATTATGGGATGGAATTAAGAAAGCTGCAGGTTGGGTTCATAAAAATATTATTAAACCTGTTGCAAACTTTTTGGCACCAGTAGCGAAAACGGCAGGAACTATCATAGGTGGGGTATTAGGTACAAAAGCAGGTAATCCGGCGATGGGAGCACAAGCAGGTAACGCAGTTGGTGGAATAGCTGAAGGAATACTTAATAAAATAGGGGGTAGATAGTGGAAAAATAAATAAATATTATTTTTATCTTAGTATCGGTTGTAGTCTTTGATAAACTTTTTCTCCTTTATTTAAAATTTCTCTTATTGGGGCAGCTTTTGGCGTTATTGATTCAGCAATGTCACTAATTGCTTCTTTATTCTTAAATATCCAATTTGCTCCTTTCTTCATTGTTTCCCAAACTTTATGCGCTCCTCTTTTTACTTTATCCCACAGTTTCTTAAAGAATCCTGCAGCCATAGTTGATTATTTCATTAAAATTAAAAATTCATTTTCATCTTTTAATTTTGATTTTTTATTTATTAATAAATGACGACTAACTATTTAGTGCCAAACACCAAACCGATTAATGGAAATGTGTTTCATTCATTCGAAAAGATAAATGAAATATTCGCAAAGAATGATGGAAGAAGATATTATAGAGAACTTGAAAGTTCATGCTATGACTCTGATGCTCCATATTTTGATGATAAACAAACTCATTTAAGAATTACAAATCCGGCTCATGATGTGAACCAATTGGTGACACATATATTAAACGCAAAGTTAGAGCAACTCTAGTTTCAAATAAAGCTTTCACATGTGATGCCGCTTTTAAATGCATGCGTTTATTCGTTGGTTACAAATCATCAAATCAAAGCTTTAAACAATTAGAAGTAGAAACCGAAAGAGGTGATGCCGGTTATCTTCAGATGGAATTGCGCCCGTGAATCTTTCGCATTTGCAACATATAAACCAAAATCAGAAAGGAAAGTTAAAAAGTTTGTTCATTCGTTATATAATAATGTTCAAAAATATGATAACTCAGTATGTGGTAAATATATTGACCCTTCAGAAGTTTTCAAGAAAGCAAATGAATGAAGTTGATATCACTTTTGATATGATTATTCCGGTAAATGATTTGTTAGCATTTCAGGCGTTCGATGATTATCCTAAATCATTTGGTGAAATCATTCTTAAATATTATGTTTTCAGGATACTTTAGTATTTTGTCAGGTTGACCCGTTAAGAGTTGCTGATTTACAAAATTACGTTTATGAAAAGATAACTGATGAAAATTATGAAAAGATTATGAATCATGTTTATAAATATGATCGCAAATTCCAACAAATCGGACTTCCTCCAAATTAATTACAGCTTAGCTGCTACATCTGCTGACGCAACAGTTGATGACGTTATTATTTCATGCACAAAGATGGAAGTTTTAGAGGATAAATGCATTACACCAGGATACGGTTTAATTGAAGAATCAGTTAAAGCAATACCACGTTTATTTAGTAAGGAAGATCCATTCATGATTCCAGCTCAACATATTGACGTTCGTTCACTAAATGGAGGTTGCGTCACTCCTGAAGGTATCAGCTCAGATTTCTCATACGCTCTTCATAATGTTACAGATGTTGTGTTAGCATTTCCGAAGAATGCAATGCAAAGAACAGTTTTAGAAAATCCAATGCTTCGAGGTCTTCAGGTCACTATAGATTCCAGAAACTTCCCCGATCAAGCGATGACCACAGTGGGTGACATATTCTTTACACGTATGCTTCAAGCTTCTGATTTAGATGGGGTGAATGAATGCACGGAAGAATACGAGGACTCATTAACTAGACCACTGAATGATGATAATGGCACACCATTAGCTAGAACATGGAAAGACCAAACTTCATTCTTATGCACTATTCCAGTTCAACGTGATGGAGCGGGTATATTCTTTGATGGATTAGAAACTTTCAACTCACAAGTTACAGTACAAGTGAAAGCTTATCCAATCATTCAGGGTGAAAATGACACTTACTGTTCAAAGGTGACAAATCCTCCTCAGGTTTGGTTTACTAGGACTACATATTGGACATGGACACCGGACGAAGGTTTGAAATATCATCCAACAGGTACACCACCGCAGTATAGAAGTTCATATGATGAAATATTGATGAATAGAAATGTATAAAATTATAAATTTATTTTTGATTAAATGGATTTAAATTCATTCACCCCTTATGAAGAATTAGCGGGAGTATATAATACATACGTAGATGATATGATTAATGAAGCATTGAGTGATAATAGAAATGCTCTATCTAAGGAAAAATTAATGAAAATTCCATATTCTGAATGTTACTTAAATTCAATCACTGCAGCAATTGGTAAACAAAATAAAGGTAAAACATTAACGATATTAAAACAAATTATCATTATTGCTAACACTTCCCCCTATTCACATGTGTTAATTTATATCAACCGTTCAGGTTCACCTTCAGATGATACATTTGAATCTTTAAAGCATTTAATCAAAATTCCAATTATTTATTTATCACAAGAAGAAGCAGAAGATTATTTAAAAAACTTTTTAATGTATAAAGAATTATATAATACAATCAAGAAGCAAGGATTAGAGGATAAAATTATTGATAAACAACGGGATGAATTATTTGAAACACTTTCTATTTCAAATTTTGATAGAGAATTTTTGCATTCACTCATTTTTCTAGATGATGCAGTGAAATCAAAACTAATAACAAATGAGAAATCATATTTTAATCAGTTATTAACTCAATGTCGACACATTCAGTGTTCATTCTTTATGGCTGTTCAATACTTCAAAGCATTAAGCACAAACATTAAATCAAATCTATCAACCCTTTTCATTTTCAGTGGGTTTAGTCGTCAACAGTTGAACGTTATGCTTTATCAAGTGAATTTACCAATGAGCATTAATGAACTTTACACACAATATCAGCAATTAGGTGAACATGGAAAAATAATAGTTGATTTAAATAAAGGAGTGTTAAATTTGATTAACTTTTTATAATTAATTTTTATTTTTTATTTATAATTAAACATGACAGAAATAGCAAATCTTCTACAGGTTCCATTAAAACAAGGGACAAACAAAAAGGGTGCATATAATAGAACTATGAAAGTTCCTGATGGAATGAAAGAATTAGTTCATATTGTTGCTGGTCTTCAAAAAGATGTTAAACAAATGAGAAACGTTTTAACATTACCAGAAGCTCAAGCATATGCCAAACGTCATGGTCCAAATTGGGAAGCACACGAAGCAGACATTACGGGTCCAAATGGAAAACCTGATGGTATAAATGAAGTTTTCGTTACTGATGGTCAAGGTAATATTAAAGTCATAAATGGTTATAAATTAACTATCTGATTATCCTAAACGTAAAGTATATAATGAACGTTATCCTATGCAATTTGATGAAAATGGAAAAGCTGTTAAACAATACATTGGAGAAGGTGAAAATGGTCCAATTAATTCATACCGTCATAATCCATATTCTTATTTCAATGAAGAATTAAATGCTATTGAAGAGGGACCGGATGGATTACCACGATATTCTAACCAGTTTGATGGTCAATATGCAAATATTAGACCTGAAATTTCAGCTAAGAAATTCTTTAAAGTTGCTTTATTCGATCCAGTTTTCGCAAATGTTAAAGATGAACTTAAACAGCAATTCCAACCAATTATAGTAGCAAGAATTGCATCAGGTGCTTTATCTCAAGCATTCAAAGATTTAATTAAGAAACCATTATATCAGCAACGTGGTTTAACTTATGATTTAGTTAAGGAATCAGATAAAAGAAAATTTGAGAAATCAGATGATTATAAGAATGCAATTAATGAATATATTCGGTCTATTAATTTCGATGAAAATGCTAAAAATCAACTTCATGAACAAATACAGGGAATAATAGATTCAAAAGTTCCAGCAAAATAAAAGTTTAAATATATTTTTTTTATTCGAATATAAATGAGAAGACGTTTCACTAGTCAAAAGAACACTAACGCAAAAGCAGAGATTACGGTTGGTTATAACGTAAATGATGATAAATCACGAATTATTCAAAATGTTAAAGTTAATGTTAGCCCCGAATTAACTCGTGACTTGCCGAAAAAGGAGGAGGAGCAAAATAAAGAAGATGGAGACCCAATCATTTTATCTGAACCCGGTAAAGAACCCGTTGAAATCCCCACATATCCAACATACCCCCCACCTCTTTCATCAAACATCGAGAACCCATATAAAATAGACATTAATTCTGAATTAATGAAAATTTACCGTGATATAATAATTAATAATTATGATTCAATAATAAATTTAATTGACCAATCCGGTTTAATTATTTTACCTTATGAATCATTAATTCACATTATCGCCATTCTTTGTGATGTTCAAGATTCAGACGTTAAGATTCAATTTTTCATAGATGATGAGGTTTCATGCTGCGGAACAGTTGCAAAAATAAATCCTATAAAGGATATTAGCACAATTAAGATATCAAAGAACGGAACAACAACTGAACTTCATTTAACATATAATGATATTTATAATAAAATAGTTGATGAATATAAAATATCACTTGAAAAATTCTTTGTTAAGGCTATTTAATATTCAAGCATTAACATTATCGAATAATAATCCTTTGAATCATAATCAATAATAATTGACCTTTCACCAGTTTCTATCGTTTGTTTTATTTCTTTTTGTTCCCCACTATCTGGATCGGTCATTGTAATTGTTTTTGTTATAGTATCAGCTTTATCTTTAACTTCAATCTTTTTTCCATCGGGATATTTAAACCAAAATTCCAAAAATTCGATATTGTCAATCTGTTCATATTTTAATCTATCAATTACATTTTTAATACCATCTGAAAATCTTATGAAATGGTCATTATATGGGTTTGATTGAACTAAATTTGAATGAAGTGAAATATAACCTGTTGATGAATATGACACTGACTCATATTTTCTGAAAACACTAAAATTTATAACATGAATGAATTTCTTATTCGTTGAATTTATGAATTCTTGAGGTAATCTTATTCTAGTTTTATTTATCACTGGAAAATAACGCTTTACCATATTTTTATTCGTAATAAAAATGTCAATTATCAATATTATTTCGAATAATAGTTGTGAATTAAATTTAACAGTTAGCGGAATTTATAATGTTACTCTCGTTTCTGTGAGTGGTAAATTTAATCCCATTCTTTTAGACCCTTCAGATTATATATCATTTATTAAAGATGACCTTGAAAAAACGTATGTTATGTATATAAATAATGTGATAACGAAATGGGATATTAACATGATTTTAAGTTATTTAAACGAATCATTTATCATATGGTATAAAGAAAATTTTAAATCAAAACCTGATAAACTTTTTGAACTTGATGAAATAAATAACCTTATTAAATTTCCGCTGAAAATTAAATTTTGTACTCCTCATCTTCGTTCATTGTTGGGGATATTAAATTTTGAAAAAGATGTTGGGGATGTTTTGTATTCTGACACTGGTTCCAATTTCATTTTAATCAAATGTGATAAAGTTAATACCCCAATGAGATTTTCACATCAAACATTAGACCCTAACTCTTACCCATCAATACAAAACATTTTATCCATCAACTTAAACATATTTTCTTTATCATATCCGTTTCAATTATCCGGGAATTCATTTATTCTTCATTCAAAAGATTTATCAAATATTAAATTTAGAAGTAACTGACCTATTTGATTGTGATTTAGAATTCATGAATGAAATATTATGGCAATTTCAAATAGAAAAAATAGCTGATGAGATAACGGATTAAATATTTATTTTTAAATCATAATAAATGATTAAACAACAGCAACCACAACAACTTAAGGCACAGACCATTACATACGCCATATATGCATATAATTCAAAGACGGCAGAACAAACGCAAATGTTGAAATATGGAGATTTGGAGATAGTATTGAAAAATGACCATTTCGAATTCGTTTGCAAAGGTGGTGCAGTGATATCAAATATAAAAGAAATTTTATTTATGAATTCAAAAATTAAAGGAATAACGGATGATATAACATCAATTCCACCAGAAGAACAAAGATATTACGCATTAAATGCATTTCCTAAAGTTTTGAAGATTGGAAGATTTAATTTAAATGAGGAATTCATAAAAGGTTTCCTAAATGACATAATGAAGAAAGTAGATAAGGAATATGTGACTAGTGAATTAATGAAGAAAGCAGATAAGGGACTTGTGGCTAGTGCATTAATGAAGAAAGCAGATAAGGAATATGTGAATGAAAAAAATAATGAAATTAAAGAAATGGTTGGATGGTATCATGAATGGACATCAAAGATTTTAAAAACTAAAGCTGATACGGGGTGGGTTTCAGAATGTTTAGACCTTAAAGCGGATAAAACATATGTCAACGATGAGTTAGAGAAGAAAGCAGATAAAGAATATGTGAATGAAATATACCAAAGTTTGATAGGAACAACTAAAAATATTGAAACTATTGCTGGTGACTTTTCCGTCTATGAAGAAAATAAATATTTTAGAGGGCAATTGGTACATTCCTTAAAAAATGGTATGCGGTGTAAACTCATTCCGAAAAATAACAATGAAATGTATGTAAGTTATAAAAAGAATGATGACACACAAGTTAAAGTTCCATTAGACAACAACTGTTACTTAAACTTATATGGAGACGAACAAAAGAAATATTTAAGAGTTTATGAAATGACAGATATGACATTGTCTAACGTAGCTCCAGCACCGTATTATTTCGACTATGGAGATGATGTCAGAACACCACATGTAGATGAACAAAAGCTAACATTATATTTAGATTATTATAGATATAAAAGATATAATGCAATAGAAAAAACGAGAATAGTATACTATTATGAAGATGACAGAAATAAATATTATAGTCAAGATTTTACCTACCCTGAAAACATAAGATTATATTATAAAAAATATTCTGACACAAACCAGAAGAAACCTGAAATAGTTGCACTATATTTTAAGTTCAAAAGAGACAATCCTATAATATCTCATATGTTTGATTTAATGAACCCAGTAGGTTCTATTTATACATCTATGGATGTGAGAGGTCCTCAAGCAATGTTTGGTGTTGGTGCATGGGAACAAATAGTCGACAGGTTTTTGTATTGTGCAAACTCTTCAAAGGAAATAGGTGGAAGTAAAACGATTACAGGTGAAAATTTACCTGCACACAGTCACTACATAGATTTAAGTACATCTCAAGCGGGTTGGCATAAGCATAGATATTGGGATTGGTCAGCAATGATAAAAGGTAAAGGATATGATGTTAAAGACAACGTTAAGTTTGCTATAGATTGTTACTGGAGTAACACTGAGGGAGGAGGAAACCATACACATCGCGTTTCAGGATATACACAAACAACGGGACAAAGTAAAGATTATATGCCACCATTTATGACTGTTTACGCATGGTATAGAGTTCAATGAATGAACTAAATATATTTTATGTCTGTAATTAATTAGGTAATGAAGTAATGGATGAACTGCAGAAATAAATGGTTACGTTAATGGTTACGTTAATGGTTACGTTAATGGTTACGTTAATGTTTTCAGGTCATTTAACTTCTATGAAAAAATGAGACAACATGACATTTAGACAACAACACAGGAAATAAATGTTTACGTTAATGTTTTGTCATGATCATTCATCGTTTATGCTTTGTCATGACTTCTTCATCGTAATGAATGTATATTCTTTGTCAAACATGAGCGTAAATGATTTGTCATGATTTCTTCATCGTATATTCTTTGTCATGATTTCTTCGTAATGAGCGTAAATGATCCAAAAATATATTTTTGTTCAAAGCTTCCACGAGAGAAAAGATTCCTCATTCGCTAAGGATTCCAAAAATGAAAAAATCATTGATTTCGGCTGAGAAAAACAGCAAAACCCTTCTTCCACGGGAACAAAGAAATAAAGAAGAAATAAAGAAGAAATAAAGTAAATTTTTTATTTATTCCCGTGGAAGATAGAGCACTTTTATGACACTTTTTATTCACGACAAACAAGACAAACAAAGAAAATAAGAAAATACGGCGCCGTCGCGGTTCGAACCACAGACCCTAACCCCCCATAACACCACCTTAGACCACTGTGCTACGTAGCCTGTCGACATAAGATTTTATAAATTGCATATTTGACGTAAATTTATTTCCCAGTTATTCAAAAATAATTAATTATTGAATAACCGAAGGTGCTACCATGTTACCATGTGCTACCAGGTCATTTAACTTCTATGAAAAAATGTGACAACATGACATTTTGACAACAGACATGAAAGGATTAATGCAAAAATAAATTCAAATCATACTTTATAAAGCTTCATTTACAGGTATTTCATCGTCAGTAAATGAATCCTCATTATCGTTTGGTTCAACCTGTTTATATAATCCTTTCATTTCTCTCTTTCAAAACATAACACCATGTTTGTTTACCGTCTATTCTTCTATGTTTCCTATCACATTTATCCTTAATGCTCATTTGAAAGTTTTTTGTCTTTCATGTCTGATGGTTTGCAGAATAGAGCATTTTTACACGTCATACCCGCACACAATTCATCATAATGTGTATTTATCCATACATCTAAAGGATTTGTTGATAATTCTATTAAATTGTTTGGCTTCAGTCATCGGTATGATTCGTACATTAAATGATGAAAGGTCGTAATTGATAAAATACGTCAGTAAATATCATAAAATTCCTTTGTGCATGAATCCATCAAATTCTTGAAGTAATCAAATTGACCCTTGAATTTACCATTAACTCTTAAAACTACGTATCTTCTGTCTCCAACTTCAATTTTGACAGGGTAAACGTTGTTAGTTACGAAAATGAAGTTTGCAACATTCTGACCTGTTCTTTCTGGTGATTCTTTTCATTAATTCTAATCTCATTATCCGTTATAATTGATTTCAAAGCGTTGAAGTTTGCGAGTCTATCTTCACCTACATTCTTGAGTTCATTAAGTACAAGAAACATTTTATTTTCAACAACTGAGTTGAAATTACCCGTTAGCTCACTTATTTCGGTAATGTTTTTGCATGAATAACCAGCGAGAAGTTCAGAAATAATGTCAGTAAATCTGTTTTTACCTGTTCCCTGAAGTCCTTTCAAAATAATTGCTGTTTCATTCTTGATTCCAGGATGTTGAATCATTGATGCAATCCAGCCGAGAAGGTATTTATACACTTCATCGTTATTATCACAAAATGGCTTCTTTAATGAAATCATAAACATCTCAATTTTTGAGTAATCAGGCTTTTCAAGAATGTTGTATTTATAACCATGAAACGTTGAGAAAACATCGGGGAATCAGATTTAAAGCAAACACCCTTAACGGTTAATGAGGATAATTGATTTAGTAGTACATCCCATGCTGTTATTGTTTTACCTTCTTCTTTAAATAATTTAATCATTTTGAGTGACTCTTTCATGTTTGATTGAAGAACAAATGATATTTGATTCATTTTGTCGTGTATGTTGTAATCTTTCTGAATGAAATATTTATTTCCACAATCTACAAAACGGATTACACGTGATAAATCCTCAATTACTTCAGAACTGTTTTTATACTGATGATTTTCAGCCTTGCGTCTAATATCTGTTATCAAAAACGAGTCGTCAAGTTTGATATCAAATGTTATTTTTGGCTTACGTAATAAAGGTAAAACATATTCATCATAATATTCCTTTTGATATAGTTTTAGAATCTTCACTAAAACAAATGGAGAAGTCATTAAATGTGCATATCTATTACGTGCTTTTTCAAAATTACTTTTTGCATTTTCAGTTAAATTGCAGAAGTTATAAACGTTATCGTATGCTTCATTAATTAAATGATTAGGTAACGAATTAATAGCTTGAAACAGTGTGAATAATGTAACTTCTTTTTCTAAATTCATGTTTCCACCGTCATTATGTACTTCAAAATCACAGATGCCATCAACTATGCTCTGGGCAAGTTTATCGTCAATGTTTACATCTTTGTTTTCATTCATGATAGTCTTTATTTCTTCGTTCTTCTGTTCAACTCTTACCTTAATATTCAAATCATTTAATATATCATTCACTGTTCTGGTTAATGTTGAATCATAACTTCCACGAATGAATGAGTATGTATTGATTGGTTCTGTTGCATTCTTGCGAACTCTTGAATCAGCCATAACTACTAAAGAACGCTTTGAATCATCCATTGAAGTCATTATATCAATATCATAATCATTGCAGGAATAACATTTAATCATTCTGTTCGAGGTTGAATAGAAGAAATTAGTGTTGCAATAAATGTGAAGACCTCCTGAAGCGGTTTTAACGATAACATCTTTATCCGAAAGTTTTGATAAAATGTCTTTTCTAACTGTTTCTTTAAGTTCATCATTGTATGATTTATTGATATCAACATCTATAATCGTTAAATTTGAAATTTTATTTACTAATAAAGCCATACCAGTTTTCCTTCCTCTTCCTCCATCGTGTTTGAGGTAGTTATGTAAATCAATCTTGTTTTCACCAATTCTTTCGTTGAGGGTTTTAGTTTCTGCCACAACTAATTCCTCAGCTAATGAATCAATGATATTTTCATCAGAAACGATATAGTTGTTGCTGTTGTTTGTTGCTGTCATTTATATAGGAATAAAAAAATAAAAACAATTTTAAAACTAACTTTATTTTTGGACTGCATCATATTTCCTATGTTGTTGTCAAAATGTCATGTTGTCACATTTTTTCATAGAAGTTAAATGACCTGGTAGCACATGGTAACATGGTAGCACCTTCGGTTATTCAAAAATAAGTCATAACTACCTTCCTCCTATGTTGTTGTCAAAATGTCATGTTGTCACAAACTTTAGAACGGCATAATTTAAATTTTTATTTTTATCATAAATGAATACCCCACAAGCTCAAAATTTACCACGAATCATAACAAGGGAGGAAATGATAAAAATGATGCAAGAACATGTTAAAAATAACAAACCACTAAAATTGAGAAAATGTGGTTATGCAGTAATGATGGAAAGAGAGATGTTGTCGAAGAGGAATAAAAATTAAATTTGGATTGAGTTTAAAAATTCATCTTTATTAAATTCATCTCTTCCAATCAATTTATTTATTCTATTAAATTCTTTTATTTTTGCTTCACTCAGTTTAATGATTGAACGGTAAGTTTCTAATTTTTCGATTATTTCTTTATCGTTTTCAACCCCACACATTGCGACTTCTTTTTGTAATAGCATATTTTTGATTTAATTCTGTTTAGTTTCTTTTTATATTCATTGTCTGGACTCTTGACTACTTTGTTGTCACTCATTTTCTTACGAAATAAAAAAAATTAAATATTATTTAAATATAATGGAGTAATAAAATAAATCGGAATTTCTATTAATTTATTGTTAACTTCAACTAATGCATTGCCGTTAATATATCTAACAAATTCAGCTATTGTGTCAAATCTTCGTCTTCTTTTTGTCATTGATTTATCAGTTTTTCCATAATCGAGATGAATTAAAACTTTATTCCTTGTTTAAAATTCATGAGCCCCGAATTAATTTGTTCACGTTTAACATCATTTAACCTTTCCATTTGCTTTCTAATATATTCCCATTCTTTTGAAATATCATTTTTCATTTCCACTGGTTTCATGTTTATAGTTCTATGCCATGTATTATTGTAATAATATACTAACTGCTGTATGATGGAGTCATGATTTCCATCCCAGTATATCTGACCTTAACCCCTAACGCATCTCTAAGAGTTCTCATTACCGCATCAACTATTTTATTATGAAACGTATATGGAGAGGATGAAAAGTAAAAATTAATTTGTGGGAAATAATGAGCCATAGCTGCCTGAAATCCTTTATCACCATCACCCCTTATATTATCTACTCTTTCATGATCTAGTAAGTATTGTATAGCTCTTCTTGTTTCCTGTTCTGTTTTCCCTTTCACCGGAATGCAATATAAATATCTGGTGTTAATGTTAATGGCAAATAAATAAGTAACGTTTCCTTTTGAATATTCCAGATGATCGATTTCGTATGAATATGGATATAGTGCAAATGAAGGGCGACTAAATTTTTCCTTTAACGGTTGAATTTTTGGGTCAATTGGTTTATTTAATATCTTGAAATCCTTTTTAAAATCTTTTTGCTTCTTTAATGTTTGAAATGGATATAATAAAGTGAATGATGAAGGATTAACTGAAGGAGGAGGTACTACTGTTGGAGGTTTTGGTGTTGTAAGTGGTTTAATTTTATCTGCTTTGATTTTGGATTTCATTCCTCCTTTCATTAATTCTGGATGTATTCTATTCATTTGTTTTAAATATGCTGTATATAAAGGTTTGATATACTTTCCCGCTTCGAGTTTATGTTGAAGGATGAATTCCAAAAGTTGATCTTCATTTAAAAGTCGGGCTGAATATGGTTTAACTAATGAATCATAAATTAAAGCTTGTGCATCATTTATGGTCTGAAGGACCTGGGCGTTTTGTACCATTTGTTTTTGTTCCTTTGGCTTTTGCGGCTCGGGATTATATAATTTATATAATTCATCAATATCTTCTTCTGTTAATACTTTATTTTTGAAATCTTTCAACTGTTTAAGCTGTGATTTAGTTTTTCCCTTTGTATATTCATTATTTTTAATTTTGTCTTTAATTTTAGAAATTATTTTATCATGATATTTCAAAATTTCATTTTTATAATACGAATAATAATAATCCATATCATCACCCGTTATATTTTTATTATATTTTTGGAGATATGCTTTTAAATCATAATAATCAAGAAAATTTTGATTAAATACTAAATCATCAATTAAAATTTTTAAATCTGTGTTATCCATTTATATAAAAATAAAATAAATGTTTTAAGGGTGCCCACCTCTTTGAATCATAGTACAAAACCATTATTAACGGTTCCTTTTGTCTCTTCTGTGGCATTTCATTAAATAAATGGCATACAACATCCATTTTCACAACATACAGCCTTAGTGTGTGCTCCTGTTAATGCAGTCTTACCAATTGTTAAGCGAGTCATTGACCCGTTTTTAAGTTGTAAATTAATATTCTGACCATCAAATATCACTTTATCATTTATTATATCCAAATAATTTTTAGGTGTTAATTGTTTATTTTGTCGTAAACTAACACCTTTCATTTTTTGTGCAATCTTTTTAAAATCACTTCCATCAATTGAACCGTTGAATGAAGTATAACACTTAGGGCATAAAGCAACCATGTTATCACCTTGTTTCTCAATTGCTAAACCCAATAACTTCTTCTCATGTGCTTTTTCTTCAGCTTTATTCTTTAATTTAGGTTTAAATTTCTCATCAAAACAGAAGAAATCAAAAGGTGCGAATTTGTAAATGTTTTTATCATAAAATTGTTTATCGGTTACAATTGCTTGAAATGCTTGAGTGTTAGGAAGACTTGGATCGCCAGCAATAGCCCAATAAGATGAATCAGTATCACCTTCAATGAAATGAAAACGATTAACATCCATGCATTTATACATAAAATCATAAATGAAAACCAAATACCAGTATTTAGCATTATCTAAAGTGAAGAATGCCTCTTGTAAACATGTATCACATCTATAAAATCTATCTTTAAGCATCACTTGATACGTATCTTCACCTATTTCTCTTATGTTTTTAAACTTATTTGACATACATGCAACGCGTGCCTTCTGTGCATTCATTATTTTAGTCTTTGCGTAATTTTGTGTATTCATTGCATCGTAACCATATGATCCATTAAGTGAAATCTTGCAAAATAAACTTTTTCCTTTATTTCCTTCTAATTCAGCCTTTTGTCTTTCGTTCATAAATTCGTTCGCAAATTCATTAAAACAAGTATTTTTCGTAAATGTTAAAATTGATTGAATGTCATCAATGATAAAATGAAATCTGTCTATTAGATACCAAAGATAATAAGAAGAAAATGGTTGATATTGGTTGTGTGTTGATGCTAACTGAGTTAATTTTCTCTGTTTCTGGTCAACTGGTAGATTGTTTGATTTCATGTAATTATACATAAAACTGCCAATTGTTTTTTCATCTGTGATAATATCTAAGTTTCTTATTATCGGTAAAAAGTTTATGTAATCATTAATGTATTTTTCATCAATGTGACCCTTTACTTCAGCCACGAATAAAGTATTTTTCTTTCTAATTATTCCCAATGCTTTTGCTTTCTTTGTTGCTGTATCACAAATGATAACACCATTCAATCTTCCCGGCATATACATTTTATGGTCAGTATATTGAATGAAATCATGAGGATTAGATGAAAATGATGAAGGATATAATGAATTAAAGTCAACTCCAACAAAATGAGTCATAATGTTGGTGGTGTCCTCATTTGATACAGTTTTAGTTTCTGGATTATATGAAAGTTTATTAATGTGCGTGATTCCTTTAAGATTAACACGATGTTGAACATTTGATAGACCACCAGTAATTCCATTACGGAGAATGTGATAAGCTTCAACTGAATCTAAAGTCATTGGTAAATTATTTTTTAATATAATTTCTTAAATTGATTCTTAAACGTTGAACATCTTCATCTTTATTTGATTTTACGACATTGCAATAACAACACATTAACTGACAATTTTCTTTGGTATGTGGTTTTTCATTATCGATTCTATCTAATGTTGGTTTATTTGCATATGTAAACGCTTTACCACACATTTTGCATTTAGATGAAAGGATTAAATCGTGATAGTATTGAAAATCATCCATTGAAACATTATTTTTAGTATCTCTTTCTGCTTTTTCATCTTGTTTCTTATATGATTCAATTTTATATTTCCAATACTTTTTCGTTAATTCAAAACTTGATTCCACATTTTCTTCTTCTGGATATTTTTCGTTAGGATTAAAGTCTTTATATGCTAAAGCGTAACGAATCATTGATGCATTCGATGATAAAGAAAGATTATGAAGCATGTCAATTTTATAAACAAATGTTTCTTCAATAATTTTATCAATTGGGTCAATCATAATTTCAACATCTTTATTGCAATAATGAATAAAATATTCTAATCTATTCTTAAAATTTTTAGCATCATTGAGATATATTTGATAATCACTATCTGATATAGTTTCTTGAGTTAATGCTGAATAAAATGAATCTTTCGTGAATGGTTCCTCTTTATATAATTCTTCTTCGTAATTTTCCCATGATGAATTGATAAGGGAAAAAGGATTTAACACGTGATTTATTGTTTCCGAAATCTGAGTGAATTGGTCTAATGTCCCACCCGCTATATAATTTCTGATGTCAATAAATCTCAATTCATATGGAACGTTTGTTTTCTTTACAATGATTTGCTTAAATTGTGAAGATGAACCCAGCATTGATTTTATTTTCCATTTTGCAGTGTTTAAATCACGAAGAATTAAATTTAAATCAAACTTTCCCGAATTAAAACCTATGATATTCACTTTATTGAATTCCTCATCTAGAAGTTCTTTAAATGCTTCCTTTTGTTTCTCATTTAATGTTTTGACTTCATTAATTCTTCATATTGTTCAATATTTGATTTAGCAACTAATGAACAGGTTGAAAATAAAAACTCAATCCAATCAGAAATAAAAGAATCACTTGAAGTTAAGCAAAAATTCCTCGTAAATGTTTTATCACGGTCTACGACCTCGCCGCTTTGCGGCTTTATTTTGACAGTTGATGATACCATGAATGGTTTTAAGTAAGCATTCAAAGTTGCACATTCAGAAAGTTGAAGTTCTTCTTTAGTCTCTAATGTTTCGAAGTCAAAAGTAATATAATATCTTGTTGGTTTATAATATTCCTGCAAATTATGTGCTAATAGCCATTGATATATCTTCTGTTTCGTGATATGTGGTGCATATGGTTGTTGTGTGTTTTGCAATTGAACGTCTTGAATTAATCTTCCATTATTTTCTTTACATTTCTCACAATGCTTTAAAAATCTTCTTTGGTTTTTCCTTTCTGGATCATCACGGATAGAATAACTTCTTCTTTGCAAAAGGGGCAAACTTTATATCCTGTGAGTGCTTCAACGTCTGTTATTCTGTCAGCGTGAAGTTTTCCACATGGACTCTGTGTTAATAAAATATTTACTGTTTCAAATTCTGGATCTATCATTATTGAATCCACTAATGGAAAGTCTACCTTGTTAATGTCTACGTCTTCTGGTTGAGGGTCACAATAATAAAAATCAATATTAACGTTTAACATTCTTGCTAACCTCTCACTTTCTGATGAAATGTCAAACCCTTCATATGCATCTATTGCTTCATTTAAAACTTCTACGAGTTTTAGGATTAACACCATCAGGAATGTTATAGAAGCGTTTAAATAACCTTCTACCTTCTGCTCTTATTTGATTATCATTCATTTTAGCTGTTCCATTTTTGTTCATTTATGTAAGAATAAAAATTAAAAAAAATAATAAAAATAAAGTTTATTTTTTTTAAAGTCCGAGACTCAGAGAGTCCAGGGCTAAAGTCCATAAAATGAATTAAGAACACATAAATTTTTATCATCTGCGACGTGACGAATACATTTTAATTTACTCAAGAATGCGTACCCTGATACATTAAATCTAATTCCTGTCTTATTTAATTTCACAACTTTGAAAAGGAATGTATGAATAGCTATAAAATGATGAGATGATGTTTTATGGGTTGCTTCCATTTTTTCTGAAATAAATGAATAAATATAATGCTTATAAGTTTTCATATCTTTTATATTCTTAATAACGAATGGTATAGACCTTTCCACTTCGTCTTCCTTTGGTGCTGTTCTTTCATATGAAACATTATTGGTATCTTCAATAATGAAACCACAATCGCATAAAATTTTATATGTACCAATTGTTTCTTTTGATATTTTATCTAACAAATCAAAAACTTTATCAACACCCGTGCATTTATTTAAATAATAATTTGTGTAAATATCATGGTCTTCTTTCTTAATCGTATTTGTTGCATATGTTACATTTTTCAATGCTTTTTTGAATTTTTCAGAATCAAGAGGAGGTGAAAGTAATATACAGGGGTATTCTTCATCGTCAATAAACTGAAGCTTATGTTTATGAATAAATTTTGTGCCTTCTTCTGAAAGTGTTTCGTCTATTTCACCATCTAATAAATTTTTAGTAGATTCCAAAAAGTAATTTTTATATCTTTCTTCATGAGATTTCTGAACTTCTGATTCTGAAGCTGGGATATTCATTAAACCCTCTACTTCATTCTCATTATATTTTTCAACTTCTCTTAATTCCTTAATTTTTTCATCTATTTCATCTCTTATTTTTTCCAGTTTTTCAATTTCATCGTATTCATCATCTTTAATTCGTTCTTCATAATATTCAGGGAAAACATCAGGTTCTTTAGGTTTTTCTTCTTCAGATGTGGGATATAAGAAATTTATAACATCATCTTTATTCATTTTTCCATCATAATCAAACTCATTTAAAAACTCGCGAATTTTTGACAATTTCTTAAATAATATTTATCAACTTCATAACCCGCCTCCTCTAATATATCCTTTATTTCCTCATTTGTGAATCCCAATTTTTTAACGTTGTTAGTTTTGACGCTCATTTATCATTAAATAAAAAAATAAATTATTCAAAAATGTAAGACATGAATTTTTAAAGTTTATTTTTCATTCATGAAAATAATTATTTCTAATTTCTTTTACTCTCTCGTACATACTAGATTTAAAGAATTCAGAACATTTCCCATAATCTCCTAAATGTTTTCTTATCCCTAACGTGTGCCAGTTATTATATGAAACTGAATAAACTTTATCTTTATCTTTACACCTTTCATCACTTCCAATATATTTATATTTCAATTTTGATTTAGCATTTTCATATTCATTAACGTTTAATAATTCACAGTCTTCCTTTTTAAATAAATGTTTTATGTATTCAGGATTTAATACTCTACGTTTATATGCTCCTAACTTAGTTCTAAAGGTTTTTCTACAAAATTTAGGAATTCCATCCTCTTTAATGTCATCAATGATTTCCATTTCATTATTTTCAATTTCTTCTTCCCGTTTATGAGGTCTTTGATTATGACTCCATTGATTCCATGAAATTAAATATTCTTTATCATTATATTTATACCTCATTAGCTTATTTTGGCTTTCATATTCATTTAATAATTCACAATCTTCATTTTTAAATTGAAGTTTAACCCATTCAGGATTTAAACAATGTTTAATTAATCGCGGAATATCTGACATCATCTATATATAGCTTCTTTTATAAAAGATAAAAAAATAAATTATTTTAAAATTAATGTTAATTTTTTAAATGTGTTTATAAATAAATATATTTTAATGCATCGTCTATATATAGATGTAACAAAAAAAGTCACAAAACCCGCACACATATACTACTAATTAAAAAATTAATTCAGCGAACTTCGAAGCATCTATAAATACTACATTGATTCATACATTGCGTTGTATCAGCTGAAAACGGACAAAGAAGAAGAATTAAAAGAGATTTACAATTTGATCAAAACAGAAATTTTTGATTCAAAGAATTACCCACCAAAAAAAATTATGGAAGACATTTTAAATATAATTCGGTATAATAATCGCTATACAAGGTCATATTTATCTCTTGCCAAACTCATATCTGATGATTATCATATCAAAGAGGTCAACAATATTAATTTTATTTCACAATACTTATTTTATAAAGAATACGGAATTGAATTAAACAAATGGGGCAATTTCGAAACAATTAAATCAGAAAATCTCCAAATTCATACAGAAAATACAATTTACAGGGCAATTATGTATAATGACTTAGAAACATTCATTTCATTCACAGAAAGAGAGGGATTTGATAAATATCAACAACTTTTTAGTAAATTATATCCAGATTCATCAGTAGGATATTATTTACTTGAATTATGTTGTTACCATGGAGCAGTTGATTGTTTCAAATTTTTAAGAACAAAATTTAAATCAGAAATAACTGAAACATGTCTGCAATTTTCATTTTTAGGCGGAAATCCAGAGATCATGAGTGAATGTTTGAAATATCAAACACCAGATAAAAAATACATGAAATATGCAATTATTTCACACAACATTGATTTTGTAACATTCCTGATGAACGAATACGATTTAGAGATCGATTTAGATTATTGCGTAAAGTTCAAAAATCTTGAATCATTTTTTGTTTATTTCGATCAAACAAATGATATTAACAAATGCTTTGTTTATTCATCGAAGTTTAACATTCCATCCCTTTGTAAATACTTCCTTTCACATGGTGCAAATGTTAATGAAAGGGATAAAAATGGAAATACCTCTCTTCATATTACAACATGGCATAACAGTAAAGAAACAGCCGAAGTTCTTATTTCACATGGTATAAATATCAATGAAAAAGATGAAAGAGGAAGTACCGCTCTTCATATTGCAGTCAAAAATAATAGTAAAGAAACAATCGAATTTCTACTTTCACATTGTGCAAATATCAATGAAAAAGATGAAAGAGGGAGAACAGCTCTTCATGTTGCAGTCGAAAATAATAGTAAAGAAACAATCAAATTTCTACTTTCACATGGTATAAATATCAATGAAAAAGATAATTTTGGAGAAACCGCTCTTCATACTGCAGTATGTTATTATAGTAAAGAAACAATCGAACTCCTTATTTCACATGGTATAAGTATCAATGAAAAAGATGAAAGAGGAAGTACCGCTCTTCATATTGCAGTCGAAAATAATAGTAAAGAAATAGCAGAATTTCTTCTTTCACATGGTATAAATATTAATGAAAAAGATGAAAGAGGAAGAACAGCTCTTCATATTGCTGTAATGATAAATAGTAAAGAAACAATTGAATTTCTTCTTTCACATGGTATAAATATCAATGAAAAAGATAAAGATGGAGAAACCGCTCTTTATATTTCAGTAATGAGAAATAGGAAAGAAATAGTCGAAATTCTTATTTCATATGGTATAAATATCAATGAAAAAAATATTTTTGGACAAACCGCTTTTCATGTTGCAGCACGTTATAATAATAGGGTAATAGCCGAATTTCTTCTTTCACATGGTATAAATATCAATGAAAAAGATAAAGATGGAAAACGGCTCTTCATCTTGCAGTCGAAAATAATAGTAAAGAAACAATCGAATTTCTACTTTCACATGGTATAAATATCAATGAAAAAGATGAAAAAGGAAATACCGCTCTTCATATTGCAGTAATGAGAAATAGAAATGAAATAGCAGAACTTCTTATTTCACATGGTATAAATATCAATGAAAAAGATAAATTTGGAGAAACCGCTCTTCATACTGCAGCAAGTTGTAATTTTCTAGGAACAGCCAAACTTCTTATTTCACATGGTATAAATATCATTGAAAAAAATAATGATGGGAAAACTGCTCTTGATATTGCAGCATCTAATAATTGTAAAAATCTTATTTTACATTGTATAAAGATCAATGAAAAAGATGATGATGATAAAAAGGCCGCTCTTCAAATTGCAGCGATTAATAATAGTAAAGAAACAGCCGAGGTTCTTTCGTTTTCTGATATTTTTGAAGATTAATTTCATTAAAAATAAAAAATAATTAAGCTTAATTACCCATTGATTCTATACACAAAACGATTTTTTACGTACATCATCTCTCATCTTTTTTTATCGCATTTAAGTACTCATTATTCAAATTTTTACATAAGAATGATAACACTTGCCATCACAACTCTGAAATGATTCAACACTGATTGGCAAATGATATCATTCCTTAATGTTTTATTCAGCATCTTTCCACAGTTACTTAATTCTGGAACTTTTAAGATATATTGTGGAACACTATTTACTCGCTTGTTTGAAGAGCCATATTCGATATTTCCATTTGAATCAATCAATTTATCTGAAGGACATTTGATATAAGAATTATAAACATACATTTTTGAATCATCTGCATTCAAAACAGATAGATTTGATGCGGGTATATCTATGTAAAAGTAATTCAGAATACACTTTATAGTGTGGTGAGAAGAAATATGGCCAAGGCTATTATCTACATTAGTTAAGCTTACATTACTATAAACGAAATAAGAAGAGCTTACATTTGTGCAATGATAATTATAATATCCAATCCAGGAACCTAAATTATTACATATTTTGATATTTTTACATACAGAATTAGCTGTTGAATCTATCATAAAAGCTAATTCCTTATAACCTATGTTATTCGAATAATTTGATTCGGAATGTTCAAAATAATTGGATGTGAATTTACAATTTGCAGACCCACCTGAATTATAGCAAACGGTAATGTATTTTATGTTAGTAACGTTTTCAGAACTAAAAAATCCAAAATACCCGTACTCAAAGCCATATTTATTGCGGCATTGAGAGCCACAAATATTATTTAAGCATAATTTATTAATTTTCTCCGTATAAATGGCACCACCAAATATAGCATAGCAATTTTGAAATATAGACTTAGAAATATCAACTTTCTCTATGTCTTTATTTATGTAAATAGCTCCACCATTGCCAGTTATATTTGAAAGATACATAAAAACAGAGAACTTTACATTGATTGTGTTCAAATTCTTTGATCTTTACATGGATTTTTTTTTTCCAAAAAAAAAAAAATTCTGTCTCTACTCAAAACTAAAACAAAACATCATTGAAAGAGATCAAGTCTTGATGAATCCATATGGAGGAAAACTCTCAAATCGATCCATTAAAGAAGTGCATTACAACCTTTCTGATTTAAATGTTTCACATCATTGAATTATCGATGATTTTGAATATTATCACAAATGATCTGCATTAAAAAAGTGACAATGTTGAATCTCTTCCTCTCTTTTTCTCAGTCATCTTTATTTCGTTTTAACGATGAAGTGATTCCAAAAGGTAGAATTATACCACGGCTTTTTGATATGACTCCTGGTTATCTCAAATTAAACTTATCAATCACAAAATGTGATGGAAATTGCGAAATCGAGCTTATAGTTTTTGAAGAAGTCAGAAGAAATCAAGTATTCTTCGAAGCAGACAATTACCAAGCTGTTTGTTGCAGTCCAAAATCCAACTGCTCAAACAGTATTCACTATAATGATCCGACACCAGTTATTAGGCGACCAATTGAAATCAAAACGATATCAGATGCTAATGCAATCGAAACAGATATATTATTAGAAAAAACTGTTACATTAAATCGCATTGATATTTCAAGTTTTCGAAGTGCAGATATTGAATTACCTTGGCGCGGAATATGGACAGTCATGATTGCAAATTGTGGTCCAAATGACGTAAACGTTGATGGAAATGCAACAATGGCAAGAAGAATCGGATATCTAGACGACAGATTAAGAAACAATCATTATATTTCAATACTTCAGATTATTGCTGGCATTCTCTACTTCGCGATCTTTATGTTTACCATATGGAATTCAGTTCCACGCTTTGAACGTGAGCATTTCCTTGAAATGATCACATGTGGCGTTTTTATTTTCGATGGATTTATTTCGTGGGCCTTCTTCTACATATTAAATCGCGTTGTTGACGTTCATTTTATTATTGTTTTCATTTTTGTAATTTTACATTCACTTTGCATGGTTGAAGTGTTCTATACATTATTCTCGTCACTACAGCGTCCAGTAGAAATTCCAAAATTCAAGTTTTCCTTGATTTCAATTCCAATTTCAATTGCTCTTGCTTTCCAGATGTACGGATATATTAATTTTGCACAAAGAACAACTGGTAGGTGGATGTTTGGTTACGGGAAGTATCCTGCTTTGTTATTTATTACACAATCTTTTATTCATTTCTATTTATCATTTTATGCATTCAAACATAAGCCAAATGAGTCTCTTGATGGTGAAACAAGGCCAAGACTCGTTGGATTGTTCTTTGGATCAGCATCTATGTATTTCATAATGAATTTTTGTTTATTCATTATGAGATTGCGGTCTAACGTCATCTCCACAAGAAAGAGCGAATGGGTGCCATGGACAATCACTCCTTTAATTCTGTTCTTCTTAATCGCGATCAACGGTTGGTTCGTTTCTAATACTAATAACGAAGGTTGGGTAGCATTGGACTCTGGTCCGAACGGTTATGAACAGAACGACGACCAAGGAATCGCTCCTGACGCAGATGACACTCCATTTGACTAATTTTCATTATATTCTTATTATTTGTTTTGATATATGTTGTATAAATTGTGTTTTTTGGCTAATTTTACCTTATTTGCTTAGTTTTTTCCTGAATATCTCAATTAATTTCATCGAGGAGAGTAAGATATAGCAGTAAATCTTTAAAAATAAGGACCTATGAGCATTTCCAATCTTTCATATAACTTACTATCCATTATATTTTGTAAAATTTTTCTGAATTGTTAGTTATCGACATACTAGAGAATCATTTTCATAAATTCACTTATGAGGCTTGATAGTTTTAAAAATTTTTCCTTATATATCAGTTTATAATTTTTGAGCAAATTAATTGTAGAAAAAAGAACTCAATCTGTAATAGTTAATATTAAAATGACATAGGTAGGTAATACCAATCATTTATGCATTCTAAATCTTTTCCTGAGAAAATTTCTTCATTCAAATTATGTCAAAACAACTTTTTAGTTCATATTTTAGACATTACTATAATTGTTGAATTCAATTCATAAATAAAAGGTTATGGATGTAGTGGTGTAAACACAAAACCGATTATTTTTTTTATATTTCTTAGACTCAAAATTTTGATGACGTTAGACTCCACACAAATTAACCAATCAATCGACCAAATCAAACAGTGGGTGAAAACTTCCACGAAATACGATCCATCTGAAATTTCTTCGAATATTGATTCGATTTTTCGTGATCTTGTAGAAACAATTGCTCAGACAATCAGGAAAAAGCTTTCTGATTACGAACTACAGATTGCTAACCTGAATTGCAAGCACTCTGAACTAGAACAGAAAAACGATTCTTTAGAAGACGAAATTTCAAAATTAAAAGGTGACTCACAGAAGCTTAAATCGTTCATGGCATACAAGAAAGTTGCATTTAGTCAAGACAACTTTGATCTTTCTCATAAGAACGAGTCTTCAACTCCTCCTCCTCAACCAAAATCTCCAACTCCTCCGCAACCTTCAAGTCCAAAGCAGTCATCTCCACAAGTAAACGTTGCAAAATTGACAGCTAGAATGCAATCACTTGAACTTCAGATCGAATCTCTTTCTAACGAAAATCAAAAATTAATTGCCGAAATAAATGATTCGAATAACAAGCATAATACGTATGTACAACAGTTGTTGTTCGACCACGAACAAAAAGAAAACGAATACAAGGAGAAATTGTCGAAACTTACACTTGATTCAGGAAAATTCCAAAAGCAACTCGAAACGGCTACATCTACAATATCAAAGAAGGATGAGAGAATCGAAAACCTTAAGGGAATTCTCTCTAGAAAGGATACAGAACTAGTAAATCTCAAATCAAGAATTATTGATGCAGAAGAGACAATTAAAGAGCTCCAAGAGATGGGAGATGAGAACAAGAAACTTTACGAGATAAATAAAAGTCTAGAAGAAAACAGAGCTCGTGAAAAATTAAATTATCAGACATCAGCAAGATTAGTCAAAGCAGAATGTGATGACAAAGTCCAGATCCTTACGAAGAAGCTCGCTGCAGTTGAAAATGCCTTGAATGACACACTTTCTCAGAAGAATTCCCTTGAATCTTCAATTTTAGAAGCACAAGAGAACTCCAAGAGCGTTCTCCATGAGTCTAAGATGCTCCTTAAGAAGGTTGGAGAGCTAGAAGGCCAGAATTCCTCTTTAAAGAACGAAATTTCTGAATTAAATTCAAAGAATTCATCTTTAATGAGCGAAATCCAACATTTGTCCCAACTCTCGAACGACCACATTGAAAATTCCCCGTCAAAACCGCAAAATTCCGAAATTTCAACAGGATCTCCACAAAAATCCTTCATAAACAGGGAAATTTCGAAAGAAGTCATGGAAATTAGCCGAACCAACAACGAAAAGACCGAAAACAATGACCAAGAACTTGTAGATAAGTTGAAGAAATCATTATCTCTTCTGAAAGTTGACAGCAAGCTTTCTAATACATCAGAACTTGCTGACCAACTAATATCTACACTCGAGAACCAGCCAAAAACCGAGAATTTCGATACAAAGGAGATTTTCGAAATTTTAGGTCCAATAATTAAGAGATACGAGGCTGATGCTGCTTCATCAAACTCTCCTTCAATGGTACTTAGGAATACTCAGAAGCGCTTTATGAATTTGCTGAGCAAATTTAACGATGCTCGCGATGTTATTAAATCTGTTCGTTCAATTGTAGAAAGCTCAGAACCTGATGAATGCCATCACGCACTCAGAACATTATTTGGTGTAAATTAATATCATTATTTTTTTTTTTTTTTGAATTCAATACTGTTGTTTAAATATTTAGGCGAGTGTCTTGGTCGGACGTTGTTTAAGGGTTCACTTACTACTCACCAAAATAAATACAGTGAATTGAAATGTTTTTTTATAAGAACAGTGAATTGAAATGTGTCTTTAGAAAAAAGTCGAAAATTTTTGAGTGAGTTTATTGAAAAATTCTTTTAGAAGGCAAGAGAATTGCAAAAAAGGTAGACCAGCAAAAAATACGTTATTTCGCAATTTTTTTTAAAAAAAATCTTATGGTACTTATTTTCATTTGAATAGCCTCTCAGATGAATATAATTCTAAAGATTTAAGGGAGCATATTGAACGAGTCCTAGAATAATTATATTATTTGTTTTATTTGACAATTAGCTATGATTTAGTTCCTCATATCTTCAATTAAAAATTACTATCGTTGTTTTCAAGGAATTTTGATTCCATTCATCATTCGGCTCGCTTTCATCATTATCTAACCTTCGAAAGTAGTATGTTAAAATTTAATATTTCACATCTAATACTTTTCACCTATAAAATTGCCCACAGATATAACAGGATTCTTTGCTTACTAATACACTTTAACATATTTTGAAATGAAGCCCAATTTATCGGGCCGTTTTCGAGAAAAAGTCATTTTTGTAATCAGAAATGGCAGGTTTCCTACTTGTGCATTCATAAATTGCAAAATGATAGAGAACACATAGGTGTTATACTATTTTAAGCTTATTCACGATATTTACATAGCTTGTTGACAAGATATTGACAAATTTTCTATGATCTACACTCCTGAACAGGAAACAAACAAAACTTCACAGCAGATTTGCTAAATCTACTATTTTTAAATGTCAACACACAAATACATGATAAGCTCTCGGTTATTTTACAATTTTTTTCTATTTATCTATCATCTTGTACTAATATGTTACATTTTTTGTTTTCCTATGAATAAAAATACCCTTAGCTTAACTTCTTTTAAAGTAATATCATTTCGTTACCTCGATATTTTACATTAACCATTATTCATTAAAATAATTCAATAATTTTAATATATATTATAATTTGATAGTTTAGAGATCATTAATATACTCTATATTCCCTTCTAAATTTTTGAAACAATTATAATTGAAAATTTGCTCTTGGTTTTGATACCAGAATGCAAACATTCTCATTTAAATCAATTAAAAACATCTTTATAATTCCAAAATTTTTCCATTTTTCATTTTTTGATGTTAAAATTGTATTTTTGTTCTAGATTTTTATTTTTTCGAATTTTTTTGGAAATTTCTTTATGAATTTGAGCAGAAACAAATGTATTGACATAATCCACTAAATGATATTACTCGGTTTTTATAATTTGGAGATCATATATATATATATTTTTGGTTCAATTCCAATTCGTATCTTATCAATATAACTATTTGTAATAGAATATTGTGTTAAAATACGCTCTTTATGTTGAATACTTCAATTTTGTTCAACAATATTATTAGAATAATCAAAAATCAACTCAATCAAATTTCCAAAGTTACGAATTATGATATTTTTTACAGTTGTGAAGAAACACACAACTACACAAACTCTAACTTACGTGTGCTGTACCAAAATATTCATGTTATCTAATGACAATAAAAGAATATAAACTAAATTTTCTGAAAAATATGTAATGTTCAAAATTTAAACCGTGAACACATTTCACATCTCAAAAGAATATATTTAGTGAGCAAGATATTGAATATAATTTTTAATAATAATATCTCAAAATCGGCCCGATAACTTTCATGCGATACTTCGCACATCAAATATCCATCCCCTATATAGTAAGTATCCATAGCCAAAATCAAAAATTATTGGTAAAAATTTTGCTGGTCTACCTTTATTGCAAATTTCTTGCATATTTTGAATGGCTATTTTACACATTTTGCAATAAAATGACATCATTCATTTTCTTTTTGAATTCCATTCAAAAAGTAAAAGAACGATGATAAATTTTTTCATGTCTGATAAAGACATTGACCCAAGTAAATACACTGAATTGAGAAGTATCTGTAAATGCTACATCGATTCATATAATGCATTTTATAAGCTGAAAACTGAAAATGAAGAAGAAATGAACAAGATATACAAAATGATCAAAACAGAATTGATTGATTCAAAGAAACGTCTTCCTTGTACTATTATAAGCGACATTTTATGTATCATTCCGTATAATAATCGCTATACAAAGGCTTATTTATCTCTAGCCAAACTCATATATGATAATTATCATGTAAACGAGGAAATCAGAGTTCCATTAACTGTTGGATACTTATTTTATAAAGAATATGGAATTAAATTAAACAAATCTGATGATTTCGAAACAATTGAATCAGAAAATCTCCAAATTCATACAGAAAATACAATTTACAGGGCAATTATGTATAATGACTTAGAAACATTCATTTCATTCACAGAAAGAGAGGGATTTGATAAATATCAACAACTTTTTAGTGAATTATATCCAGATTCATCAGTAGGATATTATTTACTTGAATTATGTTGTTACCATGGAGCAGTTGATTGTTTCAAATTTTTAAGAACAAAATTTAAATCAGAAATAACTGAAACATGTCTGCAATTTTCATTTTTAGGCGGAAATCCAGAGATCATGAGTGAATGTTTGAAATATCAAACACCAGATAAAAAATACATGAAATATGCAATTATTTCACACAACATTGATTTTGTAACATTCTTGATGAACGAATACGATTTAGAGATCGATTTAGATTATTGCGTAAAGTTCAAAAATCTTGAATCATTTTTAGTTTATTTCGATCAAACAAATGATTTTAACCAATGTTTTATTAATTCAGCGTGGTTCAACATTCCATCCTTACTCGAATACTTCCTTTCACATGAACTAAATATCAATGAAAAAGATGAAGGAGGAAGAACAGCTCTTCATGTTGCAGCACGTTATAATAATAGGGTAATAGCCGAATTTCTTCTTTCACATGGTATAAATATCAATGAAAAAGATAAAGATGGAAAACGGCTCTTCATCTTGCAGTCGAAAATAATAGTAAAGAAACAATCGAATTTCTACTTTCACATGGCATAAATATCAATGAAAAAGATGAAAAAGGAAATACCGCTCTTCATATTGCAGTAATGAGAAATAGAAATGAAATAGCAGAACTTCTTATTTCACATGGCATAAATATCAATGAAAAAGATGAAGATGGAAAAACCGCTCTTCATTATGCAGCATATAATAATAGTGAAGAAACAGTCGAACTCCTTATTTCACGTGGTGCGAATATCAATGAAAAAGATGAAAGAGGAAGAACAGCTCTTCATGTTGCAGCACGTTATAATAATAAAAAACCAGCCAAAGTTCTTATTTCACATGGTGCAAATATCAATGAAAAAGATGAAGATGGACAAACCGCTCTTCATCAAGCAGCATCTAAAAATAGTACAGAAACAGCCGAACTTCTTATTTCACATGGTGCGAATATCAATGAAAAAGATGAAAGAGGAAGAACAGCTCTTCATTATGCAGCAGAAAATAATAGTGAAGAAACAGCCGAATTCCTTATTTCACATGGCGCAAATATCAATGAAATAAATAAAGATGGACAAACCGCTCTTCATCAAGCAGCATCTAAAAATAGTACAGAAACAGCCGAACTTCTTATTTCACATGGTGCGAATATCAATGAAAAAGATGAAAGAGGAAGAACAGCTCTTCATTATGCAGCAGAAAATAATAGTGAAGAAACAGCCGAATTCCTTATTTCACATGGTGCAAATATCAATGAAAAAGATGAAGATGGACAAACCGCTCTTCATATTGCAGCAGAAAATAATAGTGAAGAAGCAGCCGAACTCCTTATTTCACATGGTGCAAATATCAATGAAAAAGATGAAAGAGGAAAATAACCTTCTCAACCATGCCAAACCATGAGGAGTCAAAAAGTTTGCCATACCAAATACATAGTTAAATTTTTTTTTCTAAAAAAAAAATGATATTTTTTATTGTTGAGTAGGTAAGAATTCAAGATTAATAATGAATTTATAATAATAAGTATTGCATTTATAGTCACATCTAGCTAAGTTCTTCTGAAGTCTCTCATTGAATGAGAGACTTCAAAAGAACTTTGACCTAGTATACCATAGGTATACCCGGTTCACTTGGGTCTAGGTAATGCAATATTTAATTGAAAAATACAAAGTTCTTTTAAGACTCTTCATTTGTTGAAGAGTCTTAGAAGAACTTCACTCTAAGGTAAAGGTTTTACCATTCCTAGACCTTATGATGGTCAATGAAGCCGTAATTAGTTGAATAGAGTGAAGTTCTTCTGGTACCCCTCATTTGATGAGGGGTTTCAGAGGAACTTCATTCTAAGGTAGATGATTTAATATTCCTTGGCCTTGTGCTAGCCAAGGAAGTTGTATTTGTTTGGATTTTGGCGAAGTTCTCTGGTTTTTGAAATTTTGATTGAGCACAATCCAGAGAACTTCACCAACTCTGTTGTTCGCGCGATGATCTTGTAGGGATTCAAATACCACCAGGTTAATTTTTTTGAGTTTTTTTTTTTAATTTTTAGCCTTAGTAAAATGTCAACTCGATGAAGATTTTTAAAAGGCGTTAGGCCTTGTTTGGCCATGCATTGGTTATTAAAGAGAAAAAACCAACACCATCCTAGTCAGCATTCCTCTTTTAATAAAAAAAAAGAAAAACTCTATTTAATGATAAAAGATAACTTTTCAAATAAATGTTATTTTCAATTAGCACTCAAAAGTTATTTTTTTATTTTTTATTTTGTTCTCAATGGAGAACTTAGCAAATCGTTGTAGGTGAAACATATATTGAAAACGATCGTGTCTTATTTGCAACCGATCGTAGTGTACATGTTATTCTTAAACCAACTTGCGAAATCATCACTGGGGATCCAAATGCAGCAAATTATGCCTTCAGAGGGAGTACAAATACACTTCTTTCCATCACATTTCCTCCTGATTCAAAGCTCAAAAACATTGGCGACTATGCATTTAGTGGTTGCTCAAAACTTTCTTCAATTAATTTCACAAATTGTCCATCACTCCAAGAAATCAGATCACACGCTTTTGATGGATGCTCAATATTATCTCAAGTTATTCTTTCTAATAATATTTCAGAATTATCTGAATATTTATTTTCAAATTGTTTATTTTCATCATTTAATATCCAAAACTCGATTAAAAAATTAAATAGATTTTGTTTTTCTAATTGTAAAAGCCTTAGAACTATAAATATTGGACTTGAATCTGAATTAGTTAGTATTGAAACTGGCGCTTTCGCCGGAACATTGATAACACAAATATATTTTCCCAAAAATCTTTCACAAATTAGTCAAGCAGCATTTATGAGTGCTTCTCTTTTTAATGAAATTATTTGTGACTCTCAAAACAATTACTTCTCAGTAGAAGATGGGATTCTGTACAATAAAGAAAAGACATCAATAATATTATGCTTCCAAAACAACTATACATCCATTATTATCCCAGAAACAGTTGAATCAGTACGCAGAGCTGTTTTTGCTGGCCATTTGCTTGAAAATATCACTTTTAATTCAAAACTAAGAGTTCTTTCTGAATCGTTCTTAGAAGGATCGCATATTGTTAATGTCACCATTCCAGATACAGTGATAAGTCTCGGTAATTCTGCATTTGCTAGATGTAAATATCTCAATACAGTTGTAATTGGAAAAGGAATTACAATTATTCCAGAGAGTTGCTTTCGGAGTTCTAATATTTCGAATATTACACTTAATGACAGGATTACAACAATTAAAGCTTCAGCGTTTTATGAATGCTTTAACTTAAAATATATGAAGCTTCCTAAAAGTTTAATAAACATTGAAGGAGATTGTTTCCCACGTGATGTTATTCTTGATTTTCCAGAAGATGCACCATTTGCTTTTGCTAACCAAAGTTTGTTATATAATGGCAATAAAACAGTAATATATATGCGTTTCAGTGAACTTGAACACTATGATATCCCTTCTTCAGTTTCAACTATTTCAAATGGCCTTTTTTCTTATCTTGGAAAATTGAAATCAATTAATTTCCAATCAAACTCAAATTTAACTTCAATTTTAAATGGAGCTTTTTGGGGATGTGGAAATCTTGAAACATTTGATTTTCCAAATAATCTTACATATATTGGAAATTATGCATTCAGGGACTGCAATTCATTGAAAACTATTTATTTTCCAGATTCTTTGGTAACTATTAATGTCTATGCATTTCAAACATGCAGAAAATTAACAGAAGTTCGTTTTGGAAGAAATATCAGATTCATTTCTGTTACATTTTATGGATGCGGAGCGTTAGAAACTGTGATATTTGAAGGATCAGCAGGAACAGAAATAGAATTAGATTCATTTATATATAGGGTGTCCAAAGGTGCGTTTAGCACAGCGCTCTATATGAGACTATTAAAGGAGATATATGCTGATTATAAATATATAATAAAAAATATGAATATATGTATATGATGAGTATGTTGTATTTTGGCGCCATGCCGGGATATAAAATGAATTTTGAGACAAGAGGCGGTTTCGCGGGAAATTTTGGTGGGATTTTTTTCATTTTTTTAATGAATCATAAAGAAACCATCCTCGCTCTTGCAAAAAAATGCAAAGACTGTAAAAAAATCTACGAGACATTGGTAAAATGCTTCGGTATGGATGCTCCTAGCTATTCCACTGTAACGTATCATGTTAGGATGTATCACTTCATGAACAAAAAGGCGCCCATCATAAAAATTGACAAAAAATCGCCGGATCAAAGAAAAATCAAAGCAATTCTTCAAGCGCTAGATGAAGACCCAAGAGCATCACTCAGAAGGATAGAGGAGATGACAAAGATACCACATACAACAGTCAGTTATTATCTGCACAATTATTTGAACTACAAACTAGCGTATACACGTTGGGTTCCGCACAACCTTAATTCAGTTCAAAAAAAATCTAGAGTCCAATCTTCGAAAGAGCTCCTCTCTATATTGGGTGCGTATCAATCCAAGAAGTTTCGCTTTTTAGTAACAGGGGACGAGTCTTGGTTTCAATATGCAACAGAAGCCAAAATCATGTGGATCCCGAAGGATGAAAATCCGCAAACATTCCCGAAGAAAAAAATTGACACACCAATGATGATGTTGTCGGTTTTTTGGGGCGTGAATGGCATCATCGCAATTGATATTCTTTAAAAACCTAATACGATGAATGCTCAGTATCTAATTGACAATGTTCTTACTCAAATTATCAATTCTGATGAGTTTGAGAAATCCAAACAACAAAAACAAAAGTTTGCAATTCATTTTGATAATTCAAGAGTTCACAAAAGTCATAAGGTAATGAATTACTTGGTGGAAAACAATGTCAAAGTTGTTCCAAACCCAATTTATTCACCTGATATTGCACCCTCTGACTTTTATTTATTCGGCACGCTAAAAAAGAGAGCTGAAGGACGCGAATTCGCGAGTCCAGATGATCTTGAAAATTTTGTAAGAGAGCAATTTGAGCAATTTTCTCATGATGATTTAAAGCGTGTCTTTCAAGCCTGGATCGATCGCTGCGAACGCGTGATTGAATCCAATGGTGATTATATTTAAATAAACTTTATATATATGTAACTTGTTTATTTCTATTCGCAGTATTCAGGTTTGTGCTAAACACACCTTTGGACACCCTATATTGTTCAAAATTAAAAACAATCATTTTAAGAAATATCACAAAGATTGGAAAAATTGTTTTTGGGGCTGTACTTCCTTGCAAACATTAGAGATTCCTGATACAATTCAAAGTATTGGTTCAAATGCGTTTTTATATTCAGGTATAGAAAATATTACATTTTTAGGAAATCCTTCAATTTCTATTATTCCGGATAATGCATTTAACGGAGCAAATAAACTTCGTTATATTAATTTACCTGATTCAGTCAAAGAAATTGGAACAAACGGATTTGGATATACAAATATAACAACTTTTACAGTACCTCATGATACAAAATCAATATCAAATTATGCATTCAAAAATTGCAAGAATCTTGAGACATTCATCATTAGCGAAAATAGCTCATTTAATTCACTTGGTTACTCAGTTTTCGAAGGATGTATATCACTTCGTCAGTTTGTTTGCAATGATAGCATGTACTTCACAGTTGATAACAACGCCCTATTCGACAAGAATAAAACAACACTTATTTGTTTCCCTCCTGCATCACCATGTAAGTTCTTTTATGTACCATCTACAATACGTAATATCTCTGCAGGTTCATTCCTCGGATGCAAGAACCTTGTTAACATCCTCATACCAGATAATTCAGTTGAAACAATCTACCGACGTGCATTCGCGGATTGTACTTCTCTCACTCATATCAACATACCTATTTGCGTTCAAACTATCCAGACACATGCATTCTCTAACTGTATCCGCCTCACTTGTGGCATTGACATCGAGAACATGACTGAAGCATTTCTTGAACATCTTTATAAAGAATGCCATCTTAATCGAGATTGTGTGAAAGCATGCAGTGTTATCACATGCAAGAAATCTGAACATTACCGGTACTTCTCATCCTTCTTTATATTCACGCTTACCGAAGGTACTGAACTAGGCTTATTTTGATTGTTTTTTATTAAAACTTTCATTTAATTACCGTAAATAAATAAATGGTTCATTGAAAATGCTTAATTTTTTTTAATTGCCGCATATTCTCCAGATTTTAATGCAACCAGAGTTCATTTATATACTTTTATTTTTTCCCTTTGTCATTTCTCATCAAAATATGCTCTATAGATACCAGCAATTGACAAAATTAAATTTTGTTGTGTATTTAAGTGACGGGCATTTAAATACGCCAACAGGCAAAGAAAGAGCTTTACATAATGAGAAATTTGTTGAACTTATAAATTAGTTCATTGGAAGTTTATAATTTAAAAAAGTGGCGATATTGCAATTTAATGCCACTAGACAGAGGAACCTATCAAAATTATTTTGTTAACTCTTCATTTTTTTATGGCAGATATTTTAGAAAATTCTCCAAATTTCATACAAGTTTTATGCGGCCATAAACAAATTCCTGGTGAAGAATATGTCCAAATATCCAAGGAATCATACGAGTTTTCAAACTCTGAAGAAGGATTTCAATGGGCTATCTCAGTTGTTCAAGAACAAGTACCAAATCAAATGAAAGTTATTGCATTTTCCATTATAGAGAATTACCTCATAAATCATTTTGAAATTCTCCTCGATGAACAAAAATTATTTTTATTAAATCAGGTTTATGTAGCTTTAGCTTCTGATATCAACCCACTCACGTATAAGCTTGAAGCATATATCATTTATACACTAGAGCCTGATTTATATAACTTTTTTAATACTATTAACATTCCTACCAAAGTATCTCGATCATTAGCCTTTCTTGAAGAATTCCTTTCATTAATACAGAACCCGACACCAAGATCAGCCGATATTATTGCATATATGACCGAAAACGAAGTATTTGATGCAATTTTGATTTATCTCTTAAGCCATTTTACTCCATTTTCAAAAAAGATTTATTTCGTCTTAAAGCAGATCGTTGAGATCTACGAATTAACAGATAAAAAGGAAATTTGGAAATACGCCTTACAAGGGCTTTTACAATTAGATACAATGGTAGATGCATTAGAATTAATGGCTGCCATAGCAAAAGTCACAGATAATTACAAATTCGTTTACAAATTTCTTGTTTCGTCAGATTACTATCGTTTTTTACAAAGTTACAAGAACGATGAACAGATCATGTATAACTTTGCTGTAATCACTCATTACCAGTTAAAAAAAGGCGATTATTCCACTTCAGAAATTTTCAACAACGCAAAATTCATTCTTATGAATGGACCGCCAATGGCAGGAGCTGCTATTGTTGAAGACGTGCGCCTGGAGTTACACGAAAGCTTTGCTGACGTTGTAAATTTAATTTTCAAATATAATTGCGACGAAGATTACGTTAATCAGGAATACATTGAATACTTGTTAGATAAGTTCGTAAACAAATGGGAAAATCCTTATTCCGAAAAATATTTGAAAAAATTATATGAAATTCAATCTGTTTACATGACCGAAGAGAATCAGCTGGCCGTGGCATTGACATTCACGGAGATATTAGAGAGAATACATCGGGATTTCCCTGATTCGTCGTATTACAGTTATTTCATAGAAATTTTCTCAGATTATTTTGAAATTGAACCGGAAAACTCGTTACTGATACATAATTCAATATTTATGAACTTAGTTCTTATCATCCACCAACCAGATGCTGAAATTGACCTTGACTTCGTTTTCCATCAGATATTAAAGCGAATTGATGCAGGACAAGAAGAGTTTATATCATTATTATATAATTTCATTGATAAATCATTGGATTCCATAAGTTTTGATATAGGTTTAATTGAAAATCTTCTGAATTCTGGAAATTACCAGCTTCAGAGGTGCGTAGGATTACTTCTAAACTACGTAAATGATGCAAAGATACTATACGCCATAGTAGAATACATCATACAGCTAGATCAAACAGGAGTTTTGCTGATGGAGTGTATTCTTGGAATTAGAAGAGAGAATTTCTCAGAAGACCTTATCAATACGTTAATGACATACCTCAAATCAAAGACACAAGAGTTTAAAGAGGATGATGTCGCTCTTTCCAAGTTTATTTCTGTATTATTCTACATTTCAGAAGAAAACGCTTTGGATGTGATCAAAGAACACTCCATGCTCCAAGTCGGACCAGAATCTCTATCAACAATCATTAAAATCTTCAAAGAAAAAGAAATTCATAATTCTGAATTTTTCAGAATGGTTTTTGAGAGCTTTACGGACGTTTTCCATAATGCAACAAAGCTGATTATTGTCCAGGAGTTCAAATCTTTCATAGAAAACTTTCTAATTTTGGTCGATGTTTTCATTCTCAATATAGACGTAATTCCATACGAAATTCGGTTCAAATTCTTCAAGTTCGCTATCGAGGCCTTCCAATACGCCCGGTATCTCCCGAATTCCTTACCGAAATTTACGGACTTTTTCATGAACTACTACGATTACATAGATCCCGACCAATTAAACGAAATAATACTCCATACATGGGATATTGTGAAGTTTATTCGTATTTCGATCGACGATTTGTTCGCATTGATCAGATTCCACGCTTTTTGCATCGACCACGATTACTGTGGAAACGATATTTTTGCGGGAATTCCAGAAATTGCCCAAAATGAAGAAATTAAAAACGAATATTTTGGTCTCATCGGATTAGATCCATTAACTGACTCAGAACTATTCGATGACTTTTTGGATAGGTTTTATGCATCTATTCAGTAAAATTGTTTGATTTTTTTAAAAAATAATTTATATTTTCAACTTTTTAATAGGAATAACAGTACGGAAATTTAGTTCTACTCATTGAATATAGTCCACAAATAGTTTAAAAGGATAAATGTGTTAATAATGCAAAATTTTTCTTATCAACTTACCATTACGCACTCATTTAATTCCAATAACTTACAATAAGAAATGCTAGATAATCCTTTTGCTCCATTTCAGTCCATTATTAATTATTGATTTCTAATTCCCTGTTAATTTTATAGGATCACATGAAAACGAAGAGAGAATATCAGATTCATGAATGAAATTGATACAGAAGTTGTGATGATTAAATTTCTCTGAAATAGAGAATATCAACTTAATCATGTTAGGAAATATTAAAAATACATTTGAATACATGGAATACTCTAATTTTACTCAAAACAAAATTTATTTTTTCTATGAATAAACAAATAGATTATATAAATATATGAAATAATGGAATTCTTTTTCATAATTAGCAAGCGTAATCAGTGGTACTGTATATGATATTCTTAAGTACCCATTACCAGGATTTCCATTTGAATCCGTTCCATTTGCAAGTTTCATTTTTTGATTCCCAGCAAGAACAATAGTATTATAAAAAGATACTTCTGGGAATGGAGTGCAACCAGGATTTCCTGATATATAAGAACTTCCGCCACTTCCAGGCGCATTGCTGGTTGAAGTGATCGAAGTACCTCCTCTATATCCCCCACCGCTACCTCCATTTCCCTCCATAGTGCACTCTCCATAAACACCTTTAAGCCCATCTGTTCCTGTTCCGTTTTCGGTTCCATAAGTTTGATTTGCTCCCAAAGATATTAGGGAACCTCTCTTCCCATCTTCAGCAACAAAACCTCCTGCACTTCCTGCACTACCTCCGCAAGCAGGGCTCCTATTTCCTTCTGATCCAAAGCCTTGTAAACCTCCACCACCGCCCGATACTAAGATTCGACTGTTGAGCGAATTAGTTCGGTAGTAAATCGTAGTGGCACCTCCACCGCCTGATCCTGAATAAAAATTTGATGAATATGGAGCACCTCCATTTCCCCCGCCTCCACATCCTCCTTTAGTAGGGCGTTTTTCTTTGACTGATGATTCTCCAACACCACCAACAATGGCATACAGCTGGGTCTGTGAGTGCAGTTCGATAGTACCTGCAGTGTAGGCACCACGACCACCGTTATTACCGCCAGCAGCTCCCCACGCTTCGAAAAAACATTTGCCTGGATCCAGGACAATGCTGTATGGGGTACATGCTTCATTATAATCGAAGACAGAAACAACACTTCCAGTATTGTTGTGGAGTAATGAATAGGAGGGATAAGGTCCCGTCTAAAAGAATCAAATTCAATTATTCAATAGAATTTGATGTATTGATTTCAATTTTTCAGAAGGAATTTTATAAGTTCCGTTTTTTCGGTAAAGAAATTTTTCTTGGAATTTTGTGCCATTCAAATTTCCGAAATTACAAAAAAAGTAAATGTTATCTGAAATGAGAACAATTGATCCCGACGATAGAACCATCAAATTGTAAAACAAGCAAAATGATTTGTTTCTCGCTTTTGATGTTATGGGAGGTATAATGATACTTTTTATAGAAATTAATTGAATCTTCAATTATTGCTTTGGACATAAAATTAGATAAATTTCATCAGACTTTTCAGAGGATTGAGTTGACATTCAATCCTCTGAAATAGTTTAGTAAAATTTAGTGTCTCAAGACTATTTCAATAATAGCTCCGTTTTTTTAAAAAAATTTAAAAATCGGGTTGAGACTATAAAAATCTAATTAATTTGATTAATCTCTTATTTATTTTAGGGTTTCATGATTCTGTGGTTATAATTCAAAGAAAGTAAATCTATAATCAGATTTTTATTCAAACCATCAAATTCATGTTCTGATTATCAATAAGTTGATTTACAAATTCAAATTATTAATTTATATAACTTTATGAATCTAATAAAATATTGGTAAGAATCAAAAAGAAATGAAAATCAAAATATGATTTGAGACATGAACAAATGGGAAGTAAATATGTGATTCTGAGGTAGCCGTGATTAGGATTGCCAGTGGATATAGTTCCGTTTGGTAATATCATACTTTCATTACCTGAAACAATCTTCGCGTTATTGAAAACTATTCCTACGAACTTAACGCATCCTGGATGTCCAGATATATACGAACTTCCACCCGAACCTGGAGAATCAAATTCCGAAGTTGAACTCAACCCACCTCTATATCCTCCACCACTACCACCGCTTCCTTCACCTTTGTAGTTTGCAAGTTTGCCGTTTCTTCCGTCAGCGCCAATTCCGTTTTTGTTTCCATTAGTTTGACTTGCACCAATAGAAGTAGCATATTGATTTACTCCATTTCCAGCTACGAGACCTCCTGCATATCCTGCAGTGCCTCTTGAAGCCAAACTGTCTTTGTAGCGACCAGGACCCTGAAAAGCTCCACCGCCACCCGAGACTAAAATTCGATTATTTGCCGAGTAGCTTTGGTAGTAAATAGATGTAGCACCGCCGCCTCCAGCACCAGAATAATAATCGATGTTGCATGGAGCACCTCCTCTACCACCACCACCACAGCCTCCTTTAATATTTCGAACTTCTTTAACAGATTCTTCACCAATCCCACCAACAACGGCATAAAGTTGCGTTTGGCGGCCAAATTTAATAGTACCTGAAGTGTATCCACCATGACCGCCGTTGTTCCCGCCAGCTGCACCCCATGCTTCGAAAAAATAATTGCCTGGATCCAGAACAATACTGTACGGAGTGCATGCTTCATTATATTCGAAGACAGAAACAACATCGTGGCCGTGACTATGCTGTAATATGAAAGATGGGTAAGGAGTCAGTCAACAATTCGGGTAACCCAATAAAAATAAGGTTAATTTTATATTAACCTTAAAATTCAAATTCATTCAAATTAATCGGATCCCATAAATTATCAAAAACACATATTGGATTTCAGAATTAATTTCCATTAAATTCGAGAAAGATACATAAGGATCAATGTATTATAAATCAAAGTTTTCCTTTCTCCGAAAGAAATTTTCTGATTTTAAATCATACGTAATTAAGTTTTTCTTTATATTTAATAATTATGACATATGATAGTAATGGTTGGTTTTATTCTAACAAACATAAATATCCCTAAGATTCTAATAAAAGATTGGTAAGAATCAAAAAGAAATGAAAATCAAAATATGAATTGGTATTTGTACATATTGGAAGTAAATATGTGATTCTGAGGTAGCCGTGATTAAGATTGCCAGTGGATATAGTTCCGTTTGGTAATATCATACTTTCATTACCTGAAACAATCTTCGCATTACTGAAAACAATTTCTTGGAACTTTGAACATCCTGGATGTCCAGATATATACGAACTTCCACCCGAACCAGGAGAATTGAAATCAGAAGATGATGCTAATCCACCTCTATATCCCCCACCGCTACCACCGTTTCCTTCAGCTCCACAATCGAATTGAGTAGTGCCTTTCCTTCCATCAGATCCAGTTCCGTTTGAATTTCCAACAGTCTGGCTTGCACCAAGAGCAGTAGTTTGCACGCCTTCTCCATTTCCAGCAACAAGACCTCCTGCATACCCTGCAGTTCCACCACATGCAACTGAATATATGGTGTTAAGTCCGGGACCCTGGAAAGCCCCACCACCACCTGAAACTAAGATTCGATTTTCGTCAGAATAGCTTTGGAAGTAAATAGTTGTGGCGCCTCCACCTCCTGCACCGGAATAAAAAGTAGTATTGTATGGAGCACCTCCTTTTCCGCCACCACCACAACCTCCTTTTGTTGCTCGATTTTCTTTGACAGGTTCTTCACCAATTCCACCGACAATAGCATAAAGTTGCGTTTGATGGCCAAATTTGATGGTACCGGATGTATAGCCTCCATGACCGCCATTGTTCCCGCCAGCTGCACCCCATGCTTCGAAAAAATAATTGCCTGGATCCAGAACAATACTGTATGGAGTACATGCTTCATTATATTCGAAGACGGAAACAATGTCATGAGAATTGTTATGTAATAATGAGAAAGATGGATATGGTGCCAGTCAACAATTCGGATAAACCAACAAAAAATAAGGTTAATTTTATATTTTAAGAGTATATTAAAAATAAATTTCTTCAATCAAAGAATTTACATTAGATTAACAGTAATTTTTAGTTAAACAAACTTAATAGCAAAAGTAGATAGAATATCTTTATGAATCTAATAAAATATTGGTAAGAATCAAAAAGAAATGAAAATCAAAATATGATTTGAGACATGAACAAATGGGAAGTAAATATGTGATTCTGAGGTAGCCGTGATTAGGATTGCCAGTGGATATAGTTCCGTTTGGTAATATCATACTTTCATTACCTGAAACAATCTTCGCATTACTGAAAACAATTTCTTGGAACTTTGAACATCCTGGATGTCCAGATATATACGAACTTCCACCCGAACCAGGAGAATTGAAATCAGAAGATGATGCTAATCCACCTCTATATCCCCCACCGCTACCTCCGCTTCCTTCTGCCTTGTAGCTACCGCTTATGCCGTTTCTTCAGTTAGAGCCAACTCCATTTTTGTTTCCAAAAGTTTGGCTTGCACCGAGAGAAATATCATATTGATTTACACCATCTCCAGCTACAAGGCCTCCTGCATATCCTGCAGTGCCTCCACCAGACGCGCCATCGTTTACATCGAATGAAGGACCTTGAAAAGCCCCACCTCCACCCGATACTAAGATTCGATTGTCGATTGAATAGCTTTGGTAGTAAATCGTTGTAGCACATCCTCCACCTGCACCTGAATAATAGGTTGTGGAGTACGGAGCGCCTCCTTTACCACCACCACCGCAACCGCCTGCAGTGTTTCGAACTTCTTTAACAGGTTCTTCACCAATCCCACCGACAATCGCATAAAGTTGTGTTCGCCTGTCAAATTTAATAGTACCTGAAGTGTATCCACCATGACCGCCGTTGTTACCGCCAGCTGCACCCCAAGCTTCGAAAATGTAATTTCCCGAATCGAGAACAATACTGTACGGAGTGCATGCTTCATTATATTCGAAGACAGAAACAACATCGTGGCCGTGACTATGCTGTAATATGAAAGATGGATAAGGAGCCAGTCAATAAATCGAATCTTAGAAACCTTTCAAAAATTCAATTTTTTCAGATGATTTTCAATAAATTGATTCAAAATAACGGTTTTATAATATATTTTATATCATACTATCTCATTTTCAATCCTTTTATTCTTATTGAGTGCGTTATTAATTGACCAAGAACAAGAATGAATATATCTTTATGAATCTAATAAAATATTGGTAAGAATCAAAAAGAAATGAAAATCAAAATATGATTTGAGACATGAACAAATGGGAAGTAAATATGTGATTCTGAGGTAGCCGTGATTAGGATTGCCGGTGGATATAGTTCCGTTTGGTAATATCATACTTTCATTACCTGAAATGATCTTCGCGTTATTGAAAACTATTCCTTCGAATGTATCACATCCTGGATGTCCAGATATATACGAACTTCCACCCGAACCAGGTGTATTAAATTCAGAAGATGAACTTAACCCGCCTCTATATCCTCCACCGCTACCACCATTTCCTTCACATTTACAAACAGCTCTAATAGTTCCATTTCTTCCATCAGAGCCTATTCCAACTTCATTTCCGAAAGATTGGCTTGCACCAAGAGAAATAGTATAGTCAATAATGCCATTTCCAGCAGCTAGGCCTCCTGCATATCCTGCAGTTCCTTCACAAGCAGGTTTTCCACTACCCAAAGAATCCTAGCCTTGAAAGCCCCCACCACCGCCCGATACCAAGATTCGACCATCGAGGGAATTAGTTTGGTAGTAAATTGTGGTCGCACCTCCACCACCTGCTCCTGAGTAAAAATCTGTGGAAAATGGAACGCTTCCATTTCCTCCACCCCCACAGCCACCTTTAGTAGGGCGCATTTCTCTGACTGATGATTCGCCAATTCCACCAACAACGGCATAAAGTTGTGTTCGACGACCAAACTTAATAGTGCCTGCAGTATATGCACCACGACCACCGTTGTTCCCACCAGCTGCACCCCAGGCTTCGAAAAAATAATTGCCTGGATCGAGAACAATGCTGTATGGAGTGCATGCTTCATTATAGTCGAAGACGGAAACAACGTCACGAGTGCTATTATGTAGTAAATAGAAAGGTGGATATGTAGTCAGTCAGTAAATCGGATAAACCAATAAAATTTAAGGTTATTTTTACATAAAATTTCGACTTTTTAATTGTCTTTTCAAATTTATCAAAAATCTTGATTTTTTATTGCATGCTCCACATTATTAATTAAATAAGCTGAAGAGAGGACTATTGCTCAAAAGAACAATGCAAAACCAATATTTATTATTTACTTTTCTAGTGTTTCAAGAACTTATATTGATTTCATTCAGAAAAATGAAAAATATAACATGTGATAATAAGGGAAATTTTTATTCTAACAAAAGCATTAATTACAAATATATCTTTATGATTCATATAATATATTGATAAGAATCAAGAAGAAATGAAAATCAAAAAACAATGTCATGAGCATTGTTATGTAATAATGAAAAAGATGGATAAGCCAGTCAATAAATCGGATACCGCGTACTCTTAAAAAATCAACTTTTTGAGAGCCCTTTCAATTTTTTTAACATCATTGATTACGATTTCATTTACACAATTATTAAAAAATAAAGTTATTTTGGATATCTCTATGAACATAGGAATAGATTTACAAAACATATCATGAAGAAATGAAAATCAAAATATGAATTGGTATTTGTACATATTGGAAGTAAATATGTGATTCTGAGGTAGCCGTGATTCGGATTGCCGGTGGATATAGTTCCGTTTGGTAATATCATACTTTCATTACCTGAAACAATCTTCGCGTTATTGAAAACTATTCCTTCGAATGTATCACATCCTGGATGTCCAGATATATACGAACTTCCACCCGAACCAGGTGTATTATATTCAGAAGAAAAACTCAAACCACCTCTATATCCTCCACCACTACCACCGCTTCCTTCTGCTCTACAATTGAAATTCACTCCATTTCTTCCATCAGAACCGATTCCATCCGTGTTTCCAAAAGATTGGCTTGCTCCATAGGAATAATTATTATTCTGTCTACCATTTCCAGCAATAAGACCTCCTGCATATCCTGCAGTTCCACCGCATGCAGCTCCAGAGCTGGAATCAATTCCAGGACCTTGAAAAGCCCCGCCACCACCTGAAACTAAGATCCGATTTTCGACAGAATTGCTTTGGAAGTAAATAGTTGTGGCACCTCCACCGCCTGCACCTGAATAATAGGCTGTAGAGTACGGAGCGCCTCCTTTACCACCACCACCGCAACCGCCTGCAGTGTTTCGAACTTCTTTGACAGGTTCTTCGCCAATGCCACCGATAATGGCCTAAAGTTGCGTTTGACGCCCAAATTTAATAGTACCTGAAGTGTATCCACCATGACCGCCGTTGTTACCGCCAGCTGCACCCCATGCTTCGAAAAAATAATTCCCTGAATCGAGAACAATACTGTATGGAGTGCATGCTTCATTATATTCGAAGACAGAAACAACATTGCGGCCGTGACTATGCTGTAATATGAAAGATGGATATGGAGCCAGTCAACAATTCGGATAACCCAATAAAAATTAAGGTTAATTTTATATTAACCTTAAAATTTAAATACATTCAAATTAATCGGATCTAAGGAAACTTTCAAAAATTCAATTTTTCCAGATGATTTTCAATAAATTGATTCAAAATATCGGTTTTAGAATATATTGTATATTATGCTATCTCATTTTCGATCCTTTTATTCTATTGAGTTTGTTAAAAATTAACCAATCCAAATATCCATGCATTCATATAAATGAGCATTCAAGATAATTTAAAAAAGGATAATAATGAAATAAAAAGGATGAACTCGCAGCGCATGCATATATATGTAATCTTTATGATTCACATAATATATTGACAAGAATTAAAAAGAAATGAAAATCAAAATATGATTTGATATTTGAACAAATGGATGTCCAGATATATACAAACTTCCCCCCGAACCTGGAGAATCAAATTCCGAAGTTGAACTCAACCCACCTCTATATCCTCCACCACTACCTCCGCTTCCCTCAGCTCTACAACCCAAATTGTTTCCTTTTCTTCCGTCAGCGCCGATCCCATTTACATTCCCAAAAGATTGGTTTGCACCGAGGGAAATAGTATAGTCTATAATACCATTTCCATCAGCTAGGCCTCCTGCATATCCTGCAGTTCCTCCACATGCACCGTAGGAGTCTTCCAATTGGCCAGGACCGTGATGAGCCCCACCACCGCCAGAAACTAAGATTCGATTGCTTATTGATTGGGTCTGGTAGTAAATTGTTGTGGCACCTCCACCACCTGCTCCTGAATAATATTCATTAGAGAGCGGAATACCACCTTTGCCTCCACCGCCGCAACCTCCTTTAGTAGTTCTCTTTTCTTTGACAGGTTCTTCACCAATGCCGCCGAGGATGGCATAAAGTTGAGTCCTAGTGCGGAATTTAATATTGCCTGATGTGTAGCCTCCGTGGCCACCATGATTACCGCCAGCTGCACCCCACGCTTCGAAAATGTAATTTCCTGGATGGAGAACAATACTGTACGGAGTACATGCTTCATTGTATTCGAAACTGAAAACATCATTCCGTGTGTTACTATGTTGTAATGAGAAGTATAGATTTTCCGACAGTCAATGAAACAAATTCAATGGATCACTCTTAAACTCGATTTTTTCTGAATCTATTCATTACTTATCAGACTACTTTCAATTTCACACCGTGCCTCTCAAAATTTGATTAATACTACATTGTGTTAGACATTACCAAAGAGATTTTTAACTCATAACATATGTATATCGTTAGCTGAATAGGGTCAATATAAAAATTATATTCAATTATTTTAATTTTTACATTTCTAGATTGAATTTCTTTGCAATAATCATATTTGGGAAAACCGCTCTCATTGCTGCAGTATTTCATCAAAGTAATGAAGCAGTCGAAGCTCTTCTTTCACATGGTGCAAATATCAACGAAAAAGATAAAGATAAAGATGGAAAAACTGCTCTTCATATTGCAGTAAAAATAATAGTATAAAAGCTGCCGAACTCCTTATTACACATGATTCAAATATCAATGAAAAAGATGAATATTGCAAAACCTCTCTCCATTATGTATTAATCATGTTATCAAATGATTTACAATCTTCTATCATTTGCATAAAAATCTCTTTATTTCCGCCTTGAACACCATACTCTTCGGAGTAAGATTACTCACACTTCATATGAAATATCAATAAATATTCTCACACTCAAAAAAAGTGATTTTAGGAGTCAACACCTCTCATCTGGGACACAATACTTGGAGAAAAAACAAACTGCTCTTTAAAGTAGTGATTAGAAAAAAATATAGAAACATCAGAGTTGATTCTTTCATATCGTTCCAAAATAAATATTCAAGTTTTTAATGGAAATTCACCACTCATGGTTGAGTTGGAACATAATAGAAAGAAAACTGTACAGTTTCTATCATAAAAAATATAACTTATGTTATAAATTTAAAACATACAAACAAACATTTAGAATTATGTATTAGAAACATTGAAAGTTGGTGTTGGTGCATTCTTTGCTTCAGGGAATAACTCATCATACTTTGAAATGACTTGTTCAAGAGATGGTCGTTGAATTTCTTTTCTTTTCAACACAAAATCCAAAAATATTTCGACATTATCATTACAACCAAGTTCTTTCAGTTCATTGCGATCAACATCATCAAGGACAGGCCTCTCTCCGGTGACTCTTGTGTAGAAGTAGCTCCAATCTGTTGTAGCGAACAAGAAATGTCCTGTCAATAATTCGAAGAAAAGGCAGCCAATGCTCCAAATATCGCTTGGAGGACCAGCACCAACTTTCTTTCTTCTATCGAATTTAGGATCAGTTGCTGTTGATGTCAAAGCGATGGAGAGCATTTCTGGGGATTTAATCCATTCAGTTCCTTTGTTAAGAAGCGTGTAAGAGTTACTTTCTCTCTTGTAACACATTGATTCTCCGAAATCTGCCAAAGCAGGCATTCCATCGAAATCAAGCATCACATTATCGCATTTTATGTCGAAATGGTTGATATATCTATCAGTAAGAACTGTACATGCTTTAAGGAATTCCCTGTAAACACGTAACATCGTGTTAAGTGGTGGTTTTTCATTAACACTTTTTCTCCATGCTTTCAGTGTAAATGGATAAAATTCCATCACAATGTAATAACTGTTCTTTGTGCAGCCGAAATCAACAAGCTGTGTGACTCTTCTATCTCCTTTGCACGTATCGAGAATGGATACTTCCGAGTACACCTCGAACAAATGAGGATTTTCAAATTCATTCAAAGATTTTTGCAAAATTTTGACTGCAACTGGTTTATCTTTTCCTGGAGCTTTCATGACGACACCAAAAGCTCCTGACGCGATGTGTTTTCCATTCGCATACTTCTTTGGCTCGAAAAGGCATGGCATTGTCAATCTCAACAATCTCATGTAGTCGAGTTTGTTGAAAATCGTGTTTTTCCTGTTTGATCTCAGCCAATTTGGCATTTCCGAGTTGATTGTCATCGTTTGTGACTCTTGGAGATGCAAAGAAGGAACATTGATGCTGGAATTTTTCTCTACAGAAGCAGAAAACTTCGGAAAAGTCGACATCAAATTGATTGTCATCAAAGGAATTTGGTTTTCTTCGGTATCTGGTTCTCCGAAACTTTTAGGAGCTTTGAATTCTTCCTGGAAGTCTTCCATGAGGAAAGAATTTAAGTTGTGCTCCATATGTTTCATTAAAGGATACAAAATGTTCGGTTTTCTGTTGACATGAGGAAAAGGATCAACAAATTTGACATCAAACTTATGTAATCTGTGCTCTATTATAATACTAAACAATAACTCAATGACAGCTACATGCACATCATCTGCACAATAAACAGGTCTCAATCTACGCTTTGATAAATATTCTTCTTCATTAAAATTGTCACTTTTTTGCTTTTCCAAATTATTTTGATCATTTTGCGAATTTTGGAAATGCAATTGAAGTTTAGGATTATCGAAATTCAATGTAGGAATTACATTTTGCAATGACAAAGTTGGTATATCTTTCATAGACACATCAGCTTTAATTATCTTATTTTTGTTATTGAAAATTCTTCCATTTGGATAAGCTTCCAATTCAACATTAAATAAAATGTTTTTCAGCAAATGGAGTTTGTTGATTTGGTCAACAGTCCATCTATGTCTTCCTTCTACAATAGATCTAATAACATTCAAGGTGGAAACAATGATAATTGGGTTGATTTGTTCTTTTGAAATTTCTTTCGTCAGAACATGATAAAAAATTGAAAAATGCCATGAAACAGATTCTTCATCAATCATTTGAAGAGCGGAACTGAAGAACCTGAAGCAGACATTGTAGTTTGTCTCGAAATCTCCACATTGCGATAGAAATCGAAGCATCATCGATGTGGAGAGATTATGAACAGAAAGAGACTCCAAAAAACTTTGTGGAGCGTAGCAACCAAGAGAAAACAAACAAATATAAAGAGATTGGTCGCGTTTCTGTATAGGAACATTTGTTCTGATAATAAAATTCTCACCAACAATCGAAATCAACTTTGAACTTAAATCAAATGAATCTGTAACTTCAAACATCGCTGAAAACAAGGCTGCCCATGATGCCTGGAGTGAACTATCTACTTCGAATTTATTGTGGTAGTTTTCGAAGATAGGTTCGATGATTTTCAGCAAATTTGAAACAGAATTGCAAAAATTAGTGTATAAAACTAAATCTCTTGTGATCCAACATGCAACAATTGAATCTTTATCAAATATAGGCTTGATGAAATTGAAAATCTCTTCAGTATCTATATCTTTTTCGAAGGATGATAATAATGTTTCTCTGGATGATATAAATGATGCTGATTTCTTATTGATCTTGATGATTTCAGTATCGTTGTATATCAAAAGGTCAAGAATATCCTTATTTGAAGTATATAATTCTTCCATTTTTTCAAGAATGGTCCGAAATCCATTTTCTGTTGCATCAACGACATCCTGCGGTGGATCACAATAGCTGAACTCTGGATCTTCGACCTTTGTTATTGGTTTTGTGTACTTTACAAAAGATGATGAGAATCTATCAACAAAAATATGGCCAACCATTCTTCCTAGTACGCTCATCTCCTTGTCTATCTCTGAAGACTCTTCATCTCTTCTTAAAGTTGATAAAGCTGATACATATCTCCTGATTGTTCGACTTCCAGGAACAAAAGAATTTTGTTGTAAATTAAGAGAAGGAATTGCATCAAATCTGACGTTTTTTTGATCGACAGGAGATTTCTTTTCTTCTTCCTCTGTGAACTCTTCATCAGAACGTGGCATTTGGGAGATCCTTGATGAAGCTATGTCAACAAGATTTTGAAGATCTGTAAGATTGTTGCCAGAAGATTCTTTTTTGGCAAGCTTTTTGTATATTTTCGGAACTTTGCTGTGTAGATTCTCTTGAAATTCTTGTAAATCCAGTTGATGAAGTTTTAATTCTAATAATTTCAGCTTTTTTTCTTTCAATTCGTTTAGTAATTCTTCTTTTTTAGTACCTCTATTATGAATATCTTGTTTTAATGCTTCAATATGCTCTTCATATAATAATAAATATTTTATTAATGTTTTTAGATCTTCTTTCAGTGTTTTTCGTCTTTGAATAGAGTCAAATATTTCATTTGGAATGGTTGTACCGAATCTCATGTTTAATAAATCGATATTATGTTTTAAATCTGAAACATAATTTAGATTTGGAAGGGTATTTTTTCTAGGCGAGAGAACAGTTTTTGTACGAGTTGTTCTTGGTGTCTGTATTACATGAGTATTATAAAGATTTCCGAGTTGAGTTTGTGGTCTAGCACTGTTTTGTTGTGTTTGAGGAGCTTGTATTGGTATATTATTGATATTGATTGATTTTTCTAACTTTTTATATGTTTTTATTAATTTTTCTGTCAATTCTATTTTACCATACATTTTATTATAGTCTGACGTTATGTATTCGAGCTGCTCTTTTGTCTGTTTTTGAGCAGGATTGATAATCTTTTTGTTTAATTGGAAAATTTCCAATTGTAGATCAGTATTCTTCTGTCGAACTTTGTTTAATCTTTCTTGTATTGTTTGCAACTTGTTTCGAAGACTTGTCACATTACGTTGTGTTGCTTTCAAAGATGAATCATCTTTGAAAACGGGTGTGACAAAATTTGCAAAATACATAAAAGATTTTGTTACAAAATTTTAGAAATTTTTGAGTAAGTTTGCTTGAGAGTATCTCATAGAGCATATATGAGCACATTTCAGACTTTCAGAGAATTAACGTACAATTGATCAAAGATCAATGAAAGAAGCATTTCAAAGCCAATTGACCTGGAAAATATGCAGACATGAACGAAAGACGTTTGGTTTATAACATATAATTATATAATTTCATTAGTAAAGATATATTGACATTTAATTTTCTTTTATCATAGCAAAAAACATCTAAATTCAAGCATTTACCATCGAATATATTAATATATAATTTATTCAATATACAAATTATGATAAATTTAGAAAGTACATTTTGAGAAAGTATCAACTACTTTTGCACGTAGTTTAGAAAGTCTAATAACTTCCTGTCCATCAATAGTAACAGGTTCTCCATTGAAAAGTACTCTTACATTCAAATCTTTGTAAATTTCGAATGTAATGTAGCTTCTGTATGGAGGAATATCGACCTTGAATGGATGTCCAAGTTTTGTCATGATTGCTGTAACTGTTGAATCATGAGCAGAAAAGATTCCAAATTTTGAACGTCTTTTTTCACTCAAGACTGCATCAATATGTTCAAACAATGTTCTGAATGAACCTCCACTCATTATATCTGGATATTGTTCGGCAAAACCTCCAGAATAATACAAAGTATCATTCATTGCGACATCAAACATTTCGTCTGTAACAATTGAAGGAATTGGTTGATTACTGCATACAAATGAATACATCCAATCTCCTAACCACATCCAATTCTGATCATCTGCTGTCAAATTTAAGTATTCGTATAATGGCTTCTGAAGAGCTAAAGATACATTAGCACGAGCCTTGTAGCTTGGTGTTGATATGAATTCTGCATAAGCATCAACCATATCCTTGCAGGTATATGGATCTGGATTTAATGGCTCATTTGCTCCAGCTCCTGTGAGATAAGTAATTATTTCTGAACGAGGAGACTCTGGGAAGAGTCCCTGCAAAAATGATCTCAAAGATGTTTGACAACGCGGGGATCTTGAAGAACGAATAAAAATTTCAAATGGATCGAAGTTTGGCTGAATAAATTTCAATTTGTCAACATAATATGATCTAAAATAGGCACCTAATTCTTTGAGTTGCTGCATTCCTTCGATAATTAAAGAACCTGAGTCGCAATTTGGTGGGAATGGAGTGGTATCTATAACTTTGTGGTATCTTCTAAACTTCCGATTTGAGTCTGGTTCATAATCGGGAGCAATAGCATCTGGTGAATCGCAAATCCAAGTTCCAGATTCATTTTTACGAGCCCAAGAATCAATTGGAGCACGTGCACCATGTCTAAACACCGTAAGAACAGTGAGTAATGCAGAATTTAATGGTTTTGGCTCTTTTAAAGGTGCAACACACTGTATCTGTCTAGGCATTGTGATTTTTGATGATTTTATTGAATAAATAGATTAGTTTTATGGTGTTAATTAGAACCTAAAATGAATCGAGGAAAATTAACATTCAAAATCTCCAAAATTATTTTCTGAGGAGGATTCGAATTCTTTACAAAAATGAGTTTTCCAGTTGACGAATGCATAAATGTAATTAACGAACTCCTTAAGTATAGCATTTCGGCAATGTTTGCTAACCCAGTGGACCCTGAACGCGACAGATGTCCAAATTATCTACAATTAATAAAAGAACCGATGGATTTAGGAACCGTTAAAAAACGTCTTGAATCTGGATATTATAAAACAGTTAGTGATTGGAGACATGATATGGACCTTATCTGGAATAACTCTTATACTTTTAATAAAGTTAACTCTTTCATTGGATTAATTACGAAAGATTTACAGGAAAAGTACAATCAAATATCCGAATACATAAATGACGGCTTAGAAATAACTTGGCGTGAAAAACTTTATAGTTTGAGCAGAGAACTGAATGAACTTTTGAAAGAATCACCTAAAATTGCAATTCCTAAGAAAAAGAAAGGTCGCCGTCGTGATGATATGAGTAACAGCTTCTCAATTGATTTAAATGAAAATCCTATAAACAACTATCCGATGACCCATGATGAAATCGTCAAATTAGCTGATGATATAAAGAAAATACAATCAAATTCGCAAAAAATTACAATAATGAATATGCTGAAAAAATTAGAGCCTTCAATTGTATTAGATCCAGACCACATTGATATAGATCTTTGCTGCTTACAAATGTCAACTCTACACCAAATTCGATCAAAATTAGATGATTTTATGGAGAATATGTAACAAAAACCAAAGAAAATTTAGCACAAAAATTACTATCTTAACTTAAGACAGCAAAATTTTGCATCCAAGTCACTAATTTATTTATATTTTTTTCTCCTAATTTATCGAAAAAAAGAAAGATGCAGTAATCTAATTTACTTTGAAACCGACTGTTTATTGTATATTTACCATGAATTTACGCTGATAACAAAAATCATGTTTTAATTGTTGATTTATTTTGCAATTGCCCACTTTGCATTGCATCCTGGGCAGTTTGTACGCTTGTTGCCTAAATATCCTTCAATGCAGTGCTTATGGAATTTGCATCCGCATTCTCCAACAACAACTGGGCAATCTCTGCCCATGCAGATAGCGCAGGTTGTGCATGGCTCATCGAATCCTGAATGGCAAAGGGTGCACATCTTCGGGGCTTGCTTGGCGGACATTTTTTTATGAAAAATGAAGTCAAATATTTTATGTTTCGAATTAATTGTATGTGATATAAACTATACTAGAATCAATTTTCTATTGATTTTTCTTTCAAAAATTTCAAAAATTGTGAATTGCATCTTCATATTGCGGAAATACCTCGTTTATGTAGCATAGAAGTCGAACCATTTGCAATACACACAACAATATAAGAATTCGAATACTAAATTTCAAGGGAAACAATGAGTAAATCTAAAGATGTTAAAAAACATTGAAAATGATTGACGAGTTAAAGATTTGTAGATACTTCTAGATTAAAAATGTGAGTAGGACAAATTTCAATGCAAATTTCATATTGTTTTTAGCGATTCATAAAATTTTATTTGAGAAACATGGATGAAATAAGAAATTTGATATTCAAAGCAAAACAAATTTAGTAGCTTGCGTTAATTATAGAAAGAATGAAATTATAGCCTTTAATTTTATAACAACAGAAATTAATTAAGATTCTTATAAGTACTAGCATTAGCAACAATCGCAGGGACAAGAAGTGCTTCTTCTTGCTCGTGTTCTGCGAACGTAATCGTATCTGGATGGAAGCAGATTCCGCAACCTGCAAAATCAATGAACATTCCGAAAACGAAGCATACAAAAAGAGCAACAGATGCTGTATTTCTGAGGTTTGTCATAATAGTACGAATTACAGCTGAGCAGGCTTTAACACCAGTCTGGCAAACTGTAGCATTACGATCTGTTGAGTTCCAAAATCCGCAGCATGATAAATCAAGTCCAATGCGAAATCTTTCTGAAGGTTCGGATTTTTCCCATTCTTTGTCTGCAGCTGCAACAAATGAACTAACGTTTGATGTAAGCATGGAAACAAGCATCTCGATTAGAAGTAAGCAATACATGAAAACATGGAAGAGCATCCATAAGCATGCAGTATTATTTAAAGCTGAAGACCAGCCAACAATTAAGATGATGATACTGAGGAAAATAATACCGATCATTAATGTAACAATGTCAACTGGTAAAAAGTATGAAACGTTACCTGAACTTAAATAAGCCATTGAAATCGAACATAAAATAACGACAGTAATTGTTTGCATAATAGAAAAGAAAATGAAACCATGAGTCATTACACTTTTCTCTTGTTCCATAGACATTGTGCGGCAAGTACACCGACACATCTTTTTTTAATTTTTTTTTGACAAAGAAAAAGGTATCCAACTTTTTTTACCAATAGAAATTACAATTGTTTATTATATGTTTATAAATCTAATTTTATTGAAAGATTAATGTAAAGTGTAACCCCCTTCAATAAATAAAATGGATCTGCGCCAAGAAGCGCAGTTTTTAGCCCAAATGACATTTGCTACTCAACTTGGTGCATTTTCGTCAACTAACACACGTGATTTGTCTAAAGCGTGGGGAATCGAACCTCCAGAAAATGTTCAAGTTATTAACTTCCAAAATCAAGCTTCATCTATTTCTTTTTGGAAGAAAGCACCTGATGTTCCACATCATAAATATATGGAATGCCATGTAGGTGAATTCGATAAACATCAAATTCCAATGGCACTTCTTGCTCAAGAAAGAGACAATTTTGTTCAAAAGAAGATGCAATCATTTTTAAGAAACATGCGTAATAAAAAGAAATCCGATAAATATACTGATGAAGAAAATGAGAAATTCGAATATCTTCAACACACTCTTCTTTTGTCATCAAGACAGAGATACATCCGCGATAATTTCTACAATTCATTCCAGATCTTTGCTTCTGGGAAGATTTTGAAACCAAACGATCTAAAACAAATTTTCCGTCTTCCAACTTTAACGCAAATGGAGAGAAAGAAAGGATATGTCATCAGAGGTATATCATACAACGATTTCCTTTGGCCAAAAGGAAAAGATTTCACTCCTGCAACTCCATTTTCTGTTTTACCAAGACATATCATCAGAAATCGTGAAAAAGAGAAAAGTGAAATTGATCTTAATGCTTCTGTTCCTGTTGTGCTTTCAATTCTTTCTGAAAGTGCTTCAATTATCGTTGCACAGCAAAGTTTCAAGTTTTTCAACGAAATGCGTAACAAATTCCACAGCAAGCGCTTAGTCAAGCATCATCTCGAAAATCTAATGATGTCTAAAGAAGCTCAGAGAGAAAATGAAGAAATTCTTATCGATAAAGAAACGATTGAGGATGATTTAGAGTTCTTCCATAAATATTGGCCGGCTCCAACATTTAATCATCCACTCAGAATCGTTGCTCAGCCTTCAATTTTACAAAATGTCGAATTACACTCCCACCAGATCAAAGGCCTTTCCTGGCTCATCCACATGTACGACAACCACATGAACGCATTATTGGCCGATGAAGTCGGTTTAGGTAAGACATTACAGATCATATCTTTCTTTGCCTACTTGAAAGAGGCCCGCCATATCAACGGCCCACATCTTGTTGTTGTTCCCAATGCTGTCATGGTCACATGGAGGACAGAATTCGAAAAATATCTTCCATCCGCCAAATTTGTCTTTTACCACTCGAAAGCCAAATCTCGTCATAACTTCTTCAATGAAGTTGTTGCTCGTACCGATTTCGACATTTTGCTTACAACTTATTCGATTTTATTCCAAGATCAAGACAAACTGGGCCAAATCACATGGAGAACAGCTGTCTTCGATGAAGGACACAAACTCAAGAACCCAAAGGCTCAAATCTTCAAAGCTGTCGAAGATACGATTTTCTCAGATTTCCGCATCATCGTTACGGCCACTCCATATCAGAACAAGCTTGAAGAATTATGGGCCATCCTTTCCCTCATTCGCCCATCGTATTTCGGCAATCTTGACAAGTTCAAATTATTCTTCTCGAGAATTGAGAAGAAAGTTGTTGATCCAGCTAACCACGAACTTGTTGTTCATCGCCTCCATGAAGTTATTCGTCCATTCACACTCCGCCGTAGCCAAGACGAAGTTGCCGTCGAAATTCCAGGAAAATACGAAGTTACTTTGAAAGTTTCTCCCAGCGAATTGCAGAATTCCATCATGGCGAAAGGCAAGAAAGAAGGTTTGGACAACAACAAACAGATGTACATTACAAAACGTCTTTCGAATTCTCCAATTTTGTTCTTTCCACGCGATGTTTTCGAGAAAATCGATCCAGAATATCTTTTCTCGCGTACTCCAAAGCTCCAGCTCCTCGACGTCATTCTCCAGAAGCTCATCACAACAGGACACAGGTTCTTGATCTACTCGCAATGGACATCGATGATGGATTTGCTCGAAATCTACTTGAACTGGCGCAAAATCGAGACATCAAGAATCGATGGCAGCGTCACAACAAGCGAGCGTTCCAGATTGATCAAGAGCTTCGTTGTTCCTGGATCCCCTGTGAAAGGAATGCTTCTCTCAACACGTTCTTCAGCTTTCGGTTTGAACTTGCAGGCTGCAGATACTGTCATTTTGTTCGATTCCGATTACAATCCTTTCATTGAGTTACAGGCTTCAGCTCGTGTCCACAGAATGGGTCAAACGAACTCTGTCGTCATCGTGAGATTGATGACAAACGACACTGGCGAAGAGCACATTTTGAGGATTGCAAGAAGGAAGTTCAAAATGGGTCAGCAAATCATCACTGCGGGTATGTTCAACCTCGGATTGCCGGAAGAAAACAAAATCAACGTCGAAGGAGAGAAAACAGTTGAAATTGTTAACCCAACTGAGCAGCAACTCAACGAGATTCTCGCAAGAGGAAAACAAGAGGAAGGAATACTCGCATTCCAGCCTTATCTTCCTCCAACTTTACCAGATGAAAATAATGAAAATTATCAAAAATTGGATAATGAAGCTGTTGATGCCTACATCGATATCGCTGTCAATGGTGTCACACATCCAAATCCTGACGCCGCTGATCCTTATTACGATGAATTTGAAGATGTTGACTGATTTTGTTATTTTTATTATTATTATAAAATTATTGATGTTTTTGATTATTTAGTATTAATTATTGATGATATAGCACTATGTCTGAATATATTTCTTCTCGAATCCGAAAAATATATTTTTGATCCATTTTTTTGAATGTACTTGCATTTCCCAAAACAATTTGAAGCAATTGGTATCCCAGAATAACATGAATTTTAAAATAAGATTCGAAATCTGATAAAGACTTTTAATTTAGATTTTTATCAGGTAATCATTTTTATGTGTGTAAGAATAAACATATTTGACTGAATATGAATCATATTTTATGTTGTTTCCCTTCTTCGTTACGACGATTAAAGGAATCAACACCCAAATGATAAGACAGTATATGCAATTTGGGCAATGGTATGCAGCTTACCAGGAATGTAGCAATATTGTTAACTCAAACAAAGCCGATAACGAAGTCTATCTTCTCAGAGCGCAATGTGCATTTAATTTAGGATTTTCGAACGACACAATACACGATTCAACAAAGGTTATTACATACTCTCTTAAAAAAGACGAAATAAATACAGCGTATAATTTAAGATTTCACGCCCACATATTAAATGGCGATGCAAAGAATGCTGAAGCCGATCTACGAAAACTGAATGATAAGTCTAAAAAGGAAACCGTAACCCAATTAAATAATTTATTGAAAAAAGTCGAAACCTTTTCAAAGAAGAATAAAGAACAAGAATTAATAGTTGCTCTCGACGAAATACTTAAAATATCTCCTATGTATATTCATGGCATATATTTACGCACCGACCTTGCCTGGAAAAATGGTGAAATGAATGTATATCAAAAGCATATCCGCATTTTAGCGGACAAATACCCTGATGATGGCGAGCTCCAGTATAGATACGGTATTTCCATCTTCTGTAATGGAAATACTAAGGAAGGTCGAGAACATATCCAAAAAATTAGAAGAAAACAAGGAGTTCCATCAAATATCAGCAAAATTTTCAATTCACTTTCATCAATAACACGAGAATTTGATGCAGCAAATAAGAATATTGAAGAAAATAACTCAACAAATTTAATTTCTTCAGTAAAACGTTTAAATAAGACAGTTCTTAACATATGTCCTTCAAAATCCAATTTATATTATAAAGTAAGGGTTCTTTCTTCCACTTCTTTGCGTCTAGAAGGTCTTAATCAGCAAGCTTTGAAATCTATTAATTCTATCCTTTCAGAAAATCAAAATTTACCATCTGCTTTTGTTGAAAGAGGGATGATAATGCTTAAACTCGACGATCCAGATGCAGCTGCTTATGATTTCAGACAGTGTTTGACAATTGATCCAGGAAATCAAGATGCTATGAAAGGAATGAAACAAGCTGAAGAACTAAAAACAAAAGCACAAAGAATAGATCTGTATAGATTGCTTGGTGTCCCTAAAACAGCAACAGATGAAGAAATCAAAACTGCTTTTAGAAAATTAGTGCGAAAATGGCACCCAGACCAATTTTCGGATAAACAAAAGAAAGAAGAAGCTGAAAAAATGATGGCAGCAATTAATGCTGCTTATGAAGTTTTAATTAATCCCCAACAACGAGCGAAGATTGATGGGAATGATGAGGAGCCGGGTGTTGATCCATTTGATTTGTTCCAAAATCAAATGGGCGGTAATCCTTTTGAGTTTTTGCGCAATATTAATTTTATGTTTAATTAAATGTTCTTAATCGTTTATATATTATCATCTATTAATATATGACTAATTATTTTTCAATTACCGTCATTATTTATCCATCTGAAACAATAGTCTTCATTCATTCGTGATCAAAAATCGGCCAAGTTGTTAAAAAGCGGAAACAAACTTTAATTGCACATCATTTTGTTTTGAAATTAGTTCTGAAATCGCATTTTTTAATTTCTTATCGAATTTTTGATGAGGCAAGAATCATTTTTCTGATTGAAATATAAACACTCCCCTGATGTTAACACAAACCCATTTAACAATAGCGGCATATATCTTAAAATTTGAAAATGATATCGTTGAATGAATTTTACTGTACATTTGTTTATTGTTATTAAAGAACGTATTTTCGGCTCTTGGATTTGCTCAACAATAAAATGTTTTATCTTACGCTTTTCAATTTTTTATCGGAGGCAAAAAGCCTTATTATTTTCCGATAAAAGTTATTTGATACTTGATGTTAAATCTAATGGAATAAAAAACCTTTTCTATGAAAACGGTTTTTTTTGATTTTTAAGCGGTTTTCATTGAGCAACAGCTCTTTCAAAATTGCGCAATTTACAAAATATTTTTTTATTGAACAGAAATGTTTGAAACTGTCCGCACGATTCCGATTTCAATCCCAGAAAGATTCGAACTTCATGAAGCAAAGATGAAAATGTATAGGTCAAAAGAAAAGCTCACAAGTTCATTGACCGAATCATATAAACAAATTGTCAATGATCTTGAGCAGACCAAGCCATCGAATATCAACATAATTAATATTGCAAAACAGTATGGCGTCCAGCACCATCGCGTGTACGATTTATTTAATCTATTGACTTCATTAGGCGTTTGTCAAAACATCGAACGCGGAAAGCTTGCATGGATTGGACTTTCATCTATTTCCTCAATAGTTTCTAAAGTTTACACAAACAGCATTTGAATCAAAAATAATCGTATGTTTGATAATTTTTGGTTGATGTCCAAGGGAGAAACTAACCAAACCATGACAAAAAAATATAAAACCAAAAATAATTGTTATAATTTAAATGAAGAAGTAATTTAAAACGATTTTATTTATGATCAAATTTTATATATTTTTTTGGATCAAATCCATTTTAATAGAATTTATATACTATTCATCTATTAGTAAACACTACCGTATATTATTTTTTAAGCTATCTTATTTTTTGAACTTTTATTCAAATCTTTGGTCGCAAGAAGAATTGCATGATAAATAAAAACATTTAATCAAAGTCAATTTTATTTTTCATATTCAAATGGACTGAGTGTTAACATTTAACATTTTTTGCTAATTGTCGTCAAAAATTAGGCGTAAAGCAAAAATTGATATTTCATATGGTTTTATGATAGATAAGCATTATATTCCCACTCCTTATATTCGTAAATTTTGAGGTTTATCCTTCGCTTTTCAGATCATTGAATTTGATTTTTATATCAAATAGTTATATATTAGAAAATAATATGAGTTTATGTGATATTATTTTTCAGAAGATTTCATTCTATATGCCTATGAAAAGTACTCTCAAAACTAACTTTTCCCTAATTATAATTAAATCTAGAATATTGTATTATGCTTAGTATTATTTCATTTTTCTCATTCAATTTAGAATTTACAAATGTCAAAAAATTGAGAGCTGTCACTTTTGATGAATTTCTGTTTATTACAGTATCACCTTTAATATGGTATCAATACACATTAATTTCATGGAAGTTCTGATTTCATCTTCAAATCGGTAATTTACTTGTGAAATTAACATGTATGACACGAGCATACAAATATACAATATTATTATTTTCCGATAGAAGCGAAATAAAGATGACTCAATTTCAACTTGTGAATTAAGATTTAAAACCAAAATATGTATCATCTTTCCGCATGTTTATTTCATGTTTGAATTCCAAAAAGCTTAGAAGTATTCCACAACCTTGATTTTGAATATATAGTCAAATTCTCTCAAAAAAATAATGAATTATTTTCAAATAATTTTCTCAATTTGATCGAACAAAATATTGAATAATAACAATAATGGTTTGTACGCATTCTAAATCATTAATTTTAAAATCGAAAATGACATTCAGCTGAAATGTGGACTATCTTTTCACGGACAAAAGCTTATTTTCTACCGAAAGAAATAACAAGTTGTAAAAAAGAAAAAGGATCCAAACAATCGATGATTTACAAAACAGACATAATAAAAATATTGAAAAGTGAAACTCCGTTAAAATCTTGAGGTTCGCTATGTATTTTCAGTAGAAATACTTTCCAATTCTTCTTTTGAGTAAAACTGAATATTTTGACGCTTCCAATCGTGAATCCTGCGCGATTGCAGGCGTGCTCTTGGAATGTAGTTATTGAGTCTCGGGCATACATCCTGAGTCTTAAATACGAAGTCGGATTCATCTTTGTTGAAGTGAGAAATACATTTTGAATAAATTGTTTCAAATTGGAACGGAACAGTATAAGCATTTGAGTTGTGGGTTAAAGCCGGAACAACGCATATAGCCAAGTTTGACATGGTCATTTTATTTTGGTTCTGGTTATCGATTACCGCTTTGAAAATTGATAAAATTACGGCTAAGCACCTCCTATTCACAAGGGGCAGCCTTTCAACAAGAGTTACAACAGATTCTGCATCATTGGGAATATATGATTGGTTGTAAATGCTTTCGGGGATTAGAGGAACCGGTAATTTAAAAAGCCATGTTTTCAAAAATTCAGCAACATCATCAATATCTGCATCGTCTGGTATTTTTGGAACATGCTGGGATAATGCAATGTTAATTCTTTTGATTTTTTCTTTATTTCCATTTTTCCTAAAAATTCCTTCAGAAGTTATATTCTTCCTAATAAAGTCGCATAGAACAGGAAGAAAGCACGGAATTCGATCTGCCGTTGTCGGTAGGTATTCAACAGGGACTTGTAAAGAAGTCCTTGTCATTGATGAAGGCAGTCCAAAAAAATTTTTTTTTGAGAATTTGTTCTTTTGTGAATTGTACAGAAAAATTGACGAAACTATAACACACTTGTAAAAATTTGATATTAATAATTGTTAGTGTCATGTGCAGCTTTTCCTTCATGAAATTTTTCAATGGACGGTTATATTCTATCTTGAAGTAATTATCAAAAAATTGAAATTTAAATATTAATAGTGCCATGATGAAATTCCTTTCCTTCTAAAAAAATTCAATAAGATATCGTTCTCAAATTTGTGATATTTTTGAAGTTCAAAGAATTGAAAGTTGAATACATTAAAAATCGGCATGAGAAATTCTTAACTATTATCTTTAAGTTATTAATATCCTTTCTAACGTTTTTTGGCAATAATTTGAACATAATTTCAAATGTCAGTTTTTTTGATATAATAGAATTAGTTCTAGAAGTTCAAAGTAGTTAATTTGCAATGAATCTTCACCGGAATAGCATATCATGCTAATATTTACTATTGTACCTATTCCGTACTGCGATCTGCAGTTCCATTTAGGGTAATCTTCTCATTGCTGGAACAATCAATTTGAAAACATTCTTTCTATAAAGTCTAGCTTTAATATACGTGCTAATATTAAATATTCAGATTTTATCAACCATCTCATGATGCCTGACAAAAAAAATGCCGTACTATGTCTTGGAAAATTTGGTACATCTACAATAGTTGTACCACATTGCATATACTCACACAGAAAGGAATGCTATTGTACCTCTCAATTTCCAAAGAATAAATTTTCTCCCTTCCTACGTTATGATTCAAGAAGGAGGTTCAGTAGCATTTGGAGATACCATAAAAGATCAGATGTATAAATATCCAGAAAGAGTAATTTTCGGAGTTAAACATTTGATCGGTCATAAATATCACGATTGTTCAGTTCAGGAACTGTTGGAGAATGTTGGTTTCAAAATTCAACCTGACGTAAATGATAATCCATTAATCGTAGTTGACGGCAAGAAATACATGCCCGAAGAAATCCTCGGTTTCTTGTTAGAACATGTAAAGTATACATACAAGAACTATACATGCCAAGAAGCAACAGACTGCGTCATTACAGTTCCAGCTTACTTCAACGATGCACAAAACAGCTGCAAGAATCGCCAACTTAAATATCCGCAAGTTCCTCAGCGAACCAACAGCTGCCGTCATCGCCTACAACAACATCTAACCAAAGGATAAAATTCATTTGTTAGTTTTCCACTTTGGCGCTCGTACACTCGATACTTCCATCGTTTACATTGATGGTCAGGTATTCATTGTCAAGGCTGTCGCTGGTAACTCAAACTTAGGTGGCGCAGATATAGATAAAATCGTCGCTGACTATTGCATTGAACAATTCAAGAAGAAGAAGAATTCTGATTTTAATCCAAAGGATCCAAACAACAAGAAAAACATGTTATGCATTTTGAAGAAGCAAAGATAGCACTTAGCTCAATGGATAACACACAGATTACTGTTCCATACTTTTACAATGGCCAAAATCTTAATGTCAAGATTAGAGTTACTAAGCTCAACAACTTAATTGAGCCAATTCTTGAACAAATCCCAACTCCAATTCATTCTGCCCTCAAAGCAGCTGGTCTCGAACCATTTAACATCGATAGCGTATTGCTTGTCGGTGGTTCCAGTATGATCCCAGCTGTTAAGGATAAACTTGAAGATATCTTCCTAGGAAAGATCAAATCCGCCTTAAATCCAATGAAGGCTGAATCTATTGGTGCAGCCACAATTTACCAGAAGTACATGAATAATCAAATCAAAGACTTCGAAGATGTCATAGAATATATCCGTAAAAGAGCTGATGACCAACCAAAAGGTAGATGCCAGAAATACCCAAAACATCTCAAATTGTAATAAATAACTACTCAGTTATATAATGATTCGTGTTAACATTTCTTTTTATCCATTTCTTGATGTATGAACAAAATGTTACTAGTTTCTATCGCATTTGGTATCTTTTTTTTTCTTTGAAAATCAGTGAATATATCCGATATATGACAAAGGATATTCGTTACTTGAATTATGTTGTTATCACGGAGTAGTTGATTGTTATATTATTCAGAACAAAATTCAGCTCAAAAATGAATTGAACATGTCTTCGACGTTCATTTTTGGGAGGAAATCAAGAGATATTGAGTGAATGTTTGAAATATAAGGGGTATTATTATTGTCGTCTGGCGGTTTTAGACGACAATGCGAATTTTCAAATAATAGGATTTTTAGCCAGATAAAGAGCTACTCCATATATCATGCGTGTTTGCATACTATATACATAGATGGAATTGATGTTCTTCCTTTATTTAGGTACCGAAACATGCTTGAAAAATCTATTTTTTAGACGACAATGATAATTTTGTCACTTTTCCAGACGACAATAATAATTTGTCACCTTTTTAGACGACAATAATAATTTTGTCACTTTTTCCAGACGACAATAAAACATCCTCGAAATATAAAAAGCTAAATAATGAATCTTTGGAATGTGCAATTATTTCGCACAACATTGATTTTGTTACATTCTTGATGAATAAGAACTATCTATAGATCAATTTACTTGATTGTATAGATTTTATTAATCTTGAAACATTTTTAATAATCTTGTTCAAACAAATGATTTTAAAAACTGCTTTATTAAATCAGCTATGTTGGATATTACATCCCACTGCGAGTATTTTCTTTCATTTTGGGCAAATGTCAATTATAAAGATGGACATGTAGAAAACACCTCTTCATTATGCGGCAGAAAATAATTGTAAAGAAACAGCTATAATTCTTATTTCTGATGATGAGAATAAGAATATGGAAAAACCGCTCTTCATACTGCAGTTCTTAAAAATAAAGCAGATATAGCAGAATTTCATATTGTACATGGTTCAAGTATCAATCAAAAAGATGAAGGTGGAAGAACCCCACTTCATATTGCAACGATTGATAATAGTAAAGAAATGGCTGAAATTCTTATTTCACATGGTGCGCCTATCAATGAAGAAGATAGTGCATGAAACACTGCCCTTTGTTATACTATTTCTTTGGAAATGAAGAAACAGCCAAACTTCTTTTTCCGCATGGCGAAAATGTCACTTAAGTTTTGAAACAAATGTTGATTACACATTATTAATTTTGTTTTGGAAAGCTAAAGTAGAAATGCATATATTGGCCTCACAATTCTCCAAATAAGTTGTGATCAACAAAAATTGAAGAGATAGTTTCATCTAGACAGCTTTGATAATGATTTTGATGAGATAGCAAACTGATTTGATATCGATGCAATCTTGAGTTTGATATATTGTACGTCTAGATATTTCTTGAGATGCTACACGCCGATAGAAAATGTAACCGTTTAGTAATTTTTTGTCAATGGATTCGAAATCCCAAGCACCACCTAAAATGGATGAGATGATTCAGAGAATTAACGAGAATGAAAAGAAGGTTACAGAAGAAAATGCTGTTCTTACCAAAGTTTCTCAATATCAACAAGAATTAATCGAAAGACAACGTCAACTTCTTAAAGATGTTGCACAAACAAATGCAGAATTACTTGCTATTGAACAAAAGCGCGCTGAATTAAAGAGTAAGTTATCATCCCAAAAGACAGCTTTACTTGTTGCTGCTTCTGAAGCTCAGGAGACATCTTCAATCATCCGCTCAGTTCTTGAAAATGCACCCGACACACCAATGTCTAGTACTAAATCCGGCCAAATGACTCTCAAGATTGTAGATGCAATTAGCCAAAGCATTTCCCAGCTTACAGAATCATGCATTGAATCACAGAACCTTTCTATTGATTCGTCAAAACTTCAAGGTACAATTGCAGACGTAAATAATTTAATACAAAAAGTTATGGATGCTGGACTTGCACAGGAATCATCAGAAGATACTATTCGCCGTCAGTCATATCTTATCTCCGCACTTGTTCAGACCAAAGACCAAGAATAAATTTTTTGAATACATTTCTTTTGTAATAAAATGAAAAATTCATTTTAAAATACATACTGCTTTTCTTTATGAATTTTATCTTGAAATGGATTGCAAATTAGGTAACCTAATATGTTAATTTGAAAAGATATTGGATTAATCAGATCATGACATCAAATATTTATCATAATAATGTGAAAAATGCTGATGTGCATGCGATCATAAAGGTTTGAACTGAAATATTACAGATTTAAACTAGATATTTTTATAATTGCTCTATTTTATATCAGAATGATGATTTCGCAATTGTAATTCACATTTTCATATTCCAATTATTAGGCTATCTGTTGGTATAAAGAAGGAGAATAAACCAAAATTGCAAAAGATTGAAAAAGGAGTGAAGGATAAAAGATATTATTAGAATTGAGTTGTAAATATATACATAAATTAAAAACAAATGAAATATGTTAATGTTTATTGTTTTTCGGAGGCATTGGGTTTATTGGGAGGCTATTACTTCTATTTTGATATCCTTGTGGTAAATTATATGCAATCTGAGGTTTTGGAATTGCATTTTGCTGGAAAACTGTCGGATTTTGAGGAAATTGTGAATTTACATATGGAAAAATAATAGGGCGCATTGTCTGATTCATCTGTGGCATCGCTTGGTTAATCTGAGGTACTGCGGGGTTCTGTTGCTCAAAATGTTCACCATCATCTGATAATTGAGGATTTTTCTTCTTTCTTCCTCTCTTTTTTGGTTGATTTATATTGATGTTAGTCTGTCCTATAGGCATTCTCTGCGCAATTTGGCTCTGTTGCTGGCTAAATTTTTGTAATTCAAAGTATTGGGATTTTAGCCTGTCGGTTATGTCCTGTAACGATTTGTCGGCGGTTTTGTCCTTCTGAATGTTCGGAGGCAAATAATTTGGTGGAATAATTTGATTTGACTGAACAGGAAGTTGATTTGGACGTGGAACATTAACAGGATGACTTATGTTACTTTGTTGTGGCATCATAGGAGGTTTTGGCTGTTTTGGAATTTGGATTTCAGAAATCTTAGGTGTAAGATGGGAAATTGCAATTTTTTGTTGTGGGATATGTTGGTATTCTCGTTGGTTTGGTGGTTGAACTGGAATATTTTGCTTTTGTTGAAGATATTGATTATATTGTTGTTTTTGTTGAGAAAATTGTATCTGTTGGTATTTAATTTGTTTGTCATAAGTATTGTTTTGCTTTTGTTGCATGTTTTGCTTTGTATTTGATGGATTTTGTTTTATTTGTTGATTTTGTGAAGAAATCGGTTGAGAAGGAGTCAAACTTGACGTGATTGTTGGTGTTGATATTGATCTTTGTTGAGTTGAAGAAGAATTTACAGGATTTTGAGAAATTGTAGATTGCTATTGTTGTTGGTGCTGTTCTGGAGTTGTCTGTGGAACAATTTTAGGTTCTGGTTGTTTTAATTGCTTCTTTTGCTTTAGTTCTTCAATTACTTTTATCATCTCATCATTAATGAATGGATTTCTAGTATTTTGACGGAATTTCGGTGGTTGTGGTTCTGGTACAGATGAAGTGTTGATAAAAGAGGCTAATTTGTTCACAATTGGATAATCATTTAAAAGATTGCATGGCGTTTCGGATTTTGATGATATTTCTGTATTAATTTCAATTGGCTTGTCTAAAAAGTCTGATTTTTCTGTTACTTCTTCTAAAACTCCGCTGGCAAATTCAGCAATTTTCTCTGCTTTGAATTTCCAAACGCCTTGGAGATGTATTGGGCGATTTTCAACACGTAATTTCAATAATTCTTCTTGTAGTTGCTTAATTTCGTCATCAAGTTGCTTGTCTTCGAATTCTAATTCATGAATTTTTATTTTGTAATCAAATGTTGCAGAATCCTTTCGTATTTGTAGGTCAGCTTTGTCCTCCATAAGCTTTTTGAAACTTTCGCCAAAAATATTTCGCTTTTCTTTAAAATATGAATCAGTTTTTTCGATTTCTTGCCTAATTTCATTATTTTCATTGACTAATTTCTCTAGTTCTGCAGATTCTATTTCAATTAGCCTTTTTAGTTCCTCATCAGGTAATTTTTCTAATTCATTTTCCCAATTCGCATTTTTATTAGTAGCAAACGTAGAATCGAATAGACTTAATAACATTTTTTGATTTTTTAAATCAAGTTGAGCTGTTAATGGACCATTCGTAAAATCCATTTTGATGATCTCAACTTGAAATCTAAAAAATGAAGTCATAATGAAGTCTTCAATATCCAATAGATGTAATAATATGATATCTCTAACATTAACACAATTAAAAGTTTATTTTTTTGTAAGCTTTAATTTAAACTTGGAGAAAATAGCATGGAACTTATCTAATATGAGCAAATGTATTTGTTTATAAGTACAAATGATCACTATGCTAAAGTATTGATCAATATGAGAGATAATTTATCAAAAAGATATAAGTTTTGGTAACTGTTAGCAAACCATATATCAAAACTTCAAGGTATTTAATAATTATAGCACACTCATAAATTTACACTTTTATTTTTTTATACAGGCATGAATCCTGTTAAGAATGAAATAAAAGTCAAATTATCTAACTAATGATTATTTTGGATAGGGTTGCTAATTTGGCTGATCTTTTTGGATGGTCCAAATTTGAAAAAAAAAACCAAAGATCATCCTAAATTCAAGTTTTGGATTTTTCTTTTTCAATTTTTAAGGATGCACTTACCACTTTCTGACACTCTCTCAAAAAGAGATATACGGGTGTGAAGAGGCATAGAAAATAAAACCTTAAACAAGAAATTTGAGAGAATGTCAGAAAGTTTTAAAAGCACCCTTAATATATATAAAATGGAGTGTTTGGCATCAAATGTTGGTATTAATATGGAATGTTTATTCTTAAATAATGCCAACGTTACTATCATTTGATATTTTTTGCACCATGTTCAACTAAGAAGTTGATGATTTCTATCGAATTTTCTTTGATTGCAATACTAAGGGGGCATTCATTATTATTCAAAGAATTTCATTAGAAGATGATAAATATGAAAATAGAGAGAATCCAATAAAACAATGATAAATATGAAAAGATTGAGAATCTCATAAAATGATAATATATATGAAAAGAAAGAGAATTTCATAAACCAATGATAAATACAAAAAGAAAAAGAATTGCATATAATAATGATAAATATGAAAATAGAGATAATGTAATAAAACTATGATAAATATGAAAAGATTGAGAATTGTATGATACAATGATAAATATGAAAAGAAATGGAATGTCATCAAATGATGATAAATATGAAAAGAAAGATAAAGATATGAAACACATGATAAATGTTAAAAGAGAGATAATGTAATAAAGCCATGATAAATATGAAAAGAAAGACAATAAGTTTCATGTTAACATCAGAACCATGTTCAATTAAGAGTTTGATGATTTCTATCGAATTTTCTTTGATTGCAATACTAAGAGGGCATTCATTAATATTCAAAGAATTTCATGAAAAGATGATAAATATGAGAATTGAGATAATGTAATAAAAGAATGATAAATATGAGAAGAAAGGGAATCTCATAACACAATGATAGATATGAAAAGAATGAAAATTTTATAAAATGATAATATATATGAAAAGAAAGAGAATGTGATAAAACAATGATAAATATTAAACGAAAGAGAATGTGATAAAACAATGATTAAGGATGGGCACTCATAGGCTCATGACAGCATAAAAATGTTATTATCTCACAATATAAAAGGAATCATAGGAATCTACAACTATATCTATATTGTTGGAAGACTTCTTAATGTATCATGCATATAAGTTATATCAATAACTCCATTATGTTATATGATTGTAATCATATTTTCGTTTCATGTTCAAAAACATTAAAATCATACTAACTATATGAGTATTATATTTAGGAAGCTGATATATAGATATGATAAAATGCTAGGTTTTGTGATTAAGAATATATACTTATCTTTTAGAAAATAATACTTTTATAAAAAATTATATCTTATATAATCTAAAAATTTTGGACAATTAAAAACATTAATTAAAAATAGAAGGTGAAAGTGTTTATTCAAAGAAGGTGCAAGATTATGATGTTTTGAGGGTGAAATAAATTTAATAATTATTTATGTGATTTAAGAGTAATACGATCATCGGTAGCTTGAAGACCTCTCTTTATAGCTCTTAATGCCGCAAACTTTTTTTGAACTTGCTTTGAATTTTTGAATGCTTTGATTAAATCTTTTGTTGGATCATACATTCTGAAATATCTGTTCATCATTTCTGGCATTGTTGGTAAATTTAACCTGTATCTTATTGCTACAATCGTTTCAAACATACTTTCATTGAAATGCAATATTGTGACTGCCATCCTAATTGGCCAAGAAGCATGCCAATTAATATTTTTATTAGCAAGCATTGCTTTGATATGGTTTATCGATTCAACTACTTGAGTTGAATGAATCTTTTTTACCATATCAAAGATTTTTACGGTATCTTCGAGGAATTTTTTAAGTGTTTTTATAGCAGTTTTATTTTTTGCATATTTCCATGGTTTAATCATCTTGCATTTTTCAGGATCTGGACAAAATTTATGATTTCCGGCATAATGTTTAGCGGAATTCAACCATAAAAACTTCTTTGTTTTAATTGACATATGTGTGTCATTGAGAAGTTGCCTAAGCCAACGCAATAAATTCTTTGAAATGCTAGATAAGATTCTGAATTCTGGCAGTTTGAGCTTTTTCTGTATATTGTTAAGAAAATGTCCAGGATCTCTGTATTCTCTGATACCTTTGAACGTATTTTTGATTGTAGAAACAATTTTGACATCGCCATCATGCACAAAAAAATTTACACGTTTTTCATTATTCCAACGCTTCAGCATTCTTTTTAAGCCTTCAAATTCCATTTCATTTGATTTTCCGTTGAAATTACCTTTGAAATTTTTAAAAGATTTAGATATCACTTCCCAATCTACAATTTTTTTGAGTTTCTCTTCTACAAATTGTACATAGCAAAACATTGCATTTCTTCTCTGACTCCAAGAACCGTCAAACAAAAGTCCCGAACATTTTCTCATTCGAGATTTCCAATAATTAACAGATTCTCTGGCAACTTCTATGATAACACGACCAACCTTTTCTTGGACTCGATGAAATGTAGCTTCTGACGGAACTTTGATGTTATTCATCATGAATTGAAATTCTGATTGGCAAAATGTAGCGCCGCTCAATAATACAGATAGCACAAATTCAACAGTGTTGACGACATATGGCTCTACCCTATTTTTTCGCGCTTTGAACTAAGTTCTTTATACGCTTTGCAACTGCTTTTGTTCGCCGCGGCATGAAAAATGAAGAATAACTTGACGGTTTCTTGAACAAATGGTCGCACATTCAAATATTGTGATGTACGATCAGGATAAAAGAATGTTGTTGCCGTGAATTTAGAAAATAGCAAAATTTCAATTTACGCAATCGAGATATAACTTGATCGTTTGAGCGATAACCATGGCACCCATAGTATTAATGAAAGTACTCATACTTACAATTATTTTCTCCCATAGGAATATTGTTCAATATACTTCACCTATAGAGGAAATCTCGAAATAAAATCGAATTTTTTCAAAAATTACAAAAATCAATTTTTTACAAAGATGTTCGAAAAATAACATTATATACGCATCAAATCAAAGCATTATATGGAGCATTATAATTCTATATATGATTGTCCATCTTGCTGTTGTGCTATTTTTTTAAACAATAATTTCATTGTTGAAATTAAATTTGCAATTTCAGTAAAAATTGCGACCCATCATTTTGAATATAATTGAATTAATACATTTATTGTAAGAATATTATATACCAAATATTAGACTTCCACATGAATCCTGGTATGATATTATAAGTATTGCAAAATTAGAAAAAAATATGCTCATGATATACTAAAATTCATGTTTCAAGGTTAACTTATAAATAAAATAAGTTCGAGAAATGCATCACTAAATATTTGAGCTTGTGCACTATAATGCTATATAATAGTCTTCACTGTTTTTAATATATTGACTTTGCTAGACTTGATTTTTTTCATCACCCTAATGAGTGCCCATCCTTAAGATACCCAGCAATTTCATAGTTTCGATAATCCAATGCTGTACTAATCATGCTATTAAATGATTTACCATCTTCTATCATTTGCATAAAAATCTCTTTATTTCCGCCTTGAACAGCATATTCTTCGGAGTAAGAAGTGTATTTAGCTCCTAAATTTTTCAAGTAATTGAAACACAATTCTGATCCATATTTTATTGCACAGTCAAGTGGTGTGATTTGATAATCTATTTGCTTATTAATATCAAGATTTGGGAATTTATTCTTAAGATCATCAACTTTATCCCATGCAATAAAGTATAAAGGAGATTCTGTGGAATATAAATTCAGAATTTCTTATTCTTTCTTTGTAGGTTTGAAATTTTCGAATTTGAGACCTTGATAATGTAACAGTGTCGCTAGTTCCTTATTTTCTGGTTTGCTGTTGTATGAAAATTCGGTTGATACCTTTTGATAAAGTTCTGTTAATAATTTAATATCTTTAGAATGAATTCGTGAAATAATATCAATCAAATAAAGTGACATTTGGATAGATATTTTGTTGTTTGCAATGAATTCTATAATTTTTGAAGATGTTTGTAAAATATTAATGGAATTGACACCCCAAATCATTTTTGATGCTTGATCAGGGTATTCAAATACTTCAATTGGCTTAATGCTACTAAAATCACATTCAGTTTCATTTTTTGAGTGCTCTGAACTTGACATACTTCGACAAAAAAAATTATATCCAACTTTTATTTGGTGGTAATTTTTTTTGGATTTGAAGGCTGAATTACTGATTCTGATTCAACAAAAATTGCACGGTTTGGTTTTAAACTGCAGAACAAAACATTGTCAGTATTTTTTTTGAAAACAATTTGAAGAAAGACAACTCATATTGCGAATTAAAAAATGAGTATGTTATTTTGCTCCAACAAACTAGAACATCCCATAAAATAATCATACATTAGATAATATGCACGAAAATGTTTACATTAGAAACGAAATTTGAATAGGCTGCTAGTAATAGGTTCATTACTAAACCTTTACAGATTTTTGTCTCTACGATCTTGAGATACAAGGTGCATTTCTCAAAATTCATAGCTCGTGATTATAATTTTGCAGCAAATTTATTAATTGAATGCAAATATTTGATCTTAAAAATTCCAACGTTACGACTAAAATATTTGCTTAACGAAACTCTATTTATAATGAATAAACACTCTTTTTTATCTAATAAAATATTTATTTCAACATCTAAGATTTTACAATAACAAGAACATATCATTCCGATATATGCTTATCTTCAAAACTCTATTTAAAAAAAGATGCTATATTGCATATGCAGTAAAAATCAAGCTTTATAGATTGACACATTGAAATTTTACTTTGCACAAAACAATATACTTGTTCTAGTAAAATCTTTTAAACAATATATGATATTTGATGTGATACATGTCTAGACCAGAAATGGAAATATGAACATGAAAAAGACGAGTTATGAGAGTTGTTAAAAAAAGCGGTTATAATCGTCGTCCTTCTTCTCCATAAAACATATATTTAGCAAGTTCTAACTTTATTTGATTTGATCTTTCAAGACTAATTACACCCATATCAGTAATAGTATACTGTATGCTATTATACATTTTCCTAATTAAAGTCTCTGAATTTGAAAAAAAGTTATGTTGGACTAAGCTTCTTTCTCTTGATGGCAAAAAAGTGACGTTAACTTTACATGGAATATTGTCAGAAATAAAATAAATGGCGAAAGTTTTGAGCGAATCTCACTTCTCTCGCCTTGTTTCTGCAACAAAACGGCCAATTGAAGACATAAATGAAATTGTTGCTGCGTTACAATCATTACGCAGTTCGATTTCATTGAAATGGTTTGAACAATTTTCTGATTTTGAACCAGTAACATCCATGGTCGAAGTATGGAGACTTTTATTTCATCTTTCTGGACACTCAGAAGCAATCATCAGACTCAATTCTTATTCATGTTTAGGTGCAATTATTGTTACTATCGCGCCAATATTTCCCAAGGTAATTTCATCATCATTTTCACAAGCCGTACTAGAAATAGAAGTATCTCCGAATGTTTCCATTGCAATTATTAGTTGTTTTACACATTTAATTCACTTTATTGCACCAATAGAAGTCAATAATTTCATTCTTAATACGCCCGTGCTACATCATTTCGGAATAGATGTAAGTCAGTACATACAACATCTTCCACATATTGTTAAATTAATGGGACCTTTAGAAAAACAGTTCCATCAAGCATTACTACGCTCTCTGCTCATCTCATTCGGAAGAAATCCAAATCATTCATTCGTTGAAGTCGCAAATATATTAATTTCGATGAATCCAAAAATATTAATCCATGATACTTTGGAATTTTCACGATCTAACAACTTAAATCAAATCATTCTGGCTTTAGGACCCGAAATATTACAAAATCCTACCATTTACAATGAAGTTGTTTCGAATAATTACTTAAATGATTTTCTTAACATGTCTTTATCAGTTTTAGAGACAGAAACACAAAATCTCACTGATTTTGAACGTGCTTCATCTACTCTCGTGTTAATTGCAAGGAATTCTCCAGAGCATTTACAAAAAATTTCCGAAAAATGTTCAAAATTAACAATTCCTAAGCATTTGAGGAAATTCTATGTATTGCTACCTGTTCCTAAGGAAGAATTACTACCAGACGAAGCAGATCCAAGCAGTCTGGCCTGTGCAAAACTCAGAGCTTTGAAAGATTTCGTAATTAGAAACAATAATGAGGAAGGAAAGAAATTTGTAATAGACATATTAGTGGAGACACATAAGAAGGCCACAGGAGACATCTTCTGTGCATTTTGCGAAGCGTTTGGCGATCCATTTAACATTTTATTTACGATTTCAGATGAAAATTCCAAAAAACAGTTGGGAAATATTCTCAATTCAATTTTGAATATGGACAATCTCAACTGGGTACAACAAGATGCCATTGTAAAGTTATTTGACGTATTAGATGTGAATCAAGCTGCAACAGCCATTGATAAATACGTACCTCGTGCTCAGAAGCATCTCCTTGAGTGTTGCTTCTCATCACATGAATCCCTTTCAGCTAATGCAATTACGGTTTTGACAAATTTCACTACTCTGCTTACGATACATCAGATTGTAGCGGATATATATAAATATGACATGTTCAGCATCGATGTTGCCTTTAAGATATTGAAATTACTGAATTCTCTTCTGGCAGAATTCGGAATTTCGAAACCTCTTAAAGAGATCGCTCCAACTGTAGAAGAAATAATCATGTTATACGAAGACCCTAAGATTGCTTCCGAAGGTTTCCTTTATCTCGCAAGGCTTAAGCACGAATCGAAATCTGTCCCGGTAATTGCAAGGGCGGCTGACTGGATGAACGCAATATTCGCGTCATTCACACAACGAGAAATGCAGATGGCCTTCGATTTCAACCATTTGGAGATTCCAAATTATTTAACTTTGGTTGAAACGGATTTAGTGGCCAATATCCTCCCGACAACTTACGAAGCTGTTCCTGGTATCATAAACTGCTTCGAATACCTCATAAACTGCAAATTGATCAATATGCAGCTGATTAATCTGATGGCATACCAAATTTTGCACCTTTTCCCAAGAGAAGTCGCAGCCCTTTGTATGCTAAAGCTCGATACATCATCCCAGGAGTTTGTAAACCTTGCTTCCGCGATACTTACGATAATGAATTGGACATCAAGTATAGATTCAGCGGCAACATGCTGCGATTTCATAGTACAAGCTCCGAAAGTCATTGTAGAAGGTGCTGCAAAGAATGTTTCAGCGATTCTGGAGTCAGGAAGAGTAAAAACTGGAGATAATTTATTCAGATTTTACAGAATTCTTAGTTTGACTGACCATAACCTTGCTGAAGACCTTTGCAGTAGATGTAAGGAACAGTTGCCGTATGGAGAACGCGTTATTTTTGATTTAAAGAGAGGATTATCAAATGATGTCAATAGATACATATCTTCAACACCTTTTGAGGATATAAACATCAATGATGCCGATCTTTATACTTATATATCCGGAATTGATGCAAAAGGAATACTTTTTGTTGATAATTTTGAAAAATTATCTTCAAAGCATTGGAAATACATTGTTAAGAACTTAGAACAGTTCAAACCAATGATACAAGAATACATGGACAAGCACATCTACCAAATGAATCACTACATCGAAAATATTGATCCGACAAAAGAATTTTCTTTCGTTCCAGAGAAAGGAAGCAAGATTTCATCATTAGCGCCAAGACTATTGAACGGAACATTCCAGTTTAATGCTCCTTTACTGATGAATTTCTTCAGATTTTCTTTTATCAAAATAAAGGAAGATATTATTGGGCCAATACTCTACGAAGCCATCAGAAAGATTGATCATCCTGAAGTTGCCGATCTTTGTGGCTATATAATTGATTATTGCACCAGATATAACATTATTATCCCAGAAACAGCCGTTTTATCTCTTTTAGAGGTAAAAGACAACATTCTCATGAAGTATCTGATGAGATATGCTGGTAAATGCCCTTATAGCGACAAGATTCGTGACAAAGCAATAGAAATATTGAAACTTGACAAAAATCCGGACATTTTCGAGATGATTCAGTTCGGAAAATCAGTTTCTCTTGTAGATATCGCGTTCTATTTGATTGCACAGCAACAATTTGAAAATTATATCTACAAACACGGAACATCAAAGAAGAGCATCATCAAAATCACACAGACAGTCCAGAGATTTGACGTTCCGTTGGATACTCTTACGAATATTGCTGAATTTGTCATAGAAAATATCGAAATTCTCGGTGAGAAGCCAAAGAAGCTCCAGAGATCACTCAGACTATTAAGAATAGTACTATCAAGGATAGTTGATTCGAAGAACCAAGAAAAGAAAGAAATTATGGACGAACTCACCGCAAAACTCGAAAAATTAACGATGATAACCGCTGGAGATAGTTCTATGCATAACGAAATCGCTGGAATATTTAGCGAATCAATGAAAATTTCAGCACCAACGGATAAAATCATTAATTTCATTATAGAATCGGACAGTGGCCTTGGAGCCCATTCTCCTTACACAGCAGATATATTTACTATCTTCTGCCTTGGCCAATCCCTTACAAAAGCTTCGAGATATACAATGACATTATTATTTGAGTCGCAATTGCGCTCGGAACAAGTCATTGCAATGAGAATTTGTCTCTCAATGGTATCTAAGACCGCAAACAACTTAGCGTTCAATCTTTTCGCTTCAATTTTGCAGAATTTCTTAAAAGCGATTTCTCCAACCCCAGAAACCGAATCATTCTATTGGCCGTATCCAGAAATTGTCAGTGTAATTATCCATAGAATTATTTCCCACCCTAGATTTAATGAAGTAAAAGATTCCTTCCTTAAATCGGCTCTTAGTTCCGTAATTCCTCCTCCCAGCCTTGCTGCCCTTTCATCTCTCAGCGCCGCTTTCGGAGATATCATTCTCTGCCTTTCACCTCCTCAGCCACTCGCCGGTGAATACGCTGAAAAATTTGCCAGATACAATACTTCTCATCCTAACTTCAGTTCCATTTGCAAACCATTCACTGCATGGCAGCTGAAATACGCCAGGAACGAAGAAGATGCGACAAACATATGGCTGGAAGCAGTGAATACAAACCAAAAAGCATTTATTGCACGGCCATGTCTCCAAACCGCTATTGATTTGGCCGACTCAGTGGCCGCACGCTTTGATGCCGAGGAAAGCGCTTTCCTTCTTGTTGGAAAACTCGCTCTTCTCGATCATCCATTCCTTTGGACTTATCTCTGCATCGCTATGTACTTGAGAAGGTCTACTGATGATGCTGGACAAAGTATCCTGAAGTTGGCTGAAGACGTCGCTGATGCAATGCCTTCAAAAGAGAGATTTGAGGCAATTAAGAACTTATGCGAAGAAAAAGTTATGAAAGGTGCCCTTATTGCATCTAATTGTTAAATATGTTTTAGTTTTATTTATATTGCATATGTAATTTTTTTTATTTGTTTTGATTTTAGATGGATAATTTTAGTTTTATTCTATTTGAGGCAAAAATACAAAAAAGTTCATTATAAATTGCCATGTATAGTTTAAATATTGAACAATATTGATGTATTTAGCATCCCAAATGTTAAAATTGAAAAATTTCAGTGAAAAGATATTATTAATAGATTGTCTTACAATGATTTTCATTAAATATTAGCATGTTTTAATAATATTATATAGTACATTACCAAAAAAGGATTGAATTTGATTTCAATCCAAATTTTTCAAGATAAAATCTTCAAACACAAGTATAACGTCATGCACATCTTAATAATATCAGAGGAGAAGTTAAGATCTGAATTAAACACAATTTTGAGATTCTCAAAATATTGACATATTTGTTGAGAGATCTTTTTGGGATCACATGCTTGTAAACGTATATACATTATTATATCCGCAGGGATTCGTAATTGTACGTTAATTATTTCTCAATATGCATTCAATTAACACTATTATTTCGGATTTAGATCATCTCTTAAATTTAACATTTTCGAACTATAAGCGACAGGAAGAAGTTCATTTTGATTGGTTAAACACAATTTCATTCCAATTAAATTTATTTTCATCATCTGCTTCATCATTTAACTCCAATTCATCTCTAGACTCAAAAGATAATGATGAAAGACCTATTGGAGAACTTAGGAATTCAATAAACTCGCCAATCAAATCAGAGTTGAAACATAGCTTAAATAACTCAAAATCTAGCATTGAACGAAATAACCAAAATTCAAATTCTAACGTAAGTCGAGATCAAGAGAGTTCATGCTTAAGTACTAATAGTTTAAGCACTTCTTCAATTAAATTCATTTGTGATGACTCTATTTTAATTGAAACATCATCAGATGATGATAACACATTGGAAAATAACGAATTATATTCACCACCCGCATCTCCATTTGCACTTTCAGGTTCAGTTGAAGAATTAACACAATCAGCATATTCATTTCGAGAAGCATGGAAAGAAAAACTCAATGAAAAGAAGCAAGAAGTCAAGATTAAAAAGACATCTTTTAAGTTTGCATTCGAAGAAGCTGAAGAAGAGTCAGAAAACTATCAAATGTCCGATGATTGCGATGAAGGAAATGAATTCGAAGATGAATATGAGATGTATGAAAGGAATCCAATTGAAATTCACGGAAAAACAATTCCCCATTGGGCCAGAGGTGAACAACTTGAAAAAGAGCTCAAAAAACAATATCACATCAATCCTGACGAAATCTTCTTTGACTTCCCGATGGAATGTAATCTTGAAGAAATATTTGATAGAACAAACCAGAAGTGGGCAAAAAGAAACGAAAGTGGATACTGGGCTCATGATGGAATTACCAGAGAAGAAATTGAAAATTATTCAAAGACCAGATTCAAAAACATATGAATAAAAAGTGCGGCATTTTATTACTTTAGTTAGAGATATATTTGATTATGCTAAAAATTAACATTTTTCTATGAAAGAATCAATATTCTTTAACCATCATGAAGCCATCAATTTTCAGCATAGAATTTAACAAACAAACATGTGAGGACTATTATTTACTATATTATCATATACCAATTTTGAAATTTATTTCATATTTTTTATTAGATGGTAATGTAATGCTTTTTAGAGAGTATATTAATCAGCTTATTTTGGGTAATATGATATAACTATTATTTTATAGTAAATCTTATTCAAAACCTAAATATATTTTTATGACAATGGCTTTATTGAAATAATAGGTTTATTAATCATAATAAGAGGTACACCCATAAATTTTATTTTAAAAATGAAATTATTTGACCTCTTGGATAACATTCTGGATATTTTGAATTTCAGCTGCTAAATTCTGAACAGCTTCTGGGGAGAGATTGAATGCAAAAGCGCCATTCGTAGTAGTGATTTGGCATTTAACTGTAGGCTGAGCAGATGACAAGCCAAATTTAGAATCTGATGGAAGAGTCGAAACCCACTTGAAATCAACTAGTCCTGGATTTAGTGGGCAACATTGTGCATAATGCTGTTGAAGATTTACCATATTCTTTACGTAATATTCTTTTAATCCTTTCGTAATAACATTTTGTTCGACGAATTTTTCGTTAAGGAGATTTGTAAATGCTTCTTCCTCTAAGTGTTGTGCTAAAGCTTGACGAAGAACAGCTAATAATGCCTTGACAAGAGTTTCTCTCTGATGTGTGTCGAAATCTAATAACTTACTGTTGAGAGTTTCCTCTTTGGAGTAGCCCAAAACAACATCAACGACTGTTTTGATGATATTCTCTAACCGTTCTTCATCAATCGATTCCATTTCAAATGTCACTTTTTACGATAAATGAAGTAAAAGCATTTCTCGTATTTATCATCAGGTATAACAATATGTATGATGATGTATTCTATATAACTCATTATTTTTCATATGATTTCTTAATTATTGCACTCTATTTCGAATCTGGATTTTATGAAATAATTTTCTCATCTACAAGATCATGTAATATTTTCTTTCGAACCAAATTGTATCATATTAGAGCAATTAATCTCTGTAAGTCCTCAGGAATGGAAGAATCTGCTTAAATAAGTTATTGAATAGTGAATTCTCAATATAAATAGCCAAAACTAAATGTGTATTTTGAAACAAGTCTTTCAAAAATTGCATTGAGATCTTAGATTGAGTTCTTTGATATGATTTATTTAAAGATATTTTTAGTAAAAGCCTCATTGACAATATTATTTACAAAGTACTTAAAAGCAAAAGGTTAGAACGAGATGCTATTCAATTTTACACACGCAGAGTCTTAAATTAAATTGAGCAAGCGAGAGAATCAAAATTAAATTATAAAATAAACGTACATTTTTTGTAAACTGTGCTAGGATTTGATGGAAACTAGCTCAGTTGGAGATTTTCTACCATCTCATATACCAGATGAATCCTCCGATAAGAAATTCTCTACTAATTTTTCCACAATTAATGTTTTTCCAAGATTTATACATTTTATTAGCTTTAAAACTTATGAAAAACAAATTAAAAAGATTTTAATTTCAAACTCATCTGATAAAGCATTTGAGGCTTTACGTAATTTGCCCCAAAATTCACCATTTTCGATTCCTGAAAGCCAAATTTATATTGAACCTGGAAAATCAAAAACCGTACATATTATCTACTACCCAACTACTATCGGAGAATCAAAAATTTTACTTGATATAGATTCAATCACGAAAACGCAAATAAATATTACAGGAAATTGCTATGAATCACAAATTATTATACCAGAACAAAGCTCATACTTATGGAATTACAATATTCCTTTTGATAAAAGTCATACAATTCCAATAAAAAATATTGGAAATGATGAAGTTAATCTTACAATTTCATGCAATTACTCAAATGTTCATATCGAAAATAATCATCTATGCATACATTCAAATCATACCGAAAGCACTATTGTGAGAATTGATGAGATAAATGCAGAAATTTCAAATATTGAACTTTCACTTACAGATGTAAAACAAAACATCAGCATTAAACGAAAACTATCTATCACTAAGACCAATATAGATTCAAAGCCTAATGAAACAAATCAAAATGAAATCAATAATTGTATTTCATTGACAATTGAAGCAGAAGATAAAAAATCAAAGCAGTTAACAGAGCCCAAAGAAAACATTGCAATTTCACATGACGAAGAAGAATGTGAAATTGAAATTAAACCAAAAACATTGATTTTTCATCAAAACGAAGATGAAAATGATATTTTCAGAAAAATTCAGATAATATGTGAGAATGAGTTTCATATTGAAGGTCCAAAGTGGCTAAAATTCCCTATTTACATCCCATCCTCACGGTTTTTCAAAATTTATTTGAAAAAAATAAAAAGAGAAAAAGTTGCTGCACAAATTAATGCAATAACTAGAGGAAACTCTGCTTCAATCCCAATAATTGCATATAAAGGTATTAATTCTGTTGAATTTCCCCGCGAAGTTTGCTTAAAGTATTCTTTACAAAATGAGTTTCATGGGAAAATGAAGGTTACAAACACAGGTGATATCAATGCATTTGTTGTAATCACAGTTGATCAAAAGAATTCTAAATTACTACTTTCAACACCATCTGCAATAATTCCACCTCATTCATCACATTATTTCGAATTCACGATGAAAGGAATTCCTGAAGGATCATTACAATTTCCAATAAAAGCTTTTAGTGGTGATGAAATACTTAGACAACTATTGTCGGCATTAGATCCAAATAACTTTTTCTCCAAGATGTTCAAGAATATAAAAGTCTCTGATGAAATAGAATTTGCAGATAATTTTATAAAACAACTCGATTTACATGTTGTTTCAGAAGAGTTTGAGAATAGTTTGAGATATAATGATATTTTAGTTTATAATGAATCAATCACAGTTGCCAAGAAAGTATTTGTTAGACCAGAATCTTTGTCTGTATTGATTAATAACAGTTCCAAGTTTACAATTTCAAATTTATCATCAGATAAATTAAACTTCACATCATTTGCATTTAATCCATCAGTATCTGTATACCCACAATCAGGTATAATCATGGGATATAGTACAATCACATGTACTGTTGAATGTAAAGAAGAAGTTCAATCTTCAATTGAAATTCATACTAATGTGGGAAATTTCACAGTTCAAATATCATCAGAGGATATAAAACCTATTAGAATCAAAAAGGGTAAATATCAAGCACCATTTTCTATCAAAAATAATGAAATTAATTTCGGATTATGTGAAATACTCAAAACACGCAAGCATAATTTATGTATTAGAAATCTTGAAGATAAAGAAATCCAAATCATATTAAATTGCATATCAAATTTCACAAAAATACATAAAATTATCAAGTATCCCAAAATGTTAAAATTACAGCCATATGCAACATCCGAGTTTGTTATTGAGTTCATGCCAATACAAAAGGTTACTTATGAAGCAGATTTAGAATTAACTTTTAATAATTATTCAAAAAAGATTCATTTAACTGGAAGTGGAATTAAGAAGCTCCACGAGGAAGTAATAGGATGTGATATTGATAATATTACGTTCCCAACATCACAGATAAACACGACTTCTACAGCCACAATCAAAATCTTTAATAGAACTGAGAATAAATGCACTATTAATGCAATTGTTCCTTATCCATTCAAATCATCATGCAGTAATTTTGAAATAGAACCCAAGAAATATGTTAGGTTTCCAATAGAATTCACGCCAATTACATCTGGGTCATATAGCTCAGATATTATATTTGCTCCAAATAACTTACCACATTTTATGGTTTCAGTTAGCGGAAGAGCAACAAATTAATTGTTATTTTTCATGTTATTTATATATAAATATTAGATCGTATGAAAAAATTGAATTTTAAGTTATTGTTCCCTAAGCTATCACAAAGTTGATGATAATATCACATTATTATCAAACAATAATGACTAATCAAAATTGAGAATATTTAGTTAGCTGGTTATTAATACATTACTGCCAGAATTATATTATCCTTCATCGGAATGAACAATTGCAGCCACAAGTGATCGCAATTAAGAACTTTTTGTTATGATTGATAAATGTTCGAAGTTGGTTGGCTGTCTAAGGTATTTTTAAATATCGCTTACGCATAGATGAGAGTTGTAAGACTTGAAAAACCGAATTGAAGATTAAAATAAAAAAAAGACGATTTATTCTTTAGGACTCATGACAATATGCATTCTTTTTTTGATTTAATGTAATATATCGTGCATTATTGTTTAGTCGAGTGATTTAGGAACAGCACGGAGAGTAACTTCATATCCATCAGTTTTGATTCCAGCTTCGTTCAGAATGCTCTTAAGAACGCTTTGTGGTACATCAATCTTAACGATTCCATTTTTGCCCTGTGGTTTGTGGTCTTTTTTCTTGTCTTTTGTATCGTTAGATTTATTATTGCGGTTCTTATCTTTCTTATCTTTCTTCTCCTTTTTCTCCTTCTTGTCCTTCTTATCTACTTTGCCTGTTTTCTTTGAAGCCCTTTCCTTTTTAGCTTCCAATTTCTTCTTCTTGCTGATTTCATCAAGAGAGAGAAGAAGATTTGGATTAGCAGCAGTTGACTTGATAACTGGTGCTTCTTTGGCTTGTGCGGCACTGAACTCGAAAACAGGTTGGGTCATTACTGGTCGATGACTAAAAAACGGTTTATTTATAGTGCAATTCACTTTCATAAATTAAGACAGATGTCAACATAGCTAAGCTATCCAATGTATCTTTTAGAATATTACCATATGAATCTACTTCATCTTCCTTTGCTCTGAATAGCACTACTAAAATCAAAGTTTTGATATTCAATTTTGATTTCACATTTTTCGAGAATTATAACTTGGAAAAGTGATTTTATATTCAATAGAATTCATTAGATGCATCATCTGGATTGTTGTTTCTTTTGCGCTTCTGTCAAGCTTTGATTTTTATTTTTAATTTTTTTTTATGAGCAATAAACATTAAATTAACTTGAGTCTGGATTTTTCATGCAAGTTCCATATGTGGAGATATATCATGTTTCAAAAGAAAGGATATCTAATGAAATTGAGCCATTGGAAATGATTTCTTCTTAAGATTAAATATAATATATGTCTACTGCATTGTATAATATGTTTTATTGTTACTTTTAAACAAAACATAGTTATTGAATGAGCCAACTTATAAGAATTTGACTCATTCATGGAAAGGTGTGTAAATATTTAGCTCTTGACTAGGTCTGAATTTCATGTTAAACATCTTTTAATGATTTCTATAATATATTTTTTATTATACATAAATGACTTCATATTCACCTATTTAGGTCAGCCCGCTTATGATTTAATAGAAAAATTTATATTTGCCAAGAATAAAAGACTATTTATTCAACATGATTAATAATGGAGTAAAATAGAATTTGCTATCAAACAATTATATCTCTAGGCTATTATTTCGCGTCCGGAGTAATTTTAATGCGCTCTGAAGCCATGTTGACCATTTCATAATATTTCTTAGCATCTTCAATTTCTCCATCGACAGGGGTATATAATTGGATATCATCTGGTATTCTATCTTGGAATGTCAATAAATTAGGCTTTTCTTTTGCGTTTTTAGCCTTTGCGATGATTATTGGCTTTGGATCTTCTGGTTTTAGTTGAGTTAGAAGCCAATTCAAAGACTTAACACTCAACAATGTCTGACCAGGGCTTGAAAGATCTGGGAAGTAAAACGTGATAAAAACATTTTCGTATTCTGAATAAAGTTTTGGCCATTGCTTACGCGAAAGCCTCGAAGAATCAGCTACCACGAATGAATATGTAATTTGACTAAATGCTGTTGTCATGAATGTTTTATTCAAAGAATCTGCAAACTGTTGTTGTCCACGGTCTGGAAGCCCGTATATAACGCATGTTGCCTTTACCTGATTATTAAGTTTCTTCTGTTTGCTTTTCTTTCTGTCTACAACTGAGCCACCGCAACCCATTGAAGATTTTAGAAGAATCACGTTATTTTCAACACACCGAAGATTTTGTTCATATTATTATCTAGAATTAACAAGCGTTCAGAATATATGATTTTTTAATGTTCAATGTAACAATACGATAGAAATTGCTTTTTTCTGGTCCCAAAAATTTCGAATTTCTCTCCCCAAAATGTATACATGACTGGATTTAAAAGCGTTATATCTCAATGAATTTGTATAACAATTCGATTTGAATAGTAGAACTTTAGACGTAAAGTGGTGATGCTTTAATTCTGCAAGTTTTGTATATAATTTTATAGGGTAATCTTTTCTTTTTATCTTTATGGAAATAATATATTGCTTTAATATGACATATTACTGATATGCATGATAAGCACTTCATTGCGCTGAGTTTCCTATAGTAATGTTCTTTTTTTTTGATTTTTTGGGAATAATTTCTGGAAGTGTGCATATTTCAGTTTTCTAATCTCCTTTATGAAAGATGATGTATGTTGCATTCCGGCATATATGAAAAAGATATGGAAAGTTGAAAGTAATAACTTTAATAATAATTTTACTCAAAATATTATATATATTTATTTGTTTTCTGATAAGAGAGGCTCACCAGAAATAATTTCATCGTCAACATGATGGATGAGCTTGACTTCTTCTGTATGATCGACCCAGAATCCGAGGAATGTAGAGACAATAAGAAGAACAACACCAAACCAGCTGACGACATGCATCCAGGCTGTGTATCCCTTGAAATCATGAAGGAAAACGACACCAGCGATGACACCGATGGCGATTTGGCCGAAGTTGACAAGTTGTGACTTAACAGCACCGAAAACTCTTGCAATCCAAAGGCAGATGGATGAAGATGTAGCTGTGTAGCCGCAACCGATGATAAGTGGCCAAATGATTTCTTTTGTAGGGTGGAAGTAAGCGTCAATGTTAACCTTTGGACCATTACGAATGAAAGAGAAGATTTGTGAGTAAACTGTAGCTCCCAAAAGCTGGAACCAGACGCAGGCTAAGAAATCTGCCTGAACTTGGAAGAGTTTGAAGAAAACAGAGCCAAAACCGAATGAGAGAATTGAAATGAATGTCATCAGCATATCATACCATTTTGGTGTTGTGATTGTTGCTCCAGTATTAACAAATGGTGGAACGCATGTCAAGCCACAACCAATAATTGCAATGAAATGTGGAATTGTCTTTGCCCATGTAAACTTTTCATCCGGAAGGAAAAGAGATGCAAAGACAAGAGATGCTGTTGGGACAAGTGGCTGTGTAACTGTAACAATTGTAGAGGCGACTGTACGTTGACCAAGAGCAATCATTGAATGTGGGAAACCATATTGAAGGAGACCAAGGATCATTGATTTCCACCAGCATGTATCGCCGCGCTGCATTGATGCCCAGACAAATGCACGATACTTCTTTGATACACCAATACGGATGCAAAATGCAATGGTAATTGTAAGGAATGCAAATGTCATTCTCATAGAGATGAACATAATGTTATCATAAACCTTGTAGCCAAGTGTGGAAACTGCATATTGCGTACCGAACAAGAAGCAAACGAAAGCAAAGGCAATATATGGAAGAATATTAAACTTCTTTTTCTCTTCGTCAGCCATTTTTTTGTAAAGCAAACAAATGTCAGTTCAAAAATTGAAAGCTTTCAGATGGAAATGAAATGGTAAACCCCATCAATTAAAAATAGATTTTGGTTGAGTGAATTATGTTCAGTTTGCTAAAAGAACCTAATTTCATAATTTTTCGAAGAAGTCGATTTCTATCTTCAGATGAAGTTTACAACTATACAATTTTATTCTCCATTTTTCTTCATTTATTCTGCCAATTAAATTCTCAAAGATCAAGCTTGCAACTGAAAGTTCTGGCAAAGTATGTGACTTTAAATTAAGATCTTGATTTAGTTCATTTGAACTCATTGATATTTAATAATCTGATCATGCAACTTATAATTGGGCACCATGGAGAAACTTCTTGACTTTTTGTGATAAAAACAGTAATATTATCTAGCATATTCTTGCGATATCAGTGAAATTCTTACATGATTTAAGGGCTCACTGCCTTAGTTTACAACTATTCTATGATAGAATTGATATTTTTATGAATAAACTTAAATATAGCATACATTGATAATGCTCTATCTTTTCATTGTTTCAAAATCTAAAAAAGATCTCTGGAAGATGACTCAGGATGTAAATAACGTTATTTTTTTGTAAACTAATGCGGTGATCCCTTAAGAAATAGGTCAAACTAGATCAGGTGAATCAAATAATCTACATCCCAACAAAAAAATCATTATCATCAATATCGCATATAAAAAACATTTAATACAAACATATAAAAAAATTAAAACAGAGATTCAGTATCATATGGTTCTATCATATCCAATCTCTTTTTCAGTTCCTTCTTACAGAATGGCTTCCAAAGAGGAATCAATGAAAGAGATTTTGCAAATTTTTGATCTTCATCTGCTCTATCTTTGCACCAAATCAAGAAGTCATAAGATATTGATGTTATGAAGAGATTTGTTGGCTTTGTTGCTTCACTTATCAAAGGTGGAACAACTATTTGCGTCATTACTTCCATAAGTGAAGGAACTTCGATTGCAGCCTTTGCTAAACTCATTGCTGCACGAACTAATTCTGTAGACTCTGCGTTTCGGTAGAAAATATTAAGGATAATACCAGGAATATATCCATCTTCAATATGTTCAACAATTACGTGATCATATGCTATCATTTTTAGTATAATATAAGTTGCAGCAACACGTAATAAGCTTCCTTTATCTTTGAAATCATCCATTATGTGAAGAGCTGTTAAATAAAAATCTCTAAAATAAGAATATGTTTCTGCATTATATAAATCAAGAATCGTACATAATCTTTCCTCTATAGCAAATTTATGAGCACCGTCAATCGGTTTCAGCACAGCTTGAATAACTTTTTGGCATCGAAAAGATTCAGCTAAAATTGGACAATGTAATGATAATCTAACTAGCTTAAGTAATGTTGTATATCTATATGTATTATAATCTAAGTAAGGGTCGCCTTTAGGCTGAGTTCCACTGATTTCGGTTGCAATAACCTCGGCAAATCCAATGCTGTTAAGCCAGTTATGTGTAGATTCCATTTCAGCTTCGTTTTTAAGTATGCTCTCGAAGAATGATTGAGAGCAATAGTTCTGAAGAATATTCAGAAATTGAACAATGTATCCACACATGTTCGGAAACTCCTCTGTAACTGTATGAAGAACGATATATGTAATATTGACAAGACGAATGAGTAATTCATGATCTGGTTGAATCGAAATAAGAATTTCGAAAGCATAATAAATCAAATTGGGGCTTTTAGCAACAGATGTTGTAATCACAGGGTTTTCCATCTTTAATACGGAATATAAAACAACTCCATGAATTTTGTCATCTTTTGTTAAGACAATAGATAGTATTTCATCAATATTCTTACATAAATAGTTAATTACTACGTTGTCAGTATCGTGAATTGCTTTGAATAATGAAGGATGTTCGGAGAAAGATGTGATTTTGGTATTTTCTTTAACTAAATTTCTGATTGGAGTATCTTTTATCTCTTTTGGCACTTCAAATTTAACTCCAGGAATAGAAGACAAAATTGTTTTCTTTGGGGGAGGCTCTTCTACCATCGAAAATTTAAAATATGATAAAAGACGATAAAATTTTTGACGTCAAAGTTTGGATCCAATCTAGAAACATAATGCAATCCATTTATCGAAAAATATATTAACCTTAATATCAGGTCAATTCCGATTAAAAAGTTTACAACTTTTCAATTTTATTTGTTTTAGAAAATATAATTAACTATTTGCAGCCGTTCTGATTACGATCAGAATGGGCAAATAGCGAGCTGCATGAGATCAAGAATAAGAACGAAAGATTACAGTTTTCTAAAATTTTATTAATAGCTCGCAACAAAAATATTTTCAATTTATTACTAAAAAGCATTCAATTACATGGATTCCTTTAAAAATTACCAACAAAATCCATCTATCTTGCTTAATAGGCTGAATTTGCAGTTAACAAATCTCCAAAATGATCTAATCAGACTTCAAAGGCAACAATTATCCGACGATTCGACGACTTGTGGTGCATATGAAAATGTTCCATTCACAATTGATGAATATGAATACATGAATTATAAAAGCAAAAAATGGATAAAGATTTTTGAACACAATTCCAATTACGGCTTTTTCTCGCCCCAAAATGTCACATTTAGCACAAATCCTAAATTATACAGCATTCTCAAATTGATTCCCAAATTAAAAAGGCCTGATATGCGCTATTCATTTATTCTTCGTTATCCTGGACACAGTGGAGAGAACATTTTTAGCCAACTGAAAACACCATTTGGAATATACTCATCAAAAGAAGAGATGGGACTAATTACTGATCCATCGTCAGCTTGGACAGGCGAATATTGGAGAGGATTGATGCTAAGTAATGATAGTAATACTTATATGCATTGTTCTAGCAGCGATCTTTGGCATGCTGCTATTGGAGCTTATACCACATACAGATCAACTTATGAATTTCCTGGGCCATGGGTTGTGGATAAAGCACAAGGTGTAAATTACGCTTTTAATACAGATAGAGTTATCTTATGGATGGAAATCAGAAGCTTTTTAGATAATATCCATCTTATCAAATCCTCAAGCAATTGCAATGTTTATTTTAGAATCACCTTTAGTTATATAAATCTGTTCACCTTTATTTAACTATGTTACCTATATAAAGATCAATAAAATAAGCTAATAAATGATTAATATCATCATATTGATCTTATGTTATTGAGGAAAATATTATTTCTTTCGACTTAACTATAGTCAATGGATGAATTGGTTTCTATAGATATGTGAATATATACATGCAAACCTATGCATCATTATACTAACTATAGCTATGCTGTGAAAAAAAAAGACGACCGTGGGATTTGAACTCACGAGGATAAATCCACAGGATTAGTAGTCCAGCGCTTTAACCACTCGGCCAGGCCGTCTTGACATTTGAAATCAAATAGAACGTTTTGTAATAACAAATAAGCACTTTTCGAACCAAAAATTTATGTTGGTAATTTTTAATTTTTTTTTATAATGTCTTATAAGGACGCTCATCTAAAAGAATACAGTGAATTGAGAAGTATCTATAAATACTACATTGATTCATATAATACATTATATCACCTGAAAACAGAAAATGAAGAAGAATTAAACTCGATTTATAAAATGATCAAAACAGAATTGATTGATTCAAAAAGCTGTCTCCCCAGTATTATTATACAGGAAATTCTAAATATCATTCCGTATAATAATCGCTATTCAAAATCATATTTATCTCTTGCAAAACGCATTTTTGATGATTATCATGTCAAAGAGGTCAACAATGTTACTAATATTTCAAGGTTCCTGTTTTATGAAGAATACAGAATCAAATTAGGCAAATCTGATGATTTCCAAAAAATTAAAAATCCCGATATTCATACAGAAAATACAATTTATAGATCATTTATGTATAATAACTTAGAATCATTAATTATATTCACTGAGAGAGATAATTTTGATAAAAATCAAAGACTTGAAAGTGATTAATATCCGGATTATTATGAAGGGTTTTCATTACTTGAATTATGCTGTTACCACGGAGCAGTTGATTGTTTCAAGTTATTAAGAACAAAATTTAACTCAGAAATAACTCAAACATGTCTTCATCTTTCATTTTTAGGTGGAAATCAAGAGATCATGAGTGAATGTTTGAAATATCAAACACCAAATGAAGCATGCATGCATTCTGCAATTATTTCTCACAACATTGATTTTGTCATATTCTTGATGAATGAATACAATATAGATATTAATTTATATCTCTGCGAAATATATCAAAATCTTGAATCATTTTTAGTTTATTTCGATCAAACTAAAGATATTAACCATTGTTTTGTTAATTCAATATGTTTTCGTATTCCATCCCTTTGTGAATATTTCCTTTCACTAGGTGCAAATATCAATGAAATAGAAGAAGATGTAGGGCCAGCTCTCCACATTGCAGCATGGAATAATATTAAAGAAACAGCCGAATTTCTTCTTTCATATGGTGCAAACATAAATGAAAAAGATTATGATGGATCCACTGCTCTTCATTATGCAGCATATAGTAATAATAAAGAAACAGCCGAAATTCTTCTTTCACATGGTGCAAACATAAATGAAAAAAATTATGATGGATCCACTGCTCTTCATTATGCAGTATGGAACAATTGTAAAGAAACAGTCGAACTTCTTTTTTCATATGGTGCAAATTTCGCAGAAAAAGATCAAACCGGGAAAACCGCTCTTCAAGATGCAGAGGAACATAATAGGAAAGAAATAGTCGATCTTCTTTTTTCATATGGTGCAATAATATGATTTTCTTAAATGGTGTATCGAATAAAGAATTAAAATTCAATACATAATTTGTTGAAACCTTCCTTTTTATATTGTTTTTGCCAAAGTAAATTGGGTAAAGATTTGCTATCTTTGGTACAATGATATAAATACGCTTCATTTCTTTATTTCAAAAAATCAGATTTGGTATTTTATTATTTCGGACCTCAGGAGGCTGAATTTACTATAACTAAAAAAAAAAAAAGGTAGTGGGGCTTCCAGGCACTTCGTGCCCTCTAGCCCCGAAGATGTTTAGTATAAATGAAGTTTTTATTCGGAAAATTGTTAGTCTTCTGGTGTGAATTCGGAGGACTCTTCTTCTTCCTCCATTGCTTCTGGGAAGAAGCCTTCTTCTGGGTCGAAAACATTATATAATGTTTCACTTTTCACAAATTATATATGTTTTCATGTTTTGTCACTTTTCTGTCACTTTTCAGGAAAAAACATTTTTATTATTATATATAAATGAATTTTACAAAACCTCCGTTACCGTTCTTTGGAAATAAGAGTAAATGTAAAGATATTATATTGAGAGAACTTAAGAAACTACCGAATGGTCTAACATTTGTAGATTTGTTCGGTGGAAGTTTCTATATATCCCATTTGTGCCATACAATATTCCCAGACTCAAAGATTATATGCAATGACTTCGACAACTATATGGACCGTCTCAAACATATACCAGACACAAATAATATATTGAAAGAGTTAAAAGAAAGATACCTATAGGTAGATGGAACGTATACCATTAGATAAGAAAAATATTGTGAGAGAGGTTTTGAAAAAAGCAGAATATATAGACTGGGATAGTATATCTGCTAGACTATTATATAGTGGTTCTATAAGAGTTCATGACATTGAAACACTTATGTCAAAAGTTTTATATCTTAACTATACAAATGTTTTCAAAGAGGACATAGAAAAATATATTGAGGGTATAGAGTTTGTGAGATGTCATTGGACAGAGTTGTATGAAAAATATAAAGACAAGGAAAATGTTTTCTTTATAGTGGACCCGCCGTTCTATAACACATGGGATTTTCAATACCAAGTAGACTGGACTTTGAGAGACTCTTTAGAAACTTTAGACGTTATACATAACCATCCATGCTTTTACTTTACATCCGATAAAAGTGGTTTGGAAACCGTTATGAGATGGTTAGAGACATACATGACTATGAGTTTAGATATGACAAGATAGAATATGAGAGAGGTCCTATAAACCGGAGAAAGTGTCATAACAAAGAAATTTTATTAGTAAGTAAATGTGGTTTGAAATAGGACTACTTGTTTTAGGTTTTTTCCATTGTGTCATTTATTTCTTTGACGTGGCAGAAAGATTATGAGAATATGAAGATGAACCAATGCCTGCAAATGTTCAGTATATGTACTCGTAAGAGATATTTTTATCTAATATTAAATGGACGCACAGAACTTAGCGAATGCACAGCAACTGGACAACCAAACCCAGAGAATATTCCAAATGAAGTTAGAATACAAACTGCAATGGCAAACTATGGTCAAGTGCCAACAGATGTACAAATGCAAACTGCCATGTCAAATGACGCTGCGTTAGGTTTGCCACCATGGTATGCAAATATGAGATGGAAAGAGTTTTATACAAACCCTGAAGTGGGATATAAACAACTTTATGCAGATGACGCGAACACAGGAGTTGACCCAGAATATGTTTTCTACCAGAGGAGAAACAGAATGTATGAGCTCCAGTTAAAGAATGCTATGGAACTCAACAGGAAACGTAAGAGACTAGGCGGACATTAGATTTTTACATATAGTAAAATGGGTTTCTTCAGTAAGATAGGAAACTTCTTTCGAAAATGTTGGAAGAGGTATATGGAATGGAATAAAATCTGTCGGAAGAGAATTTGGAACGGTGTCAAAATATTGGTAAAAGGGTAGGTCAGTTCGTTGGTATTATACCTAAAGACCCTGAACCAGAAGAACAAGCTCCTGTTATACAACAGCCTGAACCTGCACCACAGTCTAGTTGGCAACCAATCCAACACCTCAACCGTATTAAAAAATTATATTTTACCGTTCGATAGTAGTTGTATATGAAACTAAGTTCTAAGTAAAACGCATGGTATAATGGAATTATTTTTTCTTCCATCTGTAGTAAACCATACTTGAAAGTCTGAAAACTTCCACTTGGTGGTGTTCGTATACTTTGTAGGTTTTTCGTAAAAGCCATTTGCCAAGCATAAGAAAGAGTTTTGGGCGCCAGAAAATGAAGCATGAACAATAATAGCAGCTGGGTCGAAAACATTTTCATATGTTCCATTAGGGTTTTCGACTTCATAAAAGTCTGGGTGTACTGGATATGCTGCAGGCTGATTTAACATCCTCATAAATCTATACCATGCCAAGTTGTTATATTTTGTAGAAATATAAACGTTTTCTCCAAGGTCTTCTATTCTATTGATTTTAACAGTTGCATTTTTCCTGTCATAAATAATATCGAGATGGTATTCTCCTTCGTCAATGTTATACTGTTTTGCATATTCGATATAGATATCGTTTATTTTTTCTTGAAAAGCTTGAAGAGTTGTTTCTAAGTTTACAAGCAAACTAACTTGTTAAAAGTTTTCCCTGTTCAAATTTCTCATACATACGTTTTTCTTTGTTATAGTATCGAACTTCAAAAACCGACCGTAAATGGGAAACCATGTATGGCTTCTGAAATGAACTTCATTCTACGAAAGCCAATAGCTTTTGTGACAGATGGGTCTCTTAGCCATCTTAATGGGTAGTCAAAACGATAGCCTTCATGCTTTACGGTCTCTGTCTCAAACTTTTGACCGACATTAGTAAAAAGTTCATCTAATGGTTTAGTTGTAGCAACTCTTGAATTTTCTTTTTCTATTGGAAGCATATTTTATCTAGAATAAAAATGTCGAAAGATATTGCTTCCATGAGAGAAATACAACACAACCGACAACTCATTATGCAAGCTCTAAATAAGAACACAACAAACTTTTCAAACTATTCTAAGATATCTGAGTCATTGAAAGAAGGAAACTTAAAACTGACATTAAACCCAATGACAGATGAGTTTCTGTTTCAAGACAATAAGAACCATACTGTCTGTATAAATCCAACAAAAGGAACTTTAAACGAGAAACCTATAAATGAACTTCTTTGAAAGCAGATGTTGACAACAAAGCTGACAAAGAATATGTAGACGATGCAATAGCAAAAGAAGAAGAAAGAGCTAACAATGCTTATGCAACAAAAGAACATACTCATCCTGAACTAGCAGACAAAACATATGTTGACAATAAAATGTCAAGTGAAGTTGTTGTAAACGAAAACGATAAAAACGGCTTGACAGAAAAAGTGACACTTTACATGGCAAAAAATAGAGCCTTACTTTTGAGATACTTGAGATTGAAACTGAATCTTATGAGGCGGTGATCTTGAATCACTACCTCATAAGTTCAGTTTCATATAAAATTTGTTGCAATTTGTTATTTTTGCAATTATTTCTTATAAGATTTTACATCTTTTAGCGGGGAATGTTTGTTATCATGTATATATTATAAATATCTACACGATAACGAACATTCCTCGCTAAATTGCTGAGAAACTTTGAGGAAATGTCGAACAATTTCCTCAAAGTTTCTCAGATTTATATAGATCACTAGAGTCCCCTAGGCACTGATTCTGGTTCAGTACCTAGGAGGCTCTAGTTCTCTAACGAACTGATAAAATGTTTTTAAATTTTTGGATATTGCTACCTGTGAAGCACTGACTTCAAGTCAGTACCTCACAGTAGCAATTACATTGAAAGATGGGAGAAACTTTGTCCGAATGTTAAACTATTCGGACAAAGTTTCTCCCATTTGTAGTGGAGATGGAAGGCTTTGAGGTATATTATATTAATGTATACCCAAAGCCTTCCATCTCCACTTGAAAGTTCCAAAACTTTGGGTTAATAGTTTGCAATTAACCCAAAGTTTTGGAACTTTCTAGAAGGAATTGGAGGGTAAGAGGTACATATTCATACTATGTACCTCTTACCCTCCAATTCCTTCCTTAACATAAACAAATTTGGAGTTAATTGTTTGCAATTAACTCCGGGTTTGTTGACCTCCAAATGAAAATGAAAGGGTAAGAGGTATATAGTGACCCTATATGCCTCTTACCATTTCATTCTCATTAATTATGGGAGAAACTTTGGCCGAATGTTAAATTATTCGACCAAAGTTTCTCCCATTTTTTGAAGGGATTGGAGGCTATGAGATACTGATGCAATGTCAGTACCTCATGGCCTCCAATTCCATCCTGAAACTGATCAAAGTGGACCTTACATGCATTTGAAATTTGCCATGTAAAGTCCACTTTTTGAGAGAGAGGATTTGACTGCGTCAAATCCTCTTTTTCGTTTACGAGAAAGTGACAAGAGCTGAAAACGAATATTCTAAAAAGACTCATACACATTCTATATCTGAAATAACAGACTTAAACGTTAGCCTTGAAAAGAAAGCGGATGAGGAATATGTGGCTAGTAAGTTAGAGAAGAAAGCGGATAAGGAATATGTGGATGAAAAAGATAATGAAATTATAGAAAGGGCTGAATGGTGTCATGAATGGACATCGAAGATTTTAAAAACTAAAGCTGATACAGGATGGGTTTCAGGATGTTTAGACCTTAAAGCAGATAAAACTTATGTTAACGATGAGTTAGAGAAGAAAGCAAATAAGACTCATACACATACAAGTTTTACAACTGTTGCTATAGAAAGTATTGAAGGAACGGTTGAAGAAACTGGTGGGGATGCATTATATTGTAAACCTCCTAACTTTCCACAAGGTTTAACATCGGATGACGACATAACGACGATGAGAAACATTAGATGTAAAGATGTTTATGTCATGAAGGATGAACATAATATTAAATTCACTGCTCAAGATTATATGACAAGAAAGCAGACAAAAAAAGCTTCAAACATTAAAGACAG